TATTCTCCAAAGGAGAGATCCTGACAGCTTGCCTTGGGAAAGCATTGGCAGCAGATTGACTAAGTGCAGGAAGAGAAAGACTTATGATTTCCGTACAATATGATTTCCATACAAATAGATGCAAGATTTTCTCATCTATGGCCTTGCTAATATTTGTAGAAATGCAGTTTGTTTTCAGTGCTCTCAGTGTGGTGTACTATCACTTGTCTTGGTTTAAAAGTAATTTTAATGGGACAGGCATATAACATCAAAGCATGTTTTACACAAGGTAATGCTGTGTGCTTCCTCCTACCCTCCAGCTCTCTTGCTGTTGAGCATGGACATTTGTTCACAGGAAAGGAGCCATCTTTTCTGCTTCAGTTTTGGTAGACMCTCTGTCAAGATGTTGTAAGAACATCTTGTCTGCTCTCTGGTTTTATCCTTAAGAACATGGAATGTAATTGTAGAGTATAATTAACTGTGAAGGACTGAAAAAGCCCAAAAACTATCTGCCAGAAACTTGCTGGATTGGAACTAGAATAGCTGTGATTTCTCTCCCCTATACTTGTTATTTCTTTGGGAATCTGTGGTTTTTCTTGARCATGTAGATTCTGCCTCCTAAGCGGGGGAGAAATATTTGATGTATTACTCTAAAAACAGGTGGGAGAGACAATGGAAATTCTGTGGAACTTCCTTGACGTTTTTGACAGCTATTTTTGTCTCAACAGTACATGCCTTTGTCACCATCAAGGCAAACTTTTATGCCCTGTTCTCTTTGGTGTTGATGGCCTCAGATAACAATCCTTAAAGCAGAACTCTGAATYTTTGTGTGATAGAGAAAAAGAAGTGAAAACAGAGGGATCTCACAGGTGCCAAATTTCTATATTGCCCTTGTATTTAAAATTCTGTGAAAAGTACTTTTTGTTCGAGATGACACATGCAGCACATGGATTGASCTCTGAATTCCTTTGCCTGTGAATGAATTTATATTTTAAATATGCAGAGGAAGGAAATTGCCATTGTAAACAATGGCGGAAGGAAGTAGTACTTTCTGTTTTATGTAAGTTTGAGGTCTTTTCTAATCCATATTGGTATTATACAGCATAGAAGGTAAATACTTATTCTGAACTGTGAGGTATTCTCTATGAAAAGTGCCATTTGGRGACCTTGTCTTCAGTGTGTGATCCTGTTTGTCATATGCGACTCTTTCTAGTTGCAGCAGTGAAACTCAGACTGTTGTGGCTGCCAGAGATCTCAAGAGACTTCTTAGTCATATTCCAACTTTTAGTCATCATACACAGAGTATCTCTGATATGGTGAACTGCTGTTAATTAATTAATTACTTCAATAGTATTTTCAAGTAATTTTATACTATTTTGACCATCCTTACAATCAGCTTTCTGTATAGTCAAGCTCAATCTTCTTCATGCCTTCACTGTAGCTGCAACAGATAAATAGAAATGGCCATTTCATTTTTCAAGGCTTTTATGTTTTGGTAAACTATTTTCCTGTTCCCTTTGAGCGTTCTCATTTTTGGACTAAGCAACCCCACCCCTTTTCTCTTGTTTTTCCTGTTGGTTATATTTTAGGAGCTCCTAAYCCAGTCTAGCTGCTTTCTCTAAATTATCACCTTTCCTTTCAGGTTCTTATTTATTTTTTTTCCCCTGCTTTATGAACTATCAGTTCCTATGTAGGATTTTTGTATACTAAGGTAAAGGTTATGTAGCTGGGAACAGTAAAACCTGCCTTGGTACATAATTTTTATGGGCTGCCTGAAATGGCCTAATTTTTGTTTTCCCATTATTTTCACTTTCTTGAATCTTTGTTGTTAGTCTGAACTTGAAATAGAAATAAAATTCTGCAAAAGTTACTCTCCTAAAATATTTGTCTGCAGGTGAAAGCAATTCTGGGTGCTTCTCGCAGCATTTCAGAYACCTAAATTTTCTACATTTCTCTTGCAGTTAAAACCCAGTGCTTAGACTTGACCACAGGCAAAACAAAAATGCTGTAAAGGCTGTCTCTAAGGAAAAAAATGTCTTTTCGTGTTGCTATGGTCGAGGCGTAAAGTGGTTGCATTGGTTTGGACCAGCAGGTTTGGACACTGTGTAGTTAAACATGTGATGCCATGGTTTGCTGATGGCACTGAATTAGGAGCTGCAGATTCTATCAAGGGTAGAGAAGCCTTACAGAGAGTTCTGGACAGGCTAGGAAGCTGGGCCATCATTAGCAAAATTTAACAAAAGCAAGTGCTGGACTCTGTCCCTGGGATCAAATAATCCTGCTTATACCACACAAATTGTGAGGTGAGAGACTGGAGAGCAGCACTGTGGAGAGAGATCAGGAGGTCCTGGTCAAGAGTTGACCATGAGCCAGCCAGTGCCTTGGCCACCAGGAGGGCCAAACATGTCCTGGGGTGCATCAGGCACAGCATCGGCAGCCGGGCAAGGGAGGGGATTGTCCTGCTCTGCTCTGACCTGGTCAGCCTCCCATTAAATATTTTGTGTACTTTTGGGCACCTCAAGGACATCAGACTATTAAAATATGTCGAGGGTAAGGTGACCAAGTTAGTATCAGTGCCTTCTAACTTGAGATATTCTATGATTCTACAATTCTGTGATCCAAGATTCACATTATAAATTTTCTGGCTTTAACCTAACRATTAGCTGTACAGCTTCAGATGCAGGGTTTTTATATACCTTTATCAATAATTCAGAATGGGTTGATTTCCATGCCTTAAATGCTGGAACTTTTTTTTCACCTCTCAAATTAGATTCATCATAAAATAATGAAGATGTTGATTTTCAGTGCTTTCTGTTGCTGTGTGCAAAACCATCCAGTATGATGAACAGATTTGTCCTTGAGAATAAACAGATTATGCTCTTTGTAAAAGACTCACAAATTTGCTCTATGCTCAGCAGTATGCACTGGAAGGGCAGAGGAATCCCTGTGATTTTAATATTCTCAGAGAGGAAGCTCACATTGCAATGAAGTATGAGACAGACACATTTAAAACCTGAAATGTAGCTCTTGCAGAATTTCATTTATTTTACTGATGCTGCTTCCCATCAATTAACAGAAAACACTATTTCTGTGCTGAACTCTTATCATTCAAGTCTGCTGCTTTTGATTTGCATCATACTACATTCCATTTTTAATGGAATAGCTTGTGTCATGTGCCATGATTCTGGGGGCTGAAAGAGCATAGAAGAATGCATAGAAGAATGACACAAGAGCCTGGTCATTGACTTCTCACATCGTAGGCTGGGTCAAACTGAGCAAAAGGGCTGAAACGTTCTTTTAAAGTAAATTTATTTGACTCCATGAGGGAAAATTCTTACTTTATTTTAGGTTACAGTTCATTCTAAGACAAACAACACAGCTCTTTTTTTTTTTTTTATTTTGGTAGTTTGCTCCATCAGTGAAACTGAAGTTATTGAATTTTCTATATGTTGCTGAGGCTGCTGATACAGAGGCCAGCCCAGATGAGGATCATGTAACTGAAACAAGTACACTGAAAATCTAATGTCAGTATCTAGCGGAAATTTCCACAGATTTCATATCTGTTTCTGATTTCTCTGTTAGGCTTTAAGGAATTTGCAGCCTTCGACAGGCATAGAAGAAAAATCTGTAGGTATGATTTCTAGACACTTAAGTAAGGAGTGGTGGTCTGTACAGCCATAATCCCCAGGGATCTTCATATGGTTTTGTCACACTAGAAATCTGCTGATGCTTGAGAAAACAACTGTGCCCCCCCCCCCCCCCCCAGTGGTTAAGGCACGTTTTCTTTTATTTAATAGAATTTTTGTTATGTTTTGTTATGTTTTACTTCCCAGGTAGCAGCTGCTGGAGGACATCTGAAATTTACAGTCTCCTATGATATCACAGAAGAGGAAGAAGAAGAAGACACAGCTAAATTGATGGTTCAATCTGATGTCATCATAGAGGTAAAGCAATCATATTTTCAGCACAAGAAAGAAAGAGAAAGAAAGAGAAAGAAAGAGAAAGAAAGAGAAAGAAAGAGAAAGAAAGAGAAAGAAAGAGAAAGAAAGAAAGTGGCCTTCTCCAGATGTTCAGTGTGAAGTGGTTGAGGACACAAAACAGAAGGGTGCACATACTTTCAGCTAATACCTGGTATCAGAAAATGGACACACTTTCAGAGAACTAAAAGATTTAATATCTGAAGGAGTCTGGTGTTATTACATTAGTTTAGAAAACTGTAATACTTCTTGTTCATCAGGAGGAATGAAGAAATAAAATAATTGGTCATTTGAGGTAACACTTCGACATTCTTTCAGCAGATTTGTTCTTGTGCACCTTAGCATTGTATGAATTTACTTTTGCCTATGCAGAGCCATGACACCATGACACTAGATTTTATCTGAATAACCCAAACTTTCTTTTCCACTGCTTTTCAATTCTATCAGGCAAGGCCATTTCAGGTTTATGAAAAGTGAATATTATTCCTGATATTTGTTATTCTTGTAAAATACATCATTCAATAAATCATGTACCCCAATGGGCTTTTTTCCATGGCTTTTTTCATATTTAAATCTCTCTCTTTCATGGCTCTCTCTAGGGAGGTGACTTAAAAATCAGCACTCCAAAAGGGATAATTCACCTGCAGCCTTCTGAAGAGCACACTGAAGAAATTGTGCTGAAACCAGAATCTTTCTCAGTGCATGGCTCCGATGTTCCAGTCAGCAGGAGGGAGTTCATGACTATCCTTGCAAATGTAAAGAGAATCCTCATAAGAGCCACATACAGCAATGGGATGAATGCCATCTACAGGTGAATATGTGGAACGGGTCCCTTTGCTACAGGCAGCTTCTCAAGAGTTGTTTTCTCTCTTCAGAGAACGAAGCTGATATAATTTAAAACTCTCTAATTTATTATGATGAAACCCATAGCATTCATTTACTCTTTCAAACTCTTGTTAGTGTGTTTTTCATTTCGGGTAGGCAGGAGGAGGAAGGCAGCAGAAAGCAGCAGCATTTTAAGAAAATGAAATTACATGGACTATTAAGGCATGAATGACAGTTCTATAAATATGTTTGTTTTGTGAACACAGTAATTCCCATGTATATGDTAAATCATGGACTGCAGTAATAACATGTTGAAGTAGGAGATGATATATTGCTTATATATTGTTTTCCTGATTTAATGACCATACAGGGCCACATTAACAGTGGACCAGAGAATAATATCATGAGTCTCCAAGCTGGAAAAGTGCCTCAAGGGGAATTTTCTATGTTTTTAATCAGTACCACACACAGAACTGGCTAATCCCAAAGCCTTTCCCTTGATTTATGTCAGGRTGCTGCGTGGACTGCTTAAATCCACTGATTTGATGTGAACTCTTCTGAGCCCTCTGATAAAATTAAAGACATATGAGATGATGCAGTTGTTCTATTTCAGTGGCTGCAGTGTGGCTGAAACTGTGAAGCTCATCTTGCATTTCAAATTTCCATAAGTGCATGAACAAATACTCCAGATGGGCTGGAAGACAACCTCTCTCCTGATACTGTGTGATTAACATTAATAGTTAGGTGGCATAAGTAATATTTTTAAAATGTGCAATGGAATTGATTGCATAGTAGTTCTTTACTCAGAAGGCATGAAACCTGAAATGCTCTCTAATCTACACATCAGTTGATTCAGTGGCATAAGCCAATTTGGAATGGAGGGAGCTGATAGCACATTTAGTGATTATTTGCTGAGAGCACAGACACTGTTTTTGCTGCTGTGAAATTTCTTAAGCAATCTAACCATCATTTGAATACTTAGGTAATTAAAATATATCCTAAATTGAAAGGCAGGTTATGTCAACAGTGTGCAGTTTTCTGATTTGAGCTTTGGCAGTGTAAATTTCTTCCCTGCAAAAAGAATTAATATTTCTTCTGTCTCTGTCTTTTCCTCTAGTTAATTAGTATGTATTACATCTCTGTAAGTAAGTTTGTGAATCATAACTAACTTGAGTTTGGGCCAAACTKCTTCCTAATTTGCTCATTTAATCATCCACCTTGTATTTCTTTGCATCTCCTTGCATCCAGTTTGAAAGCCTTTTATGGCCCATCAGCTTCCCACTCTGGTGCTTGAGGAGAGCCAAAACTGAAAGTAGTGGGAGCTCAGTGAGTGATGATCCTCTGCTCTCCCCTCATTCGAATWAAAAAACCCTGAACCATTAGTCAGAATTTTCCAAACCAGAGGAGTGCAGGAGCAATTTTGGGGTGAACAACAGGGGCTTTCATACTATAGTGTTTTAAAGGAGRTATCTAAGTTTGACTTTCTTTGGGCCAGCAGTCTTCCTGAGTAGCATGGGAAATGCAAACTTTTACAGGAGATATGTATGATTGACTTTCCATAGGCCAAAGGTGTTACTAAGTATTGTGGGAAATGCAAACTTCAGTTATCAGAGGTKTACGTGTATTTGTGTACTGACACTGGTGCCTGTAGGAGAAGGGGGGCTTTATTACAAAAAGCACTTTGGCTGGGCAGTTAAAATCTGTGAGCAAAGTGCAGTGCTGGACATGTAATGGCTCCATCCTGCCTGTACTGTGGAACASTGGGGGTGGGATGGATGAGAGCCCCTCTGGGCAAGTGTAGAGCTCAGGTAAGCACACACATGCAGAACTGTCCCAGTCTATAGTGTGTGCCTTGTAAGTAAGAAATGCAAAGCTGCTTGTGGCACCTTTGGAAGGCTGTACATCACTGGCTGCATCCCAAATTACTGCTTTAGCCCTTTGGTCATGTGTGGTGCCTCACTGTTTCGTAGTCTTGTTCATATTCAGCCTTTGGAAACATTTTAGAGGTGTGTTGTAGCTAATTTTCTGAAAACATACTTTTTGGAAATAGTCTTTAAGAAGACCTCTGCAATACACATAAAATTTATGCTTTGCATGTTGGTAGCCACCAGCTTTTAGATGTAGTRACATTACAGTTAACATGAGTTAAAAGGGGGTTAGGTGAAGAAAGTGGAGGCATTTTGAAGAGGTTTTTTTTTCTAGAAATGTTCTTATATTGCTGGTACATTTCTAGCTCTCCCTATGATACCTCTTACCAGAGAAGAATGCAGTGGTTGCTGTATTAGTGTGATTGTTGTCAGCATGCCCAMAAATCTAAAATAAACCATTTTATTGAGTGCTGTCAGGGTGCTCATTGCAGTTTAGCATGACAGAACAGAGGATCAAATTCCAATCACAGTTAAACAAAATCAGTTTTTTCTCTTTGATTTATCTGTGGAAATCATAGTTTCACCCATTAAGGTGGGATTTACTGAGTACAGTTAAGTCTTCTGAAAACAGTTCATGCTCATCTGTTGGAGTAGCAGCAGCATCTACTGTCATCCAACCCAGTTAATGATCTGTTGTGTTGCTTTTTTAGGATGTGCCTCATTGCTGACTGCCTTATATTCTCTTTGACTTCCACTCATGCTAAAACATACTAAGTACAAAGCTGTGCTCATAACTCTTAAGATCATGCAAAATAACCCTTTTCTCCATAGCCTGCCCATTGAGTTCTTCAGGAAAAATGTAGCCCCAATGAAGAAGATATTCTTTGTGRTATCTAAGGCTGCTTAAGGACTGCTGTTGATGGTTTCCAAAGGAAGACATTTTTGAAAAGAAATAAGCCTTACATGGATAAGTTGATACGAACTAAAAGGTTTTTATTGTCTTTAAGCAGGTATGTGCAGTGGACAGATGGATATTCCTCTGAGAGGGTTAAGAGGGTCTGGCATAGAGACAGAAATATTACAGGGTTGTTAGATCCTTCATGAATGACAATTTCTGCCTCAAAGCACCAGTCGAATTATGCAACATACTAATTAGAGATTGCTATATTAAGCAACCTGTTCATTTGAATACTGGAAGTTTTCAAAATGGATAATGTCACCACATGTGTAAGGATTTCCAAGGGTGCTGTTATAATCTGTGCTTTAAAAGAGACCAGAATGGAGGCATAAAGTAACTTTCTTGTAGTCATGTAGAGAGACTTAAAAATTCAATGGAGCTGTCTGCAGCTGGGAAGAGCTTTTATTTAAAGATTCTATTTTTAACCCTTGTTTAGTTTAACCTACTTGAAGCATTACTWAATTGGTAATGCTTTCAAGTAGCCTCTAAACAATATTAATTCAGTAATGCTGGGTTTGACTCAACTGTGTACATTTTTGGGGTAATTTTAAGCTCGCCCTGTCGCTCTATGGCATAATTAGGAAGCTTTCTTATATGAGTGGGCAATTAGATGATCAAGTAGGCTAAAAAATGAGAGTACAGAAATGCAGCAATCAGTCTGAAACTGAACCCAGCTTCTGGGTTTATGTCCTAATCCTCTGACTTGACAGATCTTCCATACTGTTGCAGTTAAGTTCATCTGTGGTTGAAGCAATGGGCCAGGAAAAGATAACTCTGTCTTACTGTTTTCTTTGATCTAATACTGTTATCTTGTGCTTCAAAGAAAGTTCACTTGCACTGTTTATTCAGTTTAATATTCAGAGTGGTCAGTGGTGGYAAGTGTTGCAAACATGCAGATAGGCACTGGAAATTGTGGTGGTAAGGAGAACCACATATAGAAGAGTCAGAGGAGGAGGGAGAAAGAGGGGAGATGAGGCCAAGGGTTATTTTCCATATGCAGAATTGGCTTCAAGACAAATGAGCAATGATTGGGTCACTACTTCATGTGCCTTATGTAGCTGATGTGATTCAGATGCCTGGCACAGCAGACAGTAAACTATGCTGATACTGCCTGAAACGTCCCCTTCCCTTTTAATCTTGTTTGTTTTTAGAAGTCAACAGTTGCCTGCTGACAGTAACAGTCAGCTTAAATATTTGGTCTTGATGTCTAATCTCAAATTGTTCATGCATCTCCAGGATCCAGTGCCCCRTTACTGCCAGCATTATGTATTTTAATGAAGGCAGAATGGCATCGAGGAATCAAAATTGCAACATCAAAATGGGGGAAAAGAAAATCGCTGCAGCTTTCTTCACTGAGTAACTGTTAATGCTAAAAACTGTTAAACACATTAAAATCCCATTTAGCAAATAGSAGAACGTAATGAAAATTGGAACAATTCAGTGAATACAAATGTGGGATAATACAGGGTGGGTTGTTTCTGTGTGTTAGTGCTTCTCTTTGTTCCAGGATCTGTGCTGAGAGAGAACTAGCTGTAGTTCAAAGGAGAAATAAAATGTGGCCTTCTATTAGAAAAAATGCTTCTTCATTTACAGATTTTTTCCTTGAAATTTTAGATTTTTTATACTGGTAAAGTAATCACTATTTGATATCTAATATCGTAGTGATTGGTTATCTTACTGTAATGAAAACTCAAATGAATGATTGCAAAATAAATGTAAAGCACTRGAGTGAAGGGGATATACTGAAAAGCAAGAGAGAATTTCCTGAAGGTCTGAATAAGAATAAGCATCTGTCTCTTAAAACACTGTCAAGAGTCTTTTACAGAGGTTCTGTTATCACCAAAATCACATTCAAGTTTGTAACTGCATTATACACAATGGTMGTCTCTCCAAAGTCCAGTCATATTCCTAGTGGTGGTAAAATTTCTGTTTTTCTGAAGCTTCTGTCTTAATTTCAGAAATCTTCCCCTTTTTTCCCCATTGCCTTTCATGTGTGCCTCATTTGGAGTAGTGGTAAAATCGAGTGGAATAATATTCTGTCTTAAGCTTTCCTCCAACTTCTGCAGTAACAGCAAAATATTTTTCTTGGATGTTTTCTTGTCCAAGGTCATCCAAATAATTTTCAAGTTTTTTTTTTGCAGCCAAAAGATAAATGCTTTATTATGAAGCAAGGGGGGGGTGTTTAAAGTTTTCCAGAGAAAATGGTTTATTTTTTAACAAAATGTATGTCACGATAGAAAGGTATTTTCTATTTTCTGCTGAAAAAGACTTCAAAACAAGCTCTTCAAGTAGCTCTGTTTTTCAAACACTCTGTTACTGAGTGAAAATAGAAGCCATTTAACCTCTGTAATACCTTAATTTTTCTTCAAATTCTCATAAGRATTAAACTCCCAAATCCCAGTTTCTTTCCCCAAAAGGATACTCTCGATGTGGACAGTATCTGTTTCTGATAATAGCTATAGGATTATCAAAAGACTTCTGTTGTTTCTGTCATCCTATTTCTATGCTTTTGAAATAAAAATCATGGTCAGAGTTTGCCTAAGCAGCAGCTGTTTTTTTTTTTTCCTCTGGCATTGGGGAGACCAGGGTACTACAGAAGGTTTTCTTTAATGTACATACATTTTTCTTTCATATGCATAATACTTGGATCCTCAGTCGTTCTGGACAGTGCTGACATCTTTTCCAGAGGTCAAATCTTCAGAGTAAAAATACCCTGTTATCCAAAACTTGGTAATGTAATATTTTAGAAAGCTGGACTGGTGGCTCATAAATTTTGAAGACCCTGCTTAGTGTCAAATTTGCTCTGTCTGCAGCTGCAGTGCAAGTTGGCACATGTGGCTTGCAGGCCAGGAATAGCCTTCCATCTCCTGCTACAGTGCTGTGAGACTTTTTAAATCTATTTTTATCAATGTGTGTCTGACCATAGTCTCCCTCACATGATGAACAAAAATASTAACCAGCCTACAGACATGTAGTTTAGGAAAAAAATAGATGAATATGGAAACCTCCTTATTTTTAACAGGGAAACAGAACAAGCCACTGAATGTCACTATAAAATGTTTGTTGCGTTCAGCTACACAAATCCATCTAATTTGCTATCTTGCCTGTTTAATTCCTGTTACATCCAGACTAAGAAGCGTTATTATGGAAGCTGCTGACCAYACTTCAAGGGGGAGAAGAGTGGCATCTGCAGTGGAGTTGTGTGAGTGTCCTGCAGGCTATGATGGTACCTCCTGTGAGGTGAGTATCATGATGCAGTCTAGTTCAATTTTGCTAATGCTGTGATAGCTGGAAGCAGACACTGGACTTGTATTGGTAGAAAAATAGTAAGAGAGCTGTCCATTCCTGTTAGGAGTTTGCCATGGCTTGACTGGTTACCTTTATTTACAGGTGATGGTTCATTATATTTGATAATGTTTAAAATCTGAATTTTACACCTGTGTGGTGTTTTCTAAATTACGAAAACACATTTCAGTTAACGAAAAAGAAATGAAACAGTATTTGTACTCTTCAGCCAGTTGATGTTACAAATGGATGACTGTATCACATTTAGAAGGAAAATGGCAGTTATCTGACCTGTGCACAACAAAGCCGAATCAAATTATTTGAATTAATGAAGTTGAGTTTCCCCTTTTGTTTTTCCAGGGCTTTGCCATTTGCCTTGGATTGCTGAGAATTRCATGTGTGCTCTTCTGAGGATTGTGTCACTTTATTTTGCTCCTGTTACAGATAATGATGTAGACACATGCTCAGAAAATACCCACTTCCCTAACAAATTCATCAATTCACACAGAATGTGTTCATACAAGTATATGTATGATTAACTAGCTCAYGTGGGCATAGCTTGGGGTAAATAAAAACCAAAAAAAAAATGCTTCAAAAGCTTTGCCTTTAAGGAAATAGTTTCAAACACCAAGATGCTCTGCTTCACAAAACTACAAACAGTATGCCATTTACACAGGCACTCTAGGCATTTGCTTGTCAACTCTCTTTTTCTTTAAAAATTTTTATGCTTATATGTGATATTTAGGGCTTAGAGTCTAGTCTCATGCCAAATGTGGTTGCTTGTTGCTGGGGCTACATGAACTAATGTAGAAAGAAGGCCTGAAGGAATTAATGGATATTCCTATCACTTCCAAAATGGTACAGATGGAAAAATAACTGGCGAAGAACAGTTCTTACATGGGCTGAGAAATAATTTTAAAGTCTGGCCATTGTCTGTTCAATTATTTTAAGAAAAATGCTGGATGCAGTATCATTGTGCTTCACACTTTTTTTTCACTTGTTCATTTATTCTCCCAGTGCTGATTTAGGTGTAMTGTCCAAGAGAGCAATTGGAACAACCTTGATTGCAGATATTTCAATATCTACATTTGCTGTAGAAGCTGAAGGACTTCGRTAGAATGCCTGTTTTGGTTGCTGAAATTCTCTGTCCAACATTGTGTCCTTCAGTGTTAAATCTTCTCTTTGATCATAAATAGTCCCTGAAATTTGATAAATTAAGATCACACTCCACAAGAGAAAGCACGTATACATATATATATGTATATATATATATATATATGCACATAGCTGGAAATTGAAAGTTTCTATGCATGTTAGTGGGCATAGAAAAAAAAGGTGAAGTTTTAGATTTCCAGACAGACAGTAGCTATGATAGCATTGGTAGAGAGGTTGAAATTTTTTTTTTTGTTGTTTTTTAATTACCATTGTTATTTCTTCTTCCAAATACTTTCAGCCTTGTCTAACGTGTTATTTCTTCTGGTTTCAACCTAGTAGAGTTTCATCTTTATTGATTTTGTGCATTTTTCAGTTCCATTTTCCCTTCATTATTTAATTTAATGTATGTRTTTATCTCCTGCATAATGATGTTGTGGTACCTGGCATAGATGCTGCAACACTAAAACCAACTGTTACTTACTTATTTTCTTGTTGTGAATGTTTTGGCATAATCAGTCTTCCGAACACAACCAAGTCCATTTTAATTATGCTGTCACTTTTAAGACTGTTCTATTACATAAATTTGGAATTTATGTTTTACAAGATTCTGGCCAAATAAAATTCTTTAATTTTTGCATGTATATGAACACAGAATTGCATAAGCACAGRTAAAGCAGATAGAATTTTAAATTTCTAATACCAATTGGACTCCTTTGTTACCTTGCTCTGATTTTTCTTGCCTTTGTCAACATCTTCACGTCTAATTGCCCATTTCCCTCAGAGTTTTTCCCATTCTCTTCAGTACCTTTTTACTTGTGCTTCAGAAAAGGTTGTTTTTAACTTGTATTACTATGATAGGCAAGAACTTTTGAATGTTACATAATTTCTTTTCTTAAGATCTCAATCTGTAATCTTTTAGTTCTTTTCTAAACCTTGCTATTGATATTCCATGTCTACATTCTTAGTGACTTTTGGAGCTTTGTCTTGTGCAATATCATGTGTATCTTTGCATAAGACCATTATTATCAGTCACCAAAAGAGGGAGAAGATTTATAGATTTATGCAGAAACCACATGCCACAGAAAGAAAAATATACCAATTTCTTTTAATCTGTTTTAGGTTTTGGATTTTATAACTCTAGATTTTTATTTTTTGTATTTAGGGGTTTTATTTTAGGAATATATAACCAAGAATGTAAAGAAGGAAAAACAAGGATAATATCTCAGGTTTTGGACTATTTTTTTAAGAACAATTYCAATTAATATTTGGATTACTTCCACATTTTCAATAGTAAGACAAAAAGGGAAATCTTAATTTTTGTAAGAAAGAGTCTGCTACCTTTTTGGAGAGTGTATGTGAAGAGGAAAGTATTTTCTTTATTAAATGATACTTCTAATATTCTGTCGGTGCAAAACTTTGTATTAGATGCTTTTGAAGGTCATAACTCTGTCATACACTTTTTTATCTTATGCAAAGTCCTGGGATCACATGAGCAGTCTTACTGTAGAGGGATATAAAGCCATTGGTGAGATATATAGTAAGGAAGGCTGCTGCTTGACATCTTATTATGAGCAAATGGAGCGGCTGAATTTTYGCTGATGAATCACACTTGTGTGGTGTCACCTTTCTTACAAAATAACTGCCAATATATTTAATATTGATTTGAATTTTACATGTAAAAAAGAAAATTAAAAAAAAATCAGATCAGYTTCTTAAAGGGAAATTACTATCCTTTAAGGAGCACAATTTGTAAATAAAAGGATAGCCTTGTTTTCAGCCTGTGCTTTGTATCAGTGTAGCCTTTTGCTGGAGTCCTAACAAGACTAAATACTATTTTAATTGCTCTGAACTTCTCAGAAAACATTTTTTTTGTTCTCAGTTTTTTTTTTTTTTTCTCCTTCTCTCTCCTTCAGTATTTTACCTTCTGGCTGTTTTTCAGTCTGTACCTCTTGCTTTGATGCTGTCATATTTCAGTTCTTCATTTCTCTGCTTTATTTTACCATTTCAGAAGAGCGATCAAGTTAAGGCTTCCTCTAATCTCACACCTGCCACTAAGGCTAAGGTCAGTGCAAAGCCGCAGCACCAGAAAGAAGAATTTTCTAGAGCAATGTTGGTATTTTAATTCATTTGGCAAGTATGTTTTTTGTGTGTGCAAGCATCAAATCCAAAATTTTAGAAATCCCATTCCTTCCTCTGTTCAAGCAAGAGTTTAACTTTTTATCTAATTTGTCTTGCAGTCCTGCTGGCCTCGACACAGGCGTGTGAATGGCACAATTTTTGGTGGAGTCTGTGCACCATGTACATGCTTTGGTCATGCAGACGTGTGCGATGACATCACAGGAGCGTGTCTGGTAAGTGGCACTGCAGGAAACAATTGTCACGGCCAACATCAATTCAATATACCTGTGCATTTGAATTGGTGACCTCTGAGACCTGAAATCATCAAGGAGATAAAAAAGCCAGTGAGTAATAAGAGATCTTTATGTTGAAGTTAAGGATCCCCTCATATCAAGATATGGTGTCTTTAATGGTTAAAAAAAATCATTTATCGCATAGGATCTATGTTTTAAAATAGAATCAATAGTATTAGGGTATGACATGGAGAAAGCAGCAAATATATGAATGCTTTTTCATGTAAGATTTTTCTTCCYCTCCCCTTTGACTCCTGCAGTATATTCAATTTATAGTATGTATCAGGTAACTTCGTAAATTCTCTTCTTGTTTGATGAGAAGATATTGTTAAYGTCTTCTAAATTCATAGTAAACCTTAAAGGAACACTCAATGAATTGTACTTCAGAAAAATAATAAGACCATATGACGTCAGCAATTTTTTTTTCTTGGGTATGGAGATTTTGTATACTTACTTACTAATTCAGCAATTAAATCTGTGATATTATCCATAGCAAGSCTACCAGCACACCACTATTTCTAGCCTGTTCAGTAGCCTTTTGGAATGGATGAATTATGCTGAATATACTGTTSTGATTGACTCAAGGGCATTTTTAGTTTTATATTGTCTGACATGGCATGAAGCTTGAAACAACATGTCTAATTTCATTAGTCTTGCAGAAGCACAATTTAAGCCAGTGCCAGTTTAGTGGGATATTCTCTCATTTCCCTGCTGAATTTCAAGCAGACTCTGTAATGTGCATGTTTCTAAATGTTCYCTTTTATTTCCTTAAGAAAAACCTGCTGGGGAAATGCCAAAATGAAAATTCAGGCTTTTTCCAATGTAATTTGGCACTTAGAATTATTACTGTTCTTCCTGTTTTGCTCATAGAAGATGTTTAATTGCATTGCAGTGCAAAACAAGATATCCTTAATGTGTGGATCAGTGAATTTTTCAAATTGCTTTTTCGTGAATAGAAGCTTAAAATTATTCTCAATTTAATTATACTCTAAGCCTCAAAGAAGTACCTGGAATGAAAAACATGTTTGACGTGACAGTCATGTTTTGAATCCTTTGCTTAAGACTCAGTGAAAATGTTTATCACTGGGGTAATACGGATTTGTRTTTCCTGACAAAAATTTTTTGCATTAATGACCGTATTCTCCAGCTACAATGTTTATAGCATSAGTGTGTCATAAAATCAATTTACAGGAGAGAAAGGGAAGGAAGAATCTTGTTTAAGATTCTAATTTTAAGGTGTGCCGTAACTGTTGACTTARGGGTACATTGCCAGATGTAAGTTCTGAGGCTGTTAGCGTCTGTGTCTTCAAGTTCTAGCTCCTGCACAGCTTCCCTCTTTATTTTTGTCTGTAGCACCAGCCTAGATAAAAGAGAAGGCCACGTAGCTGCTTACTGCTTTTGGTGCTTTTCAGCTGATGTGAACTGTTGACTCAGACAGTGGAGCTCCCCCTTCTGATGTTTCAAGGGTGCTGGAGTAAGATAACACAGCACTGACAAGGAAGTGGAAAATAACCAGMTGAAGATGCACTTTCATCTATGCACATTATCAAGCACTCTGCATTTTATGTGTTCTGTAGCTTATAGTAGATCAGGCTGTAGAGTAAAGGCGCACTGGGAGCTTAAAATCAGTTCTGGATTTTCTTGCAACTTTGAAAGCGCTGTAAGTCAGATCGGTTAGTATCCATGCAGGCTATTAAATGCTGCTATTCAATTTGGATCATAAGCCTTTTGAAGTGAAAGAGAGAGAAGTCTGAATGCTGAAAAAGAGAAATGTTTCACATCAAAGGCATTCTTTCTATTGAGGTTTACACAGCCTTTTGGCCTCCTTATTATTATTCATGGTGTTTTTTCAGTAATACAACAGACAATTTAGGCACCTAATTTACTGATATGATACTTCTTTTTGCTCTTCCTTAGCTTTGAAATGTAGTTGAAAAGAAGCTGAAATGTGTTTTTGACTCGTGATAAAAGCTCAAATCATCTGCTTCGACACAGGCCTGTATAAAAAGCTCATTTTAACGTATATCTTGCAGTAACCTGCAAAGCCCTTTGATCCCCACAGCAGCCACAGAGAGCTGCACGATACCTCGCTCTCGTTACCATTGTGATATACATAACTGCTTTGGTATGCAGGGCAATTTCTAACATTCAGAAATAGTCTTTTGTACTATTACACACACACATTTACAGGAGCTTTAGGAGGTTGGTTAAAACTAAACCTTCTGAAAAGCAAAGCACATTTCAAGGTGTTTCATTAATTTCAGAATACTGTGTTCCTAATAGTAAGGCCAGACAAAGCAGATCTTTCTCCCCAAAGATACACCCAAATTGCTTAAGTGGACTGTCCCCAGTGGCATCCTTTCCATATTGTACTCCTCTGTGTATAAACAGCATATGCCATGGAGGATGAGGCCGGTGTCAATACTGCTGGACCTCTGCTTCAGACAGTGTTCATTACAAGAGCGACAAAATGTCKTTCCCCATCCTCATGCACACCCTAACAAAATTACATGTTCTAGCTAAATGCAGTACAGACTCTTGCTCAAGTGAAGATACGTAAAGCCTCTGCAACATCCTGATTACATTTGTAACACCAGGAAAGGGAATTGTCTGTGTCATCTTGACATTAAGGTAGTTTGAAAATGCTTGAAGAGCTTATTCATGCTTCCAAGGACGGAATACCATTGTCTGGTCTAAATGGCTCGGGAATATACTAAAATAGACACCCAGACTTACTTWCTATAGCTGGCTTTAACAGCTTCCCTGGCTGTGAAAGGTATCCAGAGGAAGGACTCTGTCATACTCCCTGTATAAGGTTTTATTTCCATCACTAGCAGTCTATTCTGAATGTTTGTTTCCATGTTCATATACACTCAGCTGCATATGCAGGAGTGGTTTTCAGTGTGAATTTAGGGTTCCCTAGTACTGAGTATAAAGAAGTTTGTTTGGTTTCTTCCAGAAAAGGACAGCTGGCTCAGTAGGAAATGGTGGAAAACACATTCCAGGATATCACCAAGGAAGTTTTTAGGGAACAAGGTTTGAGTCATATATAAACTTTTGGTCAAAAATTAAWCCTACCATTTTAATTACACAGAGGTTGTCTAACTGAAGTTGAATTACAGAGGTAAAAGAGGCCCAGAAAATCAATGCATTCAAAATAGTATGAGATAGAATATGTGGAATTTGGAAGCACAAGTATTTGGACATAAAATTGTTCCTGGACACGAAGTCTATGAATTCATGGAAAAAAGCATGGATTTTACCAAACCACTAGATCAATGTGTTGGAGCAACTTCTATTTCCATCAGAATAAMAAGAAAGCTGATATAATGTACTGAGCAGGTTAGAGAAGTTGATCACRTACTATTTTATACCCAGTGTTGTGACAAGAAAAAAAGGGTACAGTTTTCCTATGAATATGAAGTTAAGTCATCATAAGCTTAAGCATGCTTTAAGGAAATAATCTCAGTATAATTAGACATTGCTCAAACCAGATGATGTTCAAAACCATTGCTGTACATTTGGCAAGTTTCAAACTGAGATGCAGCYAATTGATATCAAGAAAGCACAAATGTTTTCATGGGTGTCGATAGTATTTTTAGCAGGATTTGTCTACTTCAGTACTTAAAGTACTGATCAGTAAACGTGGCAAATTAGCACGAAGCTTAATGCATCACTGAAGAGAACAGGCAGATCAGGTCACATCTACATACTACACAGTTCTTATTCTTTGTCCTGTAGGGTCCAAACTGGCTCMGGGAGAAAAGTACAGGATACACAAGATCATTATTTCTCAGATAAACTCTAACATACAGAGTATGGTATGGTCAGATTTTGGTACTACGTATGTGGGGCTCTGTTTTTCTGTTTGTTTTTAAATGTATTGATTCATTGCTTTTGAATATCAGTGGGGAAAAATTTGCGTGGCCAAAACTCAATTGGAGTTGAAGCTGGATGGAAATATGGTGGACAATGAAAAGAGGTTTTTAAATAGGTAATCCTAAAAGGCAGTTCAAAAATAGCATCAGCCCACTACAGGATGTGGATGGTCCCCTCAAAAACAGGGACACAGGACAGGCAGAGATGTTTAATTCTTTCTTTGCCTTTGTCTTCAACATTGATGATGGTCTAAAGGGGTCCCAGTGCCTTGAGCTGAAGAACCATGACTGTGAGCATGATAAATTCCACGAGTTAGTGTGGGGTCTACTGGATCCATATAAGTCTGTAGGGCCTGATTCATCCAAGAATACTCAGAACTGGCTGATACGATCATGAAGCCTCTCTCAATAATTTCTGAACAGCCTTGGGAATATGGAAAGGCCCCAGTAGAGATGAAGCTGGCTAATGTCCGAATTTTTAAAAAGGTCAAGAAGGATGGCATGGAAACTACAGGCCTGTCAGTCTCACTTCAGTGTGTGGTAAAATTATGGAGAAGATTTTYCTGAGAGGTATTGAAAAACACCTGAAGGATGGTGCAGTCATTGRTTACAGCCAGAATGGCTTCAAATCCAGCTTATAAAACTTAATTTCCTTTTATGAYAAAGTAGCCCACCTAGATATCAAGGGCARCCAGATGGTGAAATCTTKCTGGATTTCAGTAARGCTTTTCCTGCTGTTTCTCACAGGATCCTGCTGGACAAAATATCCAGCACRCAGCTGGATAAACACATCATGCAGTGGGTGAGCAATTGGCTCATGGGTAAAGCACCACAGAGGGCTGTAATGAATGGGGAGACATCAGACTGGGCACCTGTGGGGTAACACARGACTCSATYCTTGGCCCTGTGCTCTTATTGATAAACAACTTGGATGCAGAACTGGAAGGGGTGCTAAGTGASTTTGCTTGTCTTACTGAATTGGGTGAAGCTGTTGACTCCCTTGAGGGCAGGGAGGCTCTGCAGAGAGACCTTGGTGAATTAGTAAGATGGGCAATACTAGCCAAATGAAGCTTAACAAAGAAATGTGCCAGATTCTGTACCTGCCATGGGGCAACCCTGGCTGTATGTACAGGCTGGAGAATGAGGGGCTAGAAAGCAGCGTGGAAAGGAACCTGGGGGTCCTGATACATGGCATATTGAACATGAGTCAGCAGTGCCCTGGCACCCCGGGAGGGAGAAACATGTCCTGGGGGGCATCAGGCACAGCATCACCAGCCAGGCAAGGGAGGGGATTGTCCTGCTCTGCTCTGGGCTGGGGCGGTCTCACCCTAAATATTGTGTTCAGTTTCGGGTGCCATAGCATGAAAAAGAGCTATTAGAGCTATTCAGCTATTAGAGACTGTCCAAAAGAGGACCAAAAGGTGGTGAAGGGTCTTGAGGTGAAGTGTTATGAGGAGTGGCTGAGGTCACTTGGTCAGTTCCTCCTGGAGAAGAGGAGGCTGAGRGGACATTTCATTGCAGCCTGCAACTTCCTTTTGAGGGGAAGAGGAGGGGCAATTTCTCTGATTTCTCAGAGAAAAATCAGAGTGCTGATTTCTCTCTGGTGCCCAGTGACAGCACCCAAGGGAATGGCCTGAAGTTGTGTCAAGAGAGGWTTAGATTGAATATTAGATAAAGCTTCTTCATTTTCCCCAGGGCAGTGGTCACAGCAMCAGCCTGRCAGAGTTCAAGAGGCATTTGGACAATGCTCTCAAGGCACAGGGTGTGACTCTTGGGCTGTCCTGTGCAGGGTCAGGAGYTGGACTTGAAGATCCTACYAGCTGTGGATATTCTATGATTATATGATCGTGAGGAGGTGGACACAGGGATCTGGATTGAGTAGGATTAGAGACAGTACATGGAAGTGCTGATGTTAAAGTGCCAGAAAAGGTTTCATCAAAGTGAAGGTGGTCAGGTCTTTGTAATAAGAGTTGCTTTCCTACAAAATGGAAGGTTTCAGGTTTTTTACTTTAAAAAAAGCACAACCTGCAAATACCACTCAGCAAGAGACATGAAGCTTAAAAGTAGTGTATTAGSTTTTCTCACTTTAATAACATCCTTGACATATAAGCTGTTCATATTCTTCAAAAACGTTAAGATATGTCTGAGGATATTTAAAGCTAAACTTATCACAAAAGAAGAATCCATTATTTTTCWGAAAAGGTACAAATAATTTGACATGATGTCTTAAAAAAGTTGAATTGCAAAGGATTTTTCTTTTGAAACACTTAAATTATTTTTGTCACATCTTCTTTTAAAAGCATATTGTTCCTGGCTACTTTTTAGGTATGGCTGCTAGATTCTTTTTGCATGTCAACGCTTGAAATACCAATCAAATGGAATAATTTACTTATGGAAGTTTTTTTTAACCCAGCTGACTTTTCCAGAGCGTAATTTTAATTGGTTGTTTCAATATGTTGGTATTAAGGCATAGTCTACAAATTATGATAAAATAGAGTATTGTGATTAATGTTTTCATTTCAAAAATATACTTGGTTGTATGCGCTAGCAATAAGAATGCACCTTTTGAAACAACAGCTTTTTTGGGAGGTAGATGCCTTTGACTCCAATGTACTCGTGACTGAAAGGKTGTTGTGCTTTTTCATCTGCCCAGRTGCACAGTAATGGCTATGCAGAGCTMAGTGCTAAAAAGCTTTGTACAARTCATTGCAATCCTGTGAAGGAATCAGTGTTCCTTAGAATAGTCTGTTTCCTTATTGAGGATAAACTATGTCTTTCCGACAGTTAGGCTGTTAAGGAGCAATCAGTACCATATGCATAACTTACTAAAATGATAAAACAATTTTAAAGTGTTCCTAAAAAACAATTTTAAATTAAATCACAAGTTTGCGAGGGCCCACGCTTTAAAAAATACCCCAAGGTAAACGAACAAAAACAAACCTTCAGAGTTCTTAAGATRCAGCTTGGATAAAACATTGTAGATTTGATCTGACCCATTGTCTAAAACACAGAAGAACATTAAATAAAATATCTCCTGTGGCTTTCATTTTGGCCTTTTGAAGTTGACATATGCTTTTTCAATCCTTTTTTCACTCCATACCAAACATATCARTATGGCATTTAACATCCAAAATCATTCATACTGGTTTCCCTGTTTTTTCATTGTGAAAGGACTACACTTGGGTATCTTGTGGCTAATAATAGTGAAAGGAATAGTGGGGTATGCTAATAATGTGGGGGAAAGAAAGGAAATAGATTAAGCCAGAAAATTCATTTTCTGAATCTATTATGGAATCTGCAAAATTATTTTGAATTTCTAAAACCTATATGGTGAACGAAGAATAGAAAGGGTAATTACTCGTTAAAACTTGGTTCTTACAAGTCATCATGGGAAGCCTTTTCTCACAGGACCGATTTCCATTCTGCTAAAAGATTGTTTAATTCGAGATCAGCCAAAAGCTATATACAAAAATGCAAATCTCACACTGCCATTTTTAYACTGCATGTTTCATATGCTCAGCTTAATTTCTCTCCTATTATGAAAGCCAGTCACGTAGAGGAGCACAAACTGTCTGATTGCACCCTATACACAGTATATTTGTCCTTGCTTCTACTCATGAAACATTGTCTGGATTCTATTCTAGCAAATAAGTATTAATTAACTACTTCAGCTTTGCTACTGTTTATAAACACTGCTAGCCRTATACTTTGTGAAATGAACATTGCACTTACATGTGAAATGTAATAATTGCTTTTTATAAATAATATAGCCTGGGCTGTATTTTTGGAATCAACGTCTGAGAACAGTTGTCATAAAATATGGCCTGTTGCAATATTGCAATACTAAACCTGCTTTATGCTGCTTTGAAGGCTGGTTTTCTTTAAGCAAGCTMAAACAATAATACAGTTGTTATTTGCTGTTAAATATTGGTTTTGTTTTACATAGAAAAGAATTAKCCACATGAACATGTGAAGCACTGATTGTGACAGCTAACCTGTGGAACTGTTTCACCACCAGCAGCAGAAAATTACATTCTGTGCTGCAGATTGTTACAGTCCTGGTGTATGAGGATGAGCTAGGTGAATTTGTATGTAAGTTTCCATATGTAAGTTGCCTAACTGTCAGTTTGTATTTTCCATCTTCTGTTTAGGACTGCMAACACAACACAGGGGGTTCATATTGCGATAGGTGCCTTCCTGGCTTCTATGGTGATGCGACAAAAGGGACACCAGAAGACTGCCAGTTGTGCGCTTGCCCCCTAAATATACCTTCTAACAAGTAAGTTGTATATTTACTTGTATATTTACTTGCAGTATACTTTTGTATATTGCACTTTTTCATGTAGTAAATKACTTAGTTTTAAATTAATGTTTCTACATGTATGATTGAGATATTTTTTGTTTCAATAAAATAATATATTCTGCRATATAAACTTTTATTTTTACAATTGTGCAGAATGCTTAATTCCACTGACAGGCAGAKGAAGACAAAAGCTGGATGAGACAAACTAGAAAGAACAACACAGAATTTGGTTGACTGCTTTTCAAATTAATAACTAGCATTTGCTTTTCTGTCCTCCTTAAGAGTAATTGTTTCTAGTTTTAAAGCTGAATGTGSAGCTGAATATGCAGATTTGACATGTGGGTTTTTTCTGCTTTTTCTTTTACTTTTCTTCCAGTCTACATTCAGTGATTTGTTTGGATTTTGAATTCATCTTTAGAGCTTGCAAGTGAAAATATTTTGTCAGCATATCTCAGAAAAATTAGTTGACATTTATATTATTAAATAAAAATAACTAGTGAAAAGTTATTCAAAATTCTGATCTAGGAACCAAAGTTTAGTGCATTACAAAAGCTTGTCTATGCTGCTCGATAGCTTAACTTGATAGATCAAGTGGCTTTAACATTTTTTCATTGGTTTTGTCCCAGAAAACAGTACCTGGAAAATAACAGCACCAAAAGCATTTTACATGTTGTAGCTGAATAAAACCGTTCTGAATCTTGTCTGTGGCATTGCATCCTATTAAAATTGCACTATCAGAGCAGGAATAGTCTAAGCACTTACAAGYGGAAATTCCAGGGGATTGCAGAATGGGAGCCTGCCTTCCTGTTAACACAGCTCTTGAGTTGGTTTTATTTAGATATTAATATATATATGGGTTTATTATATCTGATGCCCAGGCATGGTTCCTCTGACATTCTCATTACTAAGTATTTCCTTACTTTGGTAATTAATTTTCTTTCTCTTGTTTGAGAATACTGTGCTCACAAAGCAGGAAAAACACTGTCACATTTCAGTCTTGCACAGATGTGCAGTAAATGAAGCCAAATAGATTAAATTTAGGTTTGACTGGTAAAATGCCTAGACATGTTCATTATGTATTCATCATAATTCTAGGTGCTTTAGTTTTCTTTTCTGAAGTTGAGGGTCCCCATTTTATTGTTCAGTTTCCTTGAAAAATACAGGCTACAAAACAAACACACAAAATAAATGTTCTTTGAACTGTGAAACTATGTGAGTCCTGAATCCTACAAAGTTTAGCTTTGTAGGACTCACTGTAAAGTTCAAGCTCTCGTGACATTACAGTTCTAGACCAATTATAAAATTTGTATGTGAGGAAAAAAGAGATTTTAAAGATTTTATGTGTTACCTGTATGCTGTTAAAACACTTCTTTTGCTTTCTTACTTAGTTACCAGTGAGTTTGTTATGCTAGGGATAATATTTGCAAACAATTCAGATTCCTTCACATGAAGAATAAACTACCAAGTTCATGTCACTGTACAGATGTAGCATATGTCWTGTTCTTTCTGAGTAACTGAATGGGGGAATAATTGTATGTACAAATTATTATAAATAGCTGGGTACAGATTTTGATTCCTGAAGTATTTAATTCCTAACATGACAGGACAGGATATTTGTAGGTTTCTAAGTTTAATACTAAGTTTCTGCTGCAAAGAGAATATTGTCCATGTCATGAGCCTGTGAGATATATTTCTATTAAGAAATACACTTTCTATTTAATAGCAGTGTCTTGTTTCTTTATGATGTTTATAGTGGTTCCTGTCACTGTTCTCATTGCACCTGGCTTACTTTCTTTGCAATGCCACTTTGCAATGAAGTGGAGAGCTGTTCTAACCATTGTAGAAATRATGTGGTGATTGTGTTGTTCTGTAGCTGATTTCAATGGATTTTGCTGCTGCTAATTCCCTTTCCTGTTTCCAAATGGCAGGAGTTTCCATATGCAGTCATTGAAGCCAGTCATGTGCCTTCTGAAGCACAACAGTCATAAGTGGCTTGCCATAAATCAGGAAAGAGCTCTTGGCCAAATCAGGAAACTAAATTTGAGCTGTCTAAGCTTGTTTTCTGTGTCCTGGGTTGTATTTTCCTGTTTTTGCATTTATCTCCATATATGTGCTTATGTGATGGAGATAAAATCAATACTCATGTTATAAATGGTCTGTGCAATGGACGCTTGACTTCTTTGTCCTATGTCTTCTATTAGCATATCACTTTTTAAACTGTTCTAACTTTCTTAGTCCTCAAGGAGTTCCAAATGGACTGATTTTTTCCCTGTAATTTCTAACAAATATAGATGTTAGAGATAATTGCTTCTCTTCTCTTGACATAGCCATAAATTTAATATGGGTAACAAAGACTCTGACAGGAATCCTCTACCACTGGAAACAGGAGATATATGGTCTCTCACTCAGCCTGGGAAGGAGGGGAATAAACTCATAGCATGGAAACTGGGAATTAGGGTTGATCTCAGAATTTCAATATTTTTGTTGAAGAATTAAATAAAATCACATATTGTCAGGGGTTATTTTCTATAACATACTAAGAAACTTTTAGGAAGCCCCGTCTCCCAGCATGGACTTATCACATACATATCCATACTGTGTATTCATACTTGTGCTGTGTCCTGATTGGTATTAGTGTTGTTACCCTATGTGAAAATTGCAAAGGGTAATGATAAATCAAGAGGAGGACTACAATTTTTGAAGCTTATTTTGACAAATCAATACTCACAGTTCATTAGTATTTAGCACTAGTGAGTAATGGTATTCTCAATAATCAGGAAGATAAAATCTTCTCAGCCTGCTCTCATATATTTCCTTTACAGCATGCAGACAGAAATTTCTCAAAATGTTAAGTGTTGAGATGTGAACTAATATTAAGTCAGAGAAAGAATCAGGGAGGTTTGGTTTTAGCATAACCCATAAACCATGGAAATTCTACTATTCGTAATTATTGCTTAGTAATAATGTGTTACATTATCAATGTGCTACATTATCATTATTATTATCATCATTATCATCCTTATTAATTATTATCATTATTATATTTAAAATTTATGCAGTTGAATTCAGAGCTCTTGGTGGAACTTTGGCACAATACTATAATGAGCTGTGATAGCATCTCTACAAAGTTTCCCRGGAAGCTCTTGGAAAGAGTGAGGTTGGGACTGACAAGTAGGAACTTACTTGAAGTGAGTCAAGTGCTGCTGATTGTATTCAGTGATAACATGTGCTTTCATTGCTGTTAAAGAATGGAATGAGCAATTATTGTTTCTTAACTGATTCTTCATCCATTTGTGAATCCRTTATTAAGTAAATGACATTGCAAAGTAGCACAAATGTAATTCTTATGGAAAAAGAAAAATCCCAGCACTTGTCTATGTTTATTGGACCTGACCTTCCCACATTTTTCTTACTGATCTCCTATATTTGTGGGATAACACAGAATAAAGAATAACAGGATAGATCATAGGATGAATGAYTCCTCAGAAGTCTGGTCACTAGCAGCTAATCACATCAAATGATGCTAATTAGGCTTTTCTGTCCTCCCTGAGCCTATTACTTTCCAGAAACTGTAATGGTATATTCTGCTTTAATATGTCCAAGGTCAAATTATGGCTGTTGGTTATTATTGTAGCATGAACTGTTACCTTGAATATACTTACCTTCTGATGTCTTTGTAGGAGCAATTCTGTTGCTTCTCAACTTCTCTTTTCCAAGGTTACAAAAGATAACTTAGTGGTTTTTTTCAGATAGGTGCTTTGTATTTCCCTTTTGAATAGTCCTCCAACTATGCACTTACTCCCATTCTATTTCTTTTTYYCCCCCTTTTTTCTATTTTTCTACTTGGTTGCCCAGAATTGATTACCATTATTTAAATGAGGCCTTATAAAGATGCTCATATGTCTCTGTCTCTAATAATCCTTACAGAATTACAGAAGAGCAGATTGCCTCTTCTTCTGTGTAGTGTCAGGAGGTTTCTTCAGAAAAGTGTGTTAAGGGAGAAAGATTATGGAAAGCAAAATGCTAAGAGTGAAGGAACACAGTTCAGAGTGAAACACAGGCATTGAGAAGTGGAGCTTGCAAATGGCTACAGTATCCTTATTTATAAAAAAGAGGGAAAAAAACAAGCCAGCCAAAAATAATTAGAGCACACCAAAGAGGTAAAGCTTTCTAGTCTGAAAGCTATTCTTAAACTTCAACGTGCCTGTGTGGCCTGTTGCTTGAGGTCATTRGCACTCGATTAACTCAAATACACTCTCTGGGAAGCTGTACCAGATATTTCCCATTTTGCCCCKCCCCTTTCTTGTTCACTGGGTTCCTTTCAGAGTTGATTGTAGACAAAGTTAACTGAGCTTTTAATCGGTTGTCCTTCAGTAGGATTTATATAGGGGCCACATTATGGCATAGATTGTTTTGCCAGGCCCTCGGGGGCACAAACAAACAGCTGTACATTCCTGCCTTTTTAATGGTATCCAGACCACTTGCTGGCAGGCTCAAGTCCTGTAATAACAGGCTATTGGGATGCTGCCATCCGCTGCTCTATATTCAGTGTCGCAGAAATAGCAGAGTCATTCCAAATTCAATTTGCTGGAGTCGAACTTAAGCCTGATGTCCTAGACCAGAATCACTTTTGCTGGGCGCTGTTTTGCAAATTAACAATCTCTGAAGTGGGAAGASAGCTATGCTGCTAACCATCTTTTCTTTATGTTTTTTCTTTGTTCCTCTTCTTTCTCATTATCAACAACACAGCTTTAGCCCAACGTGCCACTTTGACCGACATCGTGGATTAATATGCGATGAATGCCCAGCTGGCTACGTGGGACCACGCTGTGAAAGGTAAGCAGGCACYGTGCTTTTAGTCATATGAGACCTGAAACAGAAGTATTGATCACATGGAACTGTTCTACCTTTTTATTACCTCCCCTTCTCATCCCCATTCCTATTCTGAAACTTACTGAAAAAATTCCAATGCCTTTTCCTCTGATATTGAATTTGTATTTTYCTAATGCTTGTTTTGTTTTGTGGTGGAATGTAAAGTTTCCAAGAAGCATGTGCTTCTGAGAGTTGCAAATGCTACTCATAAGTAAGAGTCTTTGTTCAAACAGTTTCTAATAGCATTTCTGTCACTCATCCTGAAATTCTTATGAATTGTTTGTCTCTTTTGTCATTTGAATATTTAGGGGATAGTGAATCAAATATGCAGTAAACTACTGATGCTTCATTTAGAGAAGTTAATATGCAGCAAAAATACGGCTCCTCTAATAAGTTATTTGTGGATTTTAATTATTTTTAAAAGAATATTTTACTTTTTTGTTGCTTCTCGTTTGCCATTGCAGTCTTTATTTAGCAAGTAGAACAAACTAAAAAGATAATACTTCTTTGTCAGATACATAGAAAAGTCAATATATATTTGCTACACTTACTCCTATTTACAAAGGCATTATGCTGAAAGGATCCTATGAACAATTTAAATGACACAGAGAGCCAGTGTGAGTTCTAGTGCTAAGCTCCCAGGAACCCCCTTCCACAGGAGGTGAGACCACATAGKCAGGGGATATCACCACTGTGTCTGAATGCCTTTGATCCCTTGGGACTTCACATGGATGGGACAGAGCAGTTTGTGTGCCAGGGGTCCGTGATAGTTGATGATTCACTGTTGGCTTTGTCTCCATGATCTCAGTCTCCTGTGACCCTGCCAATGACACCTTTTAAGGAGGGGCTGGGGAAGCTGGATGACCTTATAGCTTTAGAGAGTTAAGGTGCATGAAAACATGGTGCTTGTGTTTCTTAGTAGGCTTTTGCCATTTGGCACTGAGCTGCCTGAGGCATTCTTCAAGGCAAGCTCTAAGAAAAGATAAGGCTTCTGAATGAAGACTTAAAATATTCAGGCTGGGATGAAAAGAAGTGGGAATAAACCAAGAGACAATGAGAAAAGCAGAAACCTGACCATACACTGTGAATCTCCCTATAGGCCCATCTTTCCAATTTACAACYACTTCCTTTGAAATCCCCTGTTGTGCTATATCTGTCCTGAAGTGAGAGTGCAGGCTGTCACCTGTTTCCACCCATCATCACCGAGTCTGCTCCTGCTGCTGCTATTTCTGCCTGTCTTTTCCTGTCTGTCTGGGAAGTCATCACCTTCTTTCAGCTAGTGGGCTGTGAAGTTAATGACGGCAGGAATAAATCACATCAAGAGCACTTTGGTGGCAGTTTGTCAATGCGGGGTCATTGACAGCTTCCATTAGCAACAAGTGCTGTTTCTGAGGGGAGCACAGGCTGTAGATGCAGTAGGACAGAATCTGAATAAATGGCTGGCTTGGATTTTAGCCTGAACTCCTAAGGAGTTCATTCCTACTGTCATCATTTTGTGCGTGTCTCTCTGGCTGCCTGCGAAGTCATCTGAACTTGTAGGTCGGTTTCAACCAAATTTGGCAGAAGGTAGGAGGTCTCAAAGATGATAATTGTTCCCAAAGGTTTTATGGAAAGAAATGGCTGAATAGAGGTTAATAAATCAGGACATGTCATAGCTAAGGGGGAGAACACTGTGTGAACTCACACCTGATTAAACAGATAGAGAGAGAACAAGAGAGATTACTAAATGTTCTGCCCATAAGAAAACTTTCACAGGGCAAGGAAAAAGTGCTGCTGTAGCCTGAGGGATTATTCCCTGCTGAATAGCAACATCCTGGAGCAAATAATCAGCCCTTAGCCTTGTAACCATGAGATATAAATCCGTTGGAAATTAGGCCATTMATTCCAAAGCTCAAAGAACTATTTGCTTTTAATTGTAACAAGTTGTTCTGAAATGTCTGCAGCTGTCAATAATAATGATCAGGAGAAAGCMTGTTGCCTTTTGCTATTAGCAGTGGCTGTATAATTGCTGAGAGAGTTTACATGAAATTCCATTTCATTTTGGCAGCTACAAARTGACAAGTGATCTGAGCCACGTGATTCATTAGCTGAACAATSCTAAATTATCATGACATATATTATGAAGTGAGCGTGCACAACACTGTACTTATTTGGCCTAAAAATATATCCTCTTTCCCCTAGGGAGACACATATATATATCTGATTTGTAAAATGTCAAAAAAAATTGCCACTTATCTCACTGGAACTCTTCAGGAAAATGGTTGCTCAATATCCTGAGGGGTCCAGCTCATAACACCATCAAAATAATTGCAGGTATGAACTGTGTTGAGAGTTACCASATAATTATAGAGAGAGCCCAGCTTTCCCATTTAATGTTTTTCCCTAACAAATTAGATATAGAAGTCTTTTCCTTTGCTCATTGTTCACTTTTTCAAAGGCATATGAGGTAGGATGGACATTCTCTTAACTTCATTAAAAGGATGTATGAGAATGACAAAAGATTGTCTTTTTAGCCGAGCACAGTTACAGGATGACAAAATCCATTTTCCAAATACAGTCTTGCCATGGAAAAGAAGCAAAATATGTGAGAGTCTGGCTTTTCCTGAAGCACTCCATTATTTATGTACATGGTTCCAGAGACCTTTTCCTCCTTGAAGGAGAGATGAGAGGTCAGTGTGCCTCATGTGCGAGGRGAAGAGTGAGCTGACCCTGGTGACAACACTTCTGCCCTTTCTTGCCCCCACCTCCCCCATTCCTCATCTAGCACACCGTGCCACCAGCCACAGCCTCTCATGAGTACTGTGCCTTCAAACTGCTGCYCACTGTAGCTAATATAATTCTTCCACTTGTGCCAGAGCAGCAAGTCTGTGTTGCTGTACTGATGGGAAAAGGGTCAAACATTTCAGGAGATTTGATACAACAAATGTGTTAGGCAGGATTGTTTGCAGCTTGCAAGAGCAGGCATTCTGCCATTCGAAAAGGCAAGATTTATAGTTGGTCACACAACAAGAACATCTGTGCTGTGCACCTGAGTTAAGATATCTCACTGTGTGCTCACAAGCCATTTCTCCACAGGGCTTTTGCCTGATTTTGTGCACAGGTTGAACCCACATAAATTTCAAATACTGTAAAAATARTGTTTCCAGACTTTAAAGTGTTTGGATTTGCAGGCTTAATTAACTCTGTCTCAAGGGCTTTTTTTTTCAGTAAAGAAAGGTATAAAATAGATCTGTGTTTCTGTGCATATATGTGTATATACAAAGCACTGTAGAGACTGCTATGGGRAATATTAACTCCACACTGACCAGGCCCAGTACACATTCATGCACATATATTTTGGCAGTAGCCCTGTATTTKGCACCACTTACACTAAATAAAACCAGCATCAGTCACAGATATACCTGCATTTGAGAAGAGGAAAACAAAGTGGAAGCAATGTTTTTTCACTGCTTTTACTTCTATTTTTGTTTATTTTTTAATCTCAGAKGTGTTATGTTATAGTTAGCAGTCATTTATTTATAGGTGCATTTTGTGTAATGCATAAAAGTAATTTTCCATGCTACATACTTATTGGTGTTTTTTAATCTAAACCTTGCCAAACATATAATGCCTTGGACTTAAGAAGCTGAAGTAGGAGGGATCAAAAATGGAACTAATGAAAGTGCATTTTTTTAATCTTCCCCTGCAACTTGAGGAGAAGTGGGAGAAAAAGAGCAAGAATTTACATAGGTATATGTACACAATTCTCTTTTAAGCTTTAACTGGTTTGCCTCTACTTTCAGAAYCATTTTCAATTGGATTCAAAATGATGTATGTGCATAAGTAGAATATGGCTACATGATGTTGGTGGGTTTTTCTAATTTCAATTACCAAAGTCTAAACTGATGAGAATACAAAGAGTTATCAAGGTCTCCTGCTATTAGTAGAAGGAAATTATTACCAGTGTATTTCACACAAATCTTTGGAGTATTCTTTCTGCGAACTGCTTGGTGAGTTTCTGAGAATGCTGTTAAATACTGAACTAACCCCTAAATGGAAGTGAAGGAGGAAAACAAACACATTAAGTGAAGTCAAATAGACGAGAAGGACCAAGAGATACAGCTTTATGACAAACACAGCAGTAGTAAGTTAGCAAAGCATGGGTTAACCTCAGATATAATCTGGTTTAGGTAAAGTAAGATAACTGCATAAATTATCCAGATACTCTTTCATTTTAATTAAGTGTGGCTATTAATTATTACATGTTAAGATACATTCCTGGCCTTTGTAACTAAGTTGTCATCACTTTTAAAAAAGCAATTTATTATGATGAAATTAAGCTAAAAATTAGTCTTTTGTGGTTGCTGAGATATCCTCCATGAGGGAAAAAATTATCTATTCCTTTGCAGGAAATACAATAAATTGGTACATTTATGACAGGTTCTGAAAATAAAATACTTAAATTATTCTAATGACAAGATTTTGATGTCTTGTTGCTTCGAGGAGATAATTTTGAGAGATGACTGTGCTAAAGGAGTGGGCTAGATTGTAGAAATTTTACTCATGGTCTTGAGTGCTTACATGCATCCAAACCACTGGACTATTTATGCATATTAGTTGTCTATGGTCTGCATGGTGGATATTTTGAGAAAATGGAAAAAAATCCTATTTTGTGTAAAATTACCAAAAGACATTCAATTAGTTCCCACTATTTTTTCGTCCCTGCTCTCAGTTATCCAGTTTTTATAATCTTTGTCATCTTTGCTAATATTGAGATTGAATAATATTTAATAAATGTTTAGACAGCTTAGCTTAGGATCAAATTGAAAGCTTCATGAGATATTCTGGAGCCAAGACAGAGGACAAGCTTGATGCAAATAAAGGGACAAGAGTGAAAGCATCGTGGAGCGCTGCATTCCTGTATTAGGATRATACACAAAATCTTTGTTCAACCATGCCATCCAGTACTGCTACAAAGTAGAGAGGGTATCTGTGTACATTGAAACTGCATTTAAACTGACTAAAATTGTAGGAAAAATTAATTTATGCAATGTGCTTTATGTACTTTGTTTTTTATTTATACTAATTGGAGTTCATCTGAGATGCACATGAATGAATTCATTAGCTAGAGCTGTGCAATTTTCCTTCTTTTTTTCTTCACTATCTACAAGTTGCTCTTACGATGAAGTGTGAGCAAATGCAATGGAAAGGAAAAGCAGACCAGAATATAAATAGGAAATAGGCTGTGAGATGAGTGGAAATTTGCTTTAAATACAGATTGATGTTAGGTCAGATTCAGTAACCTGCTTTACATGGTACTCACAGAAAACTGCAGGTGAGCAAGGTGGAAAAGAATGTGATATTTTCAAACAACTCTCTTAAAATATGAAAGGTACAATACAACCAGCATAGTTCCTATGATAATGAGCAATCTTTTTGTTACCTGTCCATACACAGAGATTAGCAATCCGTTAATGAAGCAAATATGAATATGCAGTAGATTGGGGAAGGCTAAATCAGGGGGGAATCTTGTTAGGTAAACAAATTTATGTCTGTACTACATTCCAAAGGTGTTCTTCTAAACTAAAGTTTTTAAGGCAGGGGTTAAAAAGTYGTCAGGCTTGCTGGTGATTGAGTAMAGAACATCTATACATAATGTGCTGAAATACAAAGTGTATCTAACATAGAGTCATAAAATATAGTTGGAAGGTCATCTAGTCTTTCAAGGTCATCTAGTCCAACCCCCCTTCCTCTAGAGTGCCACTAAGATTTCTTGCTATGCTTTGTCTCACCTTCAGTGCCWGTGACAGGATTTTTCTCCCACTGAAGTCTAATTACTAGCAGAAGTGGCAGGATTTCAGCTGGTACTGTATCYACAGTGTTGTTAAAATAGAGAAGGAGGGGGAAAGAAAAAAGATGCTTGAGACACACTCAAGAGAAGATCAGATTTTTTTTGTGATTAGGGAGGCTACAGAATTATGTGTTTCTAATGAGAAGATTATTTGAGGGTCCTAACTGATGATGTCTTTTATCTTAGGTGTGCAGAAGGCTATTTTGGACAACCTCTAATACCAGGGGGATCRTGCCAGCCATGCCAGTGTAATGACAACCTCGACTTCTCCGTTCCTGGCAGCTGTGACAGCTTGTCTGGTGCTTGTCTGATATGTAAGCCAGGTACAACAGGCCAATATTGTGAGAGGTGTGCTGATGGATATTTCGGTGATGCTCTTCATGCAAGGAACTGTCAGCGTAAGTCACGAACTTTTACAGCTTCTGACAGTATTGATCTATCCTGTAACTTTGTTCCTGAGAGGAGACTGTGCCTCTGTATGTGTGAGCAGGAGAATGATACAGCGTGCTCACAACTCTAATAATGATACTGTGCATCTGCATCTGGAAAGGGAGGCTTTAAAGTAAATAGAAAGAAGAACTTATTAAAAAAGCTGTAGTTGAAGAAYAGATGGAAAAAAACAATGAGCGCTGCATGGGTGCAAAAGGTTATACTSAATGTCAGATCTACAAAAATAAATACAAATAAATGAAAACTATTCCCTAAAAATGCTATAAACTATCCAGAAAAATCCTGTTAATTTGTGAGACTGAAAGCAGGGAGTGATATTTCAGTTTCAAGGTCTTGCTCTGGCAGTGTTTGTAGCCTATTTCCCACTTATATAACCTCGGGAAGAGCTGGGAGCTGCTGCTGCTTACAGGTCAAGATTCTCCCTCTTGCAAATCACACTCCAAAATCCCCAGACAATTTTTCCAAAGTGCTCTGGAGGAAGGTACCTGGCACTCCAGCAAGCTACCAATTCTCAGCTGAGCAGTGGCATGTTATTCAAATTCAGCCCCAGCACATCCTTTCCCATAGTGATTGCAAAAAATTATTCAGAGATGGGAGATTTGGAATGAACAGGAGCTTTTCCYTCTGTAGGAGGCAGTGGCGGTCTCTGAGCCATTGCTGGCACAATTCRGAAAGCAGAACAAGCACTTTTAACTTAAAAACATTCTTCACGTACCCTTCCTTCCCATTCTGAGAAGTGGAATGAAACTGTCCTGAAAGAGCACTGTCACAAGGATTTATTCCTCCTTGATCCACTGGAGTAAGTGTAACAGTAACTCTAATGAGTGCAACAGTGTTACAGCAGGATGGAATTATGCAAGTAAAGGAGTTGTGGCATTGTCTTCCATGTGTGGAAACGCGGGGAACATGTCTGCAGAATGTGTTGCCAGCACAGAAGTCTGAGGCACTGCCATCTGTTTCCAGGACTTGCCCTTTTTGCCGGTTTCAGTCTAAAAGTGAAAATCCTAAGTTCTGTTGGACCTCCTAAGAGTGTGTGGGAGCCAATGAGATGCAGAACAACACTGGGTTTCTCAACTAAGGGCAATAAGCACTGATGTACACAAAGTCATAGATAACCATGAAAACTTACCTGGGTAAATCCTTTCTGTACCTACTTTACACAATGCCAGCAAAAGGTTGGACAACCTTAAATATTCTCTCCCTTACTTAATAGGTCGTGATGAGTGATATCGTATAAGTTAGAATGTTAGGTGTGTAAAGTRATTTAAGAAGTGTATTTTAAAAATCATGGTTTCCAGTAGCTTRTCACCATTTTTGGGGCATCACTAGGAGTGCTGCTTTGACCATTTCCACATTAGTGAGAYGTTCATGACGAAGGTACTTTATATGAGGAGAGTTTAGAAAACCTACAATTCTAAAAAAAATATTAAAAAGAAATATGTGTTTTATGTTGAATTACAGGCTTTGCTTTTGTTGTTAGTATCATTGACAAAGAGAGCCCCTAATGTATTCATATCCTTGTGCTTGCAGTTACCTTGTATTCATCTGCTCTCTGCCTTTCATGTGGGTTTTCTTCTTTGCATATGATTTTTTATTTCCTTTGCAGACTTCCATGAAGTTTGCCCTGCAGCTACAATATCAGAGGGACTGTGCTTTTACTTTGYTGTTTTCAATTTTGTTCCTTATTAAAAAGCCAAATCCAAGAGTATTGCAAAGCATGAATTTGCTTTCAAATTATTGTTTGAAATGTTCATTGGTCTTTCACAGTACAGTGCTGTTGTGTGCATTAACCATTTCAAATGACAGCACAACTTTATGTCATTATATCAAGTCTGAATTTTTTGGTGTATCTGTACAAAACCATAAATATGAGAACAATGAGCAAATGTCCTGGGCTTATTTGATTTGATTCTAGTAGGTTGTTTTTTGGAGTGAAACTTCACAGTGTGCTGAAGCAAATACCTGGAGGTTGAGCTGATGGTAATAGAGCTCAGTGTCGTGAGATGAATTAAAGCAAATATTCAAGTCTGCCTATGTTCCAGTGCATAGGTACTGCTGTTGTAGGAGAGTAAGTGTGTAGCTTGATCATAAATACAAGCTCATAAATATTTATAGAAGTCTAGAGAGAATGAAGGGTCTTGACCAGTGTCATTTTGGAAGAAAGTAAGACAAATTTATCTGACAGAGAATAATGGTGTTATAACAACCATGTGGAGGTTTGGACAAGAGCTAATTTTCCCAGTAGAGGGGAATGAATGGAAGGCTTTAGGTGAGATAAATGCAATTTATTAGATTGAGTAACAGTTTATGAGATGAATAGCCCTGACTGTATGTTTCTTCTCTGTGTATGTTCTGCCAGAGCTAAGAAAAACARTCACAGTCCTGATATTCCAAATTCTCCCTTATCGTTGTGTTGCACCCAGTCATCTGTGACTGARTTAAGACACCATGGAGTGCTGCTTGTTGTAATATGTAACATAAATAGAACAAACTCTTCTGTTTATAAAATTAGTGTAAGTTTCCCTTGTGATTTTTATGTTGTCATATGCCTGATAAGCAAAACAATTCAAATCAGACTGAGTTTGGGTTTTGAGGTCTGTATAAAAATATCAGGGAAATACTTTTAATTTGTATTGAGGATTGTAGTTTGTTGAGTCTGAACTTTAGCATCATCTTTCCCCACGGACCATTTAATTAGACATATACTCAAAACATATTTATATCTGATACTCATTGCTGTGTATGGTTTGGAGTGTCAGCAGTTTTAAAACATGAATATCATGGTAAAGAGGACTGTATACAGGATGAAAGAGGTAAATTGTAGATTAGCTTTCAATATAGTATTGAAAGCTTAAAGTGAAAGGAAAAGATAAGCAATGTAATTACATCAGGAGGGTTTTCCAATTTTTACTTTTAAAAAGTGTATTGCAAAACAGAAGGAGATCAAAATTTTTGAAGGTATTGCATGACCTGAAGSTATAAACAGCAGAATCAGCATGTTTTTGTTACTTACTACAGAATTTTTGCAAACATTTGAGAAACAATGCCATGAACAGAATGGCAAGTCATAAAGCTGCTTTCATAAAAAAAAAGCAACTTTTACAGAATACCTCAAAAGCAGGGAGAAAAAACCCACACCATTCCATTTATAATTGGAAATTGTAAGTTCACAAGTCCAATGTAGTAATGAGGAAGGTTCTGTTGTAATAGTCTATGTATAGGAAAAATGTAACTGCCTTGTCTCATATAGCACTTTCTGACATAAGTATGTGACTGCCATGTGCTCGCTGTTGGGACTCAAGTGTTTCTTAAAATGAAGATATCAGGTTGAGAAAAAAAAACAGCACATGCAGATAGGGCAGTGCAGGAAGGCAAAATGTGGACTGGAGCACAAATTTACTGAGTGCATTGATAATTGATATAGAGATGTGGATTCATTCCCTTCTGGGAGGAAAAAAAGGGTGTGCAGGAGCCAGGTCATTGTGATGGAATCAAGGACTGCATGATTATAGCTCCTGTGACACCAATCATATCCCTGTTCTCTACTGAGAAAAATGCCTGCATCCCAAAAGGATTGAACAACGTTCTTCTTGTGGTTGAAGAACATAAAGGGTGATAGACATCTTCCCAAAAATTTGTCTTCWCCTAAAACATAAGAATTTAGGAGCAATAAGCATTGCTTTTTTTTCCTCAAGAAACAACATTTTTCATTGCCTTTTTAAATCTTTAAGGGAGCACTGTGATGACTTAGGCTGGTCAGTTGGGTTACATTTCCTCTGGAAACTGTGATGCTGTTGCAGAGACAGAAATCCTGGAGAGTCATGGTAGCAGATAATCCTTGGTATGTTTTTCAATGCAGCCTGAGGCATGAGAACATTAYTGCCCCTCTATAGAGTCAAACTTGTCCTGGCCTCTCAGCCTGCCAACATTCCCTGATTACATTAACAGGGAGTGAACTCCAGGACAGCAGAACCAGCATGCAGAGCAGTAACACTCCCACTGGCTGTAACTACATCYTGTACAAATCCCGTGTAAGGGTCTGTACCCTTTTTGTATTTTTCTCTCAGCCCTGCCCACTCTCTGTAATCTGCTCTCAACATCCTGATTTGATCTGAGACGAGCATCAAAAACAAGTTGCTAATGAACTTGAGGCAAAATTTCTGACTGCAATAATTTGGAGCAAAGTTCTGCATTAATCTGAGCAGGTTAATGTGTCTGTGTATGGGAGCAACACCTTCCTGCTTTACCCAGGCTGGGTGTTTCTCACGATGACAAAAGCTGCACTGGAAACATTTGGCTATCAGATTTAGCTTCAGGAATCACATTAACATCTCCTTCTTCTTCCTCTGCAGCCTGTCACTGTCACATGAATGGCTCTTTCTCAGAGATCTGTGACTCTCGGACGGGCCAGTGTGAGTGTAAAGCCAACGTCATCGGGCGCCGCTGTGACGTCTGCAAAGTGAGTGAGCAGAAATGGGGTTCCTTTCAGCTTTCTTCCCTGATTGTCATAACTGAATATCATTTGGTTCTGGATATGGTGTTTTTAATTCTGTTGTTTATTTTTCATTGAAAGAGCATATATGGATTTTTCTTGTGTAGAGAAAGGTAAAATGGTTGCTTTTTAAACGTATTCTAAGGCTTTTTAGAAAAAACACAAGACATTGCATTTACATACAATGAATACATTTTAAGCTTCACTGTATCTATGCATTGTATATACGTATATATAGATACATATATGTATATAGAMACATATGTATATAGATACAATGGTATCTATACCGTTGTATACATGTATATACACTTTATATTCTGAATATTTGTTATAAATAAATTAGTTTAAAATATTGCAGCTTTGCGAGATAATCCCTCTATGAAGAAAGTTGCAAAATATCTGGTAGCATCTGATTTTTTTTTAAGAAAAAAAAGCAGAATTCTAGTTTAGTTCTRCTGCAATGTTTTGCTTTTATAGTTTTTTTTTTCTTAGAGTTTCTTCTTGTGTTGTCCAAACAATGTATTACTTTTTGGTGAAAGTGTTTTTTGCCTTGACATTGTTTTCCTGTCTCATAAATCACTGCAGAGAAATATTGTTTCATAAACTTTCACAGAGTTGTCTTCAGGCGGCTAAGGAATATGCTATAGCTGGCTGCACATTTCTCCAGTTCAACATAAGGACTCCTGAGTTAGGCCTGTGTCCTCAGAACACCTCCACCTGTGTGCAATTTAAAGCCCATAAATAACTCTGCAGAAATCAAAAGGATCATTTTCATCCTTTAAAATTATGTAATTTCTGAAGGGGTTTGCTCACACTCCTCTTTCAACAGTATTTAAAGAGCCTGTTCAAAGAAAAATTGCTGATATCAGTGGAATTTGCAAATTGCATAAGGTACCCAGCAAAAGTCTCAAGCTCATAAATACAATACTGGTGCTCAATTGGAATTAATCTTTGTTTACTTCTGTGTTTACTCCTGTCTTTATTCCTGTACTCTTTTTATGTGGTGTTATCTTTTATGTGGTCTGTCTCATTATCTTCACTTTCTAACAGTCTTTACTTTTAATTTACTTTTCATTCTTTAAGCCCAACTACTTCTGGGCCYCCGAGAAGCTGTTTTGTATACCCTGTGGCTGCAGTGCTTTAGGATCCGTGTCACTGCAGTGTGATGCGTTGGGAAGATGTGTCTGCAAATCAGGATTCACRGGCAGACGCTGTGAAATGGGCACASAGGTGCCTAAATTGSAAGMAAATGCAGGAAGCAGTCAGCAGATTCGAGTACCCCCRCGGAGGTGGGGCACCGGCAGCGCCGGTGGGTGCCCACGAGGYGCTTACCGTCCTGCAGCTCTGGTAATGGGCAACTCTGCTTTGCATGGGCTGGAGTCCCTGTTTGCTTGTGTTTGGAACTCACAGAGTTTGCTTGTGGTTTTAATTTTTATTAATGTATAGTTATTTTAATGTTACAATATGAGAAGTTCTCGAGGAACAGCCAGGCTTGGAAGACAAGCGGCGTTTTAGGATGCTTCCCCAATCCTAAGGGTTCATCGTGCAAGTGGTGATATCAGAGAGAAATTAGATACCAGAATAAGTCCAAAACCAGCACCATCAACAGCAGTATGCACAAAATGCATGGGAGATGTACATAAAACAGTGGATTTTCTTGGACTTTGCAGCATAAGACATCCTTTTCTAACAATTCAAGTATCAATAGCTTAAGGAGTTTGCAAGAAGGATCATCCCCACAGGCAAAGAGTTAAGATCTAATTTTAAAATATTGATCATAACTGGTGTTAAAAGTTCTCATGAGTGAATGCAGCAAGTTGTGTGAGCCATTTTTAACTCAGTGCAGTGCCAGTTATGTGAGTGTAATGCCCAAAATGACAGGAGTGTTTGTTCCTTATCACAAACCAACAAAGCAACTTATTTACTAAAATTAAGTAATTGTGATACAACTGCTTCTAACAGAGCAGTATTTTAGGAATGTTGTTTGCTCCCCCTGCAATTCAAAACCTCCACACATATCACACCCTCTTTGAAAAATACCTGGCAGTGTTTTTCATCCTCAGCTAGACTCTCAGACCCATGGTGTATCCATTCATATGGATTCCTTTGGAGAAATGAGCTTTTTCCCATTAAATGTGTGTTGGCTTACTGTGTTGCCCACACAGCATACGGTTGTAGACATGATATAATACATTGAGAAAATCCACTATATTTCCTAATTGTAATCTAGGATCTTATCTCTTGTTCAGTAAAYGTAATTCTTAGAATTTCTGTGTGTAAACAAACTTTGCAGAGAATTTTAACTTTGCATGTCTGGTCAAAATATCTTTGTGTTAAGCCCTCCTCACAGAGTGCAACCCAGCATGCTGGTGGCCTTTTCCAACTTAATGCAGTGTGSAGTGCTAGTATCAGACCTTTTCTGACTGTCGCCCTCTCAAACAGAATTTATTAGATTCTATCTACATTGAGAACTGAGATGCATGCTGTGCATTGGTTGCTTCACTGCATTAATCTGAGTATCTGTCCTGAGATTRTGCATATTCACATTTCTGTGTGTTTCTCCCTGTGTAAATGAAATCTTTAGACACAGTCAGGTAATTTATTGAACCTTGAGTTTAATTAAATGAATTTGATGCACCATGTTTTGTCATGCAGAAGTATAACATTTGCAAAACATTTCGATATAGAATTTGGAAATGAAAATCAGTGTAGTTCTTAATTACATGTAAGATCAAGCATTCGCTTATGCATTTGCTCATATGATTCTTCAGGCCAAATTCTGACCATAGATGTGGTCCTATATTCTGACACCTATCAGCAGATTCTCTTATGTGAATGGGGAACTTCTGTATTAACCTCAGAGATCAGATTTCAGGACTTTTTTGTGGAAAGCTTCCGAAGTTTCAGAGAGTTCACCAATACAAGGGGTCCTACCGTGAATTTGCATATGAAGTATGATTTGTTCCAAGGAGCCTCCGTTGATTGGTGCAGTGAAACCCACGAGGTCTTTTGGTTGAACGTTTCATGCAGAACTCTGTATCACAGTATACAAATGAATGTGTCATTCACACACACTTTTTGCTCTCCACTAGTGAAGTTAAGGAGAAAATTTATTACTACAGTTGATAGCATCTACTCTGGTTCTGTAGAAACTATATTGATCAGTGCAAAAAGAGAGAAAAGGAAGAAAATAGAAGAGAAACAGAGGTCTAATCCAGAGTTTTTATCTTAAAAAAAATCCCCATTATTGTTTGTATTGTACACAAATACATTATCTCTATGTTGTTCTAAAGTTATTCCTATATATCATTCTAAAGAATTGCCCTCAAGTTACTGGATACAGATATTGCCTTTGCTCAGAGGAGATAAAATCTCATTGTTCAGAGGCTTTCCAGCTGAATTGATCTCCATTCATAGCTACAAATTTAAATTCACTCTCTTAGCAACAAACTCTGCCTGACATAACCTTACAGCCAGGGACAGGGTATGTATGCAGTGCTGACATACATTCCATTCCAAGTGAGARTTGTACTTAGGGAAACACAGCCTTGTAAGAAATGTGTTACATTGCAGCACATTCATGACAGCATCAGGTAACATGCTGAAATCTTTATTCTTTCTCAGTAGTGTAGGGCATTTAGGGTCCTTGCTCCAGGGTTTTACCACTACAGTTTCATTAAAAGTACTATTTCAGTGATGAAGAGGAAAGAGCAACCCTTTCAGCATTCCCTCTTTTCTCCTGGTCATCATTCCATGTACTAACTGCTTTTCCCCACTCTGTGGCAGCCTGGAACATTTGGCTTACAGTCTTCAAGAGGATGTGTTCCCTGCAACTGCAACTCTTTTGGTTCCAAATCCTTCGATTGCAATGGAGAAGGACAATGTTTTTGCCAGCCTGGAGTGACAGGAAAGAAGTGTGACCGCTGTGCACATGGATTTTACAACTTTCAAGAAGGAGGATGTACTCGTAYGTAAATTTTTTGCACGCAAGTGCAGATCGATTTATTTGTTTGTTTAGTTATTTATTAAATTATTCCTAAGATTCTAGTTTTGCTGGGTTTGGATTGCCTAACAAATTTTCCTGACATTTAGGGTGTTCATAGACATCCTTGTACATCATTCAGTTGGCAAGGGTGGTGATTGGCAAGKATGAAAGGCCCAAGCAATTTCTGCTATTTTGTGGGCAGTTTATGGCTAACCTGCTACATTTAGAAGGAACAGGAATGTCATTTACTCCAAGYAGTGTCTGCCAAAAATATCCTGTGCAGCTCCTATAATTTAGTAAAGGTGTCATAGAACTCTAATTAAAATTCTTGCCAAATCACATCAGCTTGAAGGGGTGTGAAAGGAAAACAACAACAAACCCTCTTTGCTTCTAGTTTTATCCAAAACCTTTTCATTGTCCTTATATGGCTGATCCTCTTGCATTACCACAATCATTTTCTGTATAATACTTAGTTTCTTGCAGACTTGTACTTTTTGTGTACAAGATCTTCAAGTAAAACTATCTTCAGTGTCCCTTATGTGAAGACATGAAAAGTCTTCTTTTCTAGATGCTGAAACTCTAGCATTGCACATAAATGTATTCAGCCACTTATTTACATTTATTTTTGTCCTTTTGGAAATTAGTTCAAAAACTGAATGAATGCTTCCTCTCCTTGAAGTACTACAGACTGCTATATCATAAAGAACTCAATCAATAGGTTTCTTCACAGGGAAATATCCATCTTTCCTGATAGAATTGTGTTTTTCAAGTCTCACAGAATCATTTAGGTGTGATCACAGGACATGTAGATAGTTGTCCAGTGTGACTGACTGCTRGGAATAATAGTCAGAATGCTGCTATTATTCTTCAGGTATAAAGCATATTTTTTCCAGAAGCAGAAATCACAATGACTGGTAACCTCTTCCTCCTTTCCTATCCAGAATGGCAGCAGAAGCAGCAAGCTTAGCTCTCTGCCTTTTCTTACTCCTCTTTTTTTTTAATGGAACGAGCATCAAGTCCTTAAGACCCACATTTGTGCAGCAAAATTCAATTTTACCTATGGTGTGGCTAAACCTTGAAACAGGGTGGATTATAGATTATGTTTGAAACCATTGCTCTGTGTTATTGTCTCCCATGGGAATGAAGGGTTCAAAAACACTGACAGGCCTGAAAAGTTCAGATACCTTGACACCTGGGAAAAGGGACAGATTGATTCACAAGCTCACTGATGATAGAGGTTGAAAGAAAATGCAAATGATATCTGCAGTCCTTTAGCACTTACATGAAGGGAAAAAATATGATTGTTTATGAATAGCATCTTATTTTAACATTCCATGGGTTAAAAGTACRTCACTATTGTGAAACATGACAAAAYRTTGATAGCTATAGTTGGGGAAAGAAARTGAGAGGSCTGTTAATAAAATTGCTCATTAGAATTTTAACTGTTCTCTTGGCGAACTTTGACATAGTTTAAGAAACAATGATGCAATGGTAAAGTACTGTAGATCCAAGCAACATTTTAAATAGAAATGTTTCAGCCTGTGGYCATCAGATGTTGAAAGCAACAGCAGCAGCTATAGATGATCAGAAAATTCAGATTTTTAAAGGTTTCAAAGTTAATAGAACAGATGGAGAGGAATTCTGTTTTCAATGTGCTGTTTTTTCCACAGTTATTTTTAGTAGGCTTCTTATGTATACCTTCAAATGACAAAAAATAAGAATTAAATTATGAATCACAAAGAAAATCAGAAATTTAATAGAATTCTATCAAATTGTGCTGGGAAGAAAAGTACAGAAAAATTAATTCCATTGTGACAGTTAAATATCAAATAAAATATTGGACTTCTTTTATCTAGCATTTATCCAAAAGGAATATAATTTGATTTTTTCTTGTCCAAAATAAATCCATGAAGTCTGAAAAAAAMCAAACACTGAAAGCATTGTCAGTGTTGACATTCTAGCAGAAAAGATACAAAAGAGATTTCTRTTTCATTATTGCTTGCAACARTTGTGTTGTATTTTTTCCTCTTAYTTAGAAAAATAATTTTAAAAGTAAAACCAGAAAAAAACTATTTGAGTGTCTCCTACCCCTCCATGCCTTTTAAGCTAATTTTGTTTAAGACCTGGAAAACCATACAAGAGCTGTCACACATGAAAGCCTCAGGCTCCCATTGAAATGTATTCTGAAAATTCAAGCTACAGTCTGTGAAAATACTTTAAGTAGRATGCAACACATTGTGTTCTTGGCATGATGGAGGCAAAACTTGTTATCTTCTTTGCATCAATTACCTTATCTTGAAGGCTTTGGTGGGGAAAAATAAAGGTCACTTCTTATTTGAGCTATCGATAGGAGCACATCCTATCTTTGCATATCCCTTGTTTTCTAGTTTCAATCTGAATTGAAGTATTTCAYAGTAAAGGCAATGAACAAAAATGAAGCACTCAATAATGAGGTTACATTGCCCTTTAACCACCCCAAGGAACAGGTTGTTTTTCTCTGCATTACCTTATGGGAAGTGTGGATGGTGGGTGTGAAAGCAACCWTGCACCAGTTCTGCTCTTCCAATTACTTATTGTCTTGTGCCCCATAACTGCTCATCACTTACTTGCCTTAAATCTGTATTTATCTCCAAAGAGTTGCTCACTTAATAATCCTTTAAGAGCCAAGACCGCTTCTGGAAGCACTTCCAAACTTGAAGTATTTTTAATTTAGTATAATCTGCAAAGAATACCAGTTTTCCATAGAGAGGAAATATCAGTTCGTTGATATCCTCCCAAGTCAGAGGATATGTAAGCTGAAAAAAGAAGGAACAGAAAGGGAAAAAAACCTTAAACTACCTTTTTTGCCCTGTAAGAAAAGTCTCTTTAGAGCAGCAGAAATTTCAGAAGGTATTTGTCAGGTTGCTGTAAGAGGTTAAATAGACTGTAAGTTCCCTGTGTGGATGGCTCTGAGGCACTCAGGTGTCTTCTTAGAGGAGACAGCATGGGCCCAGGAATTGTATAGCAGCACTCCTGCAGTTATGTCACAAGAGTGCACCATCTCAGAAGTCTTTGCACTCCTGGAGTTGGTGCCTTTATTTTTCCCATTCTGTTMTCATTGCAGTTACTTCGACCACAGTTAACCTGTGTTCCACTGCTACTGGTTTTGGTTTCTTGGGGTTTACCCTACCTTTACTGTCCCATTGTGTCCACTGATAACTGAGAGTTCACTGTACAGTAAAGAAATGATCCCTGTTAGGATTTGCTGTCCAGATGTCACATAAAGGGATGACTTTTCCTCTGCTGTATTTTTTTGTCTCTCCCATGAAGCCTGTGACTGTTCACGTTTTGGCAATAATTGTGATCCCGTCAGTGGACGCTGTATCTGCCCTCCCAACACTGTTGGAGAGATGTGTGACAAATGTGCACCAAATCACTGGGGCCATAACATTGTCAGTGGCTGCAAGGTGAGTTCATTTATATTTTCTCTATGTGCATTACCCCTTTCACAGCAATTTATAGCTGGGACAGAATTTTTGGTTTGCAAATCATGGTTTATCTCCATATTGCAAGTGTTGGTGTCAGACTGGTGCAAATGTTGGCAATCTGTTACTGTTACTGCTCTACAGATCCTCTGTCTCAGGTTTGCAGCCTGTTATACAAAACACCCTGTTGATTCTGCTGTCACACTGAGTCAGTGTCCAGTGCTTGAGCCTGGTTTTATTTTATTATAGCTGTGTTTAACATGATTGAGGAGATAACCACAGTATTGAATGATGTCTGTAGATGTATATTTACAGGTAATCAGCAGTGCCTTTGGGGGACAAATCTACTTTGGCCTTAATGGTGACACCACTGGGAATTTGTACACAAAGTTTTGCTTGAGAAAGGCTTCAATTTGTACATAAAAGACAGTCAGGAGAAAAGAAACACCCACCTAAGTTGTAAATTGCATTTTCTTCCCATGTTTTCAAAGGGAAAATAAATGTTCACATGAACATTTAAATCCTTCATATTCTAATATTTGACACAGAGTTAAAACATCTGAAGAGAAGGGAGAAGAAATAGGAAAACAATGACAGAATGTCAAGGAGGCCATGAAAGCCCCTGGAGTTGAGGGGTGCAGTATTTGATTAAGGTTGCAAACTGGTGACAGTGGACATCGTGCAAAGTTCAAATGCTTTCTTCCTCCCTGCTGGAGGATGATGAGGGATTTATAGCACTGCTACAATTGCTCAAAAAAACTGTATCTTTTCAGAACATAGTCATACACCATTAATACTTGTTCTTAAAGGCTGTTTGCCATGTAGCTCAGGCTGCAAAGCAATTGTCGAGAATGATTTCTTTTTTGTATGTATGAAAAGCTCCTGTGAAACCTCAGTGGTGCTGCTGTGATAGAGGCTCCTGGCTTCTGAAACCAGCCTAATGAGGTTGAAGACCTCCGTTTGAGCTCTGGAGTATATTCTCTGATTGTCTTTTATGTGAGCACATTAGTATGACAGTTCCATGGCACCATCTAAATTAATGATGATCTATCAGCCCACATCTCTTTCAGTATGTAGCTGCTAATTTCTKCAAAGTAAGATGTGAATCTCCTGCTTGCAGTCTTTGTTGAATATTTCCAAGGCTGTTGTAGTCTGGGGTAGAGAGCATTGCAGAAAACTGCATAAAACAAACACAGTGTCTTATTGTAATTTAATTTTTATATTGCACACCAAGCTATTTTGGAGAATGGTGAACTGTTTGCTTTCTAAGCTTTGTGTTTGTTCAAATATATCTTGAAGTATTAAGCTCTTTCTGTCAGAAGGTTTTATTTTTTAGGTTAGGTAGTAGTCTAGCAGACTAAYACTTAATCAGAGGTTAAATAGTTTTTCTTGCATTCACTAAAGATTTCACCTGTATATTTCCTGTATATATTCACCTTCTTTATAAATGGTGTTTTCAGATCAGAGGAAAGTTGCTCTTAGTCATGTAATAAGTTTTGCTTAGAAACTGAACCCGCATTTTCTTCCTCTCTTTTTTCAGCTTTGTCTGTAATTTTAGCAAGTCTATCCATGTCAGTTACTGTGGCAACCTCTACTCCTGGCACTGAGTTTGCTTTGTAAGCTGAACTTCTCCATATGACATTCTGGTCACACCRGTGATTACAGCTAGTGTCCTGTATTAACTGTGCAGTGCTGCCACAGTAATAGCACTGAGGGATTCTCCTGTTTTTTGGAAATCTGCAGTTTTCCCTGATACTTACTTCTCTATTCAATATCTAGACAAATAAACCCTGGAAAATCACCTATTCCTATCACTTGCCTGCACAAGTCTTACTCTGCGAGCAAGTTTACTTACAAATAGATCACAAGACTAAATCTCTAGCCCTTACTGTGTAAATTACTGTCATCTAGGAGCCTTRTTTGTACAAAGAGGATAGTTACCTGTCTGATGGATGAGTAATAGACATTGAACTAGATTCCTSTGGAACCACTGAACCAATTGCTCCYGAGCAATTSYAATTTTAGGAAAGTGTTCTGAAAAATCCTGCAGAGAATTTCCATACAAAATACTTTTTGGAGAGCGCTTGTAGTTTCTGAGTTAATTTTGTCTGCAGAGTATTCCAATGTCTTTGACCCTTTTAGGTTTATTTGTTTTCAATGTCTGACTTAGCAGTGATAGGTAATAACAATCAAAAAAAATCCCACCAGTGTTGTAAATGTATTTACTGTGAATGCTTGACCCTTGTTGAATAAAAATAAATTACCAGCCTTATAATTTAGATATGTTATTTATAGACAGTGGAAATTCACTGCTGTATTTGATTTATAGATACTCGAAAGAGGTGAATTGCTTTTTGGTTGGGTTTTGGTTTGGGTTGTTTTGTTTTTAGATTTGGTTGGTTTGGGGTGGGTTTGGGGTTTTTAGATTTGGTTGGTTTGGGGTGGGTTTTTTTTCAGAAGCACTATTGCAATTATCTCCTTGTTTCTCTCCTTTTCAGCCCTGTGAGTGCAGCCTCGTTGGAGCCCTAAGTTCTCAGTGTGACTTGAATACGGGCTGTTGCTTCTGCCGCCCTGAATTCTCTGGGGAAAAATGCACTGAGTGCAGGATGGGCTACTGGAACTATCCACATTGTGTTGCTTGTCAGTGCTTCCTGGCTGGGACTGATCCACAGAGCTGTGATGCAGAGGGGAAGTGCTCATGCACTGATCATTCTGGCCAGTGCAGCTGCAAGGTACGATAATGAAGGTTGTAAACCGATCTTATAACTGCTGAGTTTTTTCAGAATCCATTGACACTTGCACTTWCTTGTTCAAACAATATATGCAGAACAATTTCTTTGGTTTTCTTAGTGCATTTGCAAACTGTTGTGGGAGGAGTCCAACATAAACAAAGCCTTCAGTGCTTACCAGTTGCTTTTTCCTGTACTGGCACTGGCCAGGATGACATCCTCTTAAGCATTTTTCTCCATTTTTTATTTCTTTCTGTTCTTACAGTACTGTTGCCAGTTCCCCATAATACAATTCTTGTTCAGATACTGGGCACAACAAAAGCAAACACTTGAGTAATCACAGTGTGCCACAGTGCTAATTCAAAGTGCATTGACTTAGAGGAAGTCAATATTCATCATTTTATGCGAGAAATTCACTGCAATAGTATCTGTTCTGAGTAGACTTTATCCAGTTCAGGATCACTGAAACAAAGACTTTTGGCATCATCATCCACAACATTCTTATTTGGAAGCAGGCTTGGAAGAACAGCACATTTAGGTGGTTTGAGAATTGGCTGGATTAAAGGGCAAGAATTGGTGGTTTGATGTGCATTTGGTAGACAGCAGAGTATCCCAGAGCCAATACCTTCATCAGCGACACAGATGACAGAATTCACGATCGGCACATTTGAAAATACTGCTGACTTGGAGGAGGTCGAGGTTGACGTGCTGAACAGTAAAATTACAGTCTAGAGGCTTTTTGAAAAGCCTGATGCCTGGGAAAATAGAAAGATCATTAACTAGAGTAGAATGACCTCAAGAGCCAGTAGTTTYGGAGAAAAAAGCCTGAGTAACAATCCTGTTGGAAAGCACAATATAAACCAGCCAGGTTTTTTGGGGTGGGTGGGCTTTTTGCTGGAGAGCTCATGCACTGAAAAATGCTGGTTTAGGGAAGAAAATCATGAAGTCTTTGACAGGTAGGTCACGTCTGAGTAATAGTTACTTGTCAAAAAACCCATAGAGTTTGACTCTGATTTCCTAATTTAGGATATTTCCAGAACTGATGGTGCAGAGTTTATACTGTGATTTACTCTCATGGTAAATAAGRCAAACTGCCCACTGAGCTGGATGCAGTGAGCTGAGCAGTGAACACAGTGGCCAGTGCAGCTGCAAGGTGGACATCACAAGGAGCATGATGWGCAGAGGAAAGGCTTTATCTACTCAGTGCTCTACTCTAACTGCAGTCAGTGCTGGTAAGATTRCACTTGGAAGTGGTGTCCAGTTTTAGGACCTGATTCAAAAGGGTTGTTGAGAAATTGGAGAGGATCCAGAGAAGAATCCCACAGCAGATGATATGTGAGGATGTACTGAGAGAGCTGGACTCTCCTAGTCTGAAAAAAGACACTTAATAAGGGGAAGTGCAATTACAGCCTATATAGCCACTTCAAAGAGTAGTTGATGGAATCAAGTCCTTTCTGATGTTGACAGAAAATGTAACAAGGGACAACAGCTGCAAACAGAAGCTTGGGAATTTTGAGTTGGACATTAGGAAAAAAATATCAGAGTTATGCAGCACTGATACACATTATCCAGAAACATGTGAAATCTCCATTCTACGAGATTTTCTGACTAGAAAGAGGCATGGGTTACTTGAACTATCACTTGTATTGGTGASTCTTGCTTCTAGGAGGAGGTTTTTAAAAGTGACCCCTAGAGATTCTTTCTGTGATCCTGAAGATTCATTCATTCTTCTTTAGGTCTGCATTGAAACAAAGAGCTAGTAAAATGGAAGGATATGAATTTAATTTATTGAATTGCCAGGTAATTGTTTTGTTAAACGGACACCAGTCACTTTAATTCTGGATTTCAAGACTCAGAACTGGAGAACAAATTAGGTTGGATCTATGGAAGTCATTGAGTCCTGCACCTTGTGTAAAAGACATGCTGAGGCAGTGCTTCCAAGGATGGGGACCGATTTCACGACCTCTTTGTGCAAACTGCTTGACCACCCTCCCCTCTTTCTGGTATATTTGAACAGAAAACATCWTGTTTCACAAATACTGATTCATTTSATGATGATGACRCCRTAAGAAAACTGAACTGAGTTGACCACATGGACAGTCTGAATAAAACTCAGTGCTGTTTGCCCTGTGTCAGCCTCTGAAATGAAGAAATCAAAGTATMTCAATTCTTTCAGCCTCTCTGGACRCATGATAAGCAGCAGTCTCTCTAACCATCTTCGTGCCCCATTTCTAGGTTAGGTCCAGTATGTCACAGAATTACAGAAGGGTCAGGAAGGGGCCACTGGAGACCATCAAGTCCAACCCCCCTGTTCMAGCAGGGTCYCCTTAAGCACACKACTCAGGATTGTCTGGACTGCTATCTCYGGAAAAGTGGACTCCACAACTTCTCTGGGTCATCATCTTTCTTGTAGCTCTTGTAAGCACTAAGTAGAAAGAGCGGGTGTTCAGGGCATTTTAAAATGGAAATGTTTCTTTSTTGATTCTTTTAAGTCTGATAATATATTTACTTCTGTGTTTCTCTGAGTGCAGATGAACATCATATATTTAGCTGATGATTCATGATAAGGAAGTGCAACTGACATAAAATTCAAAGTGAGTAAAAATCACCATTTAAGAGAGGAAATGGACAAATAATACTGAATAAAGGAAGCATTTTTCCCCCCCCAGAATTTAAAATAAAGATTAAATTTAAATTTAGGGTTGGTTAATCTTTTGTGTAACTTTTTGGAAAGAGTTATATATTGAAGAAAATAGATTTTTTTAAAATGGTAATCATTCCCATTTAAACCTGCTGTTACAACTGCAGAAATGAGCTTTCAAAGGCTCAGGAGCCTCATTGTCAGCCCTGACAAAAAGCAGCAAAATCTAAGCTAAACACAGTGTAGGCACATTTGTTGATAGAGTTACATGTGGAAATGAGGGTTAAAACTGGTAAATCCTGAGGGATTATGTTGGTTTCTTGTATAAGCAGTGGAAAGTTCAATTTGTTTTTTGGATTGGCTTCTTTGCACTAGTCTCAAGAGAGAAAAAAAGATGTGTGGGGAGAAAAAGCCAACCCGCRCTTTCATATTGGTGTTTTTCTTTCTTTTTAATACCTTGGTCTCAGTATGAAAATGGTTTTAAAAGGCTCTGCATAAATTATTGTGTATCTGCCCTATCTGGAATGGCTTTTTACTTGGACTAATTGAAAAATGAAAATAAAAGCATTGACATTACAACAGTGAAACATTTCAGCCTTGTTAATACTGTTCAATGATGTGGAAAACAATCATGAAGAGGGGAAAGCTTTTCTCTACAGAATTTCCATTAAAATACGTTTCTCAGCAAGAACATTTAATGCTGTACCTTAAATATCTGAACATGTCAGTGCTAATTCCTGTTAAACAGAAGGCTTGATTAACATGGGCAATTTCAGAATAACTTATTTTTCTTATCTTATCAATCAGTTATTGAGCATGTCATGCCCAAAGTGCCATTTAATTTTTCTGTGCTTACAACTTTTAGTGTGAAGCCAGCATCTATTGCTCAGAGCTACTCAGTGAATACAAATGCAAATGCCTTAATTACATTAATTACATATGTTTGCATACACACGTGATGAGAAGCTAGAGAGTTCCTTGAACATTTCCTAACGCTTATTATTATTTCTTTCAGCACCCTGTTATTATCATTACAGTATGATTTTCTTTTTCTATCGCTACTTTGAAATAAGACTTTTTTTTTTTTTTTTTTTTTTTTTTTTTCCCTTTCAAAATATTCTCTCTCTTCCAGGTTAATGTGGAAGGTGTCCACTGCGACAGGTGCAAGTCTGGTACATTTGGTCTCTCTGCCAGAAACCCACTTGGCTGCAGCAGCTGCTATTGCTTTGGCCTGACTACGCAGTGCAGCGAGGCGAGGGGGCTGATCCGCGTGTGGGTGAGTAGGAAACTGCTGAGCCATGTAATGCGATAATGTTGTTTCCTGCTGGCATCTTTTAGTCAGGCACTGAGAGGTAGCTAGAAAATGGCCAAACATTTAAGCAATCACTTTCCTCTTTATGCTTTGAGGAKTGGTGAGAGCGATCTGTTCCATTAGACAATCAGGATCAAGACATTGAAAGGAAATAAGTAGATAAGAAAATGAGTGATAGGATAGCTGACATCCAGCCAAAGTAAAGCTATTAAACCTCAAGAAAGGGCAAGCTAGTCATGTGGGGAAATTATGTGGTCCAGTGCATTGCAACATAATCCCTGGTACGTGATACACAGTTTACCCAGGTGTATTCAGGGGTCACAAATACTTGCTGTCCAGCATAAATTTCCCATAGCTCAGTTAATCTGTTTATTTTCCTTATTGGTTTTGTTGTTTTGGTGGAGTTTTCCTTTATTTTTAAAAAAGAGCTTATTGAAGCTATATTTAAATTCAAGCATGGAAAGGTATAATCCATCAGAGCAAACAAAGAGCTCTACACCTGTTTGTGGAAGAGGACCTTGAGACCTGTGCTGGACTGATAAATAAGGCAGGCTGGATGTCTCTATTTATCTGTACAAGCACAAAACATGCATTGAGAGTGCTGCTGTGCCAGCTCCTCAGCTGCRTTCTGGAGGAGAGATTTCTGATGGAAAATGACCAGTTCTGTCCCCATGTATGGTCAGTGATATCTCTGCTCMAAAGCATGCCAGCCATAGAAGGAATGTCTGCCTAATGTTAATCAGCCACAGCCCCAGACTTGTCATGCACAAGCATCAGTTAGATAAGCATACTTCAGGCTGAAACCAAGTTAATCTCTCTTGCTTAATATAATATGGATAGCACTTATTCTCYCCTTCATTGTTCAGTCCCGTAACASCTCTTTCCCTTCCCAGTGGATGAAGTGATTTATTATGATCTGACCCAGTTTTTCTCATTATTTCAGTTTTGCCCATCATATGCTRCTAGACTGGAGATGAAAGGCTGTAGAAGGCTGACAAGTTATAAAATTTAATCAAGTTCRTACCAGCAACAGTTCTGGATAATTGTGCTTTGACCTTTGTGGCAGCACAAAGCAGAAACAGTTTAAACTGCCTGATTATTTTGTTTCTCTTGATAAATTTTCTTTTGTGTTCATGCTCAAATCTGAAGAAGTGTGTGTCCATGTCTCATCTAGTATTTGGTACTCTGATCTATTTCAGAATTGATACAGAGCTGTGAACTGTAGAGAGACTGTTCTGTGAGCTGCTAGTGGCTGTTTCAGATATTCTCAGGTGCTTCAAATGACATTAKACTTGTTTAAACAAGTCTTACATGACAATGAGGCATGGCTGATAAATGATCTGAAATTCAAATGTGTTGACCCTTTTCTTAAGAATTCTTAAGGTGAAGTATTAAATAGTAAAATTCAGTTGTGATATAAAATTAGTAAATCTCACTTAGGGCTATTAATGTTAGGAGTGCTTCCATGTGTGATCATTCCACAGATCCTGCCGTAAATGGAACTACCAGGATACTGAAAGTACAGTACAGGGCTTGGTTGATTCCTCATTACCTGACTCGTGTCACATGATTAGTTTGTTGAAGGGGTGACTGTTAACCTGCATTTGTTTTCTTTGTCTTCCTCACTCTTTGGGAGAAAATATTGATACCAGCCTTTTGCATCCACACATTCCCTGAGATAATTCCATTGGCACAGAATTACTGAGACACTTACTGCAGTTTTTGGTCAAAATCATTATTTCAGTATAATACTAATGTCAACCAATGTAGGAAAATTACAAGCATGTAAGTGGCAATCACGTGGTTTTTTAGTAAAGCTGAATTTAGAGTTACAGAAACCCTCACTGGGGCCTCACTCTTTGCATATTGCCTGGAGAGCATTTAGCTTGAATATTGCATGGAAGTATCAAGGGATCCAGCACTGTGTTCCACAGCTCCGTGATGTGTAATGACTGGTGGTGAGAACTCTGCTTCTTCGTAAGGTACATTTCTCACAATCTGAACAAAAGAGGCCTGAGACTGAAATAGCACTTTGAAAATCACTTTGATAAAATTCATAGAATCACTTGCTGATTAAAGTATTTTAACCAGTGCTACTACATTCTTTGTTAACRTGAGGACAAGGTGCAAAAGGCTCAAGGGGAAAGTCATTATTAGCACTGTTCATACCTCCAGTAGCAAGGCTGCTTTGTGACAAATTGCTCATGATGTGAAATGAAATTACCTAGAAGTAATTTTTTAAAGAGCTAGAATTTAAAGACTAACACTTCATGGGGAAAAATACAGTTAATTTTCTTCTCAATTTTTTCRAATATGCACAGGTGACCTTGAAGCCAGAGCAAATGATTCTGCCACTGGTGGATGAAAAGCTTCAGCGTAGCACTCTATCAGGGATTGCATTCCAGCCTCCTGAAATAGTAGCAAATATAGARCAGGTGATGCAGGATCTTCGGTCAGAACCTGTTTACTGGAGACTTCCAGAGCAGTTTGAGGGACGAAAGGTAAAACCAAAATTCCACTGAGCACTGACATACTGACATGGATTTTTTTTTTTTTAATCTTATATTACTATTTTACAGCACCTTTTATCCCTCCCAATAAGCATATCTTCACACAGTGGAAGGTTCTTCAAAAGAAAATAAATGCTATTCCATTATTAAAAATTGTGCTTTCTTATTATGGAAATTCATGAAGTAACACAAACAATATTTTACATGTTAATATCTGTAAATATGTATGTTATATGTTCCACAGGATACATTTGCTCATAAGAATGTTATTTGAAAAATTAAGCTGCACATACTTAATATAATACTCTTGCAATTTTTTSTTTCTCTCATTTTTAAACAAAAAATACCTGACATTTGAATATTACATAGGAGGAAATGATTGAAATAACCCTCCTTTTGGATGTTGCTATGCACCTCTGGGAAGATTTATTTTGCACTTATGATATTTCWTGGTTTGGGGGAACACCAAGGCACATACAAAGAAACAAATAACATACTGGTTTTACTGTTATGCAGTAACAAGTTGTTGATGGGTGTTTTTGTCCTTTTCCCCAGATAGTTCCACAATTGTTATGTATTGTGTATTGTTATTTTCTACCATGTATTCTAGCATTCATCAGGCTGCACATAGGTGCAGAGCACATCTAGCTCCTTCCCAGGAATTTATTTTTAGCTAACTGAAAATGAGATTTCTTTCTGTGCCTTGTCAGCTGACCGCTTATGGAGGGAAACTGAAATATGCCATCTACTTTGAAGCACGAGAAGAGACAGGTTTTACTACTTACCAYCCACAAGTCATCATAAGAGGCGGGCCTCCCACAAATACGAGAGTTATCGTCCGGCACATGGCAGCCCCTCTGATTGGGCAGCTGACGAGGCATGAGATAGAGATGACAGAGGTAATGTTTCCATCTGCTTTTTTTAGCCCCAAACTCAAGCATACAGTTCTTTTGAATATTGTTCTTTTGTGTTTCTGTCTTTCAGCATGAMTGGGAATATTATGGTGATGACACGAGAGCCAGAAACCCTGTGTTCTGGCAGTATTATCCTGGTAACCCAGGTCCCAACAGGACGATGTCCCAGGCAGATTTCACCTGGAGACAGTATGGAGATGACTCAAGACCAAGTAGGCCTGTATCCCGGGAAGACTTCATGAACGTGTTGTATGATGTTCATTACATCCTCATCAAGGCGACTCATGGCAATATCATGAGGCAGAGCAGGTAATTCTTTCATGCAGCGATCTGAAATAGTGCAGTAGTCACAGATAACCTCAGAGACCTCCCAGCTATTCCCAACAGAATTTGTATTCYTGACATTAGCTACAAGCCGTTGCTGAGAAAAAAGAGCAGAAGGAATTAGCGTTCGGCAAAGGAAAGACATAGGAGAGGGAAGTTTTATGCAATAGAAGATTTAAATCACAGCAGGCAAGCAGAATCTCTATTTTCAGGATCCTCTAAAAGAAAACACATGTAGGCACACATATTCTGAAACAAACAGTGTATTTTTTAATAAAGCTCTACTTTATGAAAACATGGTACTGTAATTAAATATAAATGTTAGCCTATGAAGGAGTTTTCTTCTGAGTGTGGGAAATAAAAAATTTTGGGGTCAGATATAACATTTTCTATTCCATCTATTAATTAATAAGTTATGCAAGGAAATAAAGATAAAACTAAATTTGAAGTGGACATCAGGCRGCAACATGACAGGAACAGTACCAGTGTGCTCCAGTCTAAAGGTCAGTAGTCACACTGATAGATTTTACACTGAAAGCAGCAGTCAACTGAACAAACAAAGAACAACTGCTTAGTTACCKATTCTTCAAAGAGAAGTCTGATGTTTACAACATATTGAACATGATTCAATAACAATGTTCTTGTTGAGAAACGCTAATTCTTTACCTGTGTGTATAAATAGATATGGCCTGCAAAGTGAAAAAAACAACCTCTTACTTCCATCCAACACCAGTACAGTCTAAACATGAAGTTCTGGTTCATGGAACTCAAGAAAAAAGTTATTAAAGATCTCAGAGGATATCAGTGAACATCATTGCAGGTTAGAAAATGTGACGTGAGAGAACATGTAAAGAAACAGRTATTTAGAAACTAGAAATTGCCTTAAGATGCTTAAAATTTTGTCACAGAGAGAAAGGAAAAAATAGTTCTATGCTGCCATGATGGGTAAGTCGAAAACAAAAATGAACTTAAACTTCAGCAGAAAAGATTCACATTAGACATGAAAGATAAACTGCTGGGGGTAAAGAAGTTCCAGAATAAATTACACAGACAATTTTGAAAAGTTTTTACTATTCAATTCACAATATCCTTTGCATTCAAAATTTATTGGCAAGGACATGGCAATAATCAGAGATAAACTCCATAGGTCTCCAGAGGTCCTTGTTATGATTCTGTCATAAAAGTGATAGGCTAAAATGATACCTATATTTTTAGGGTACAAATAGGTCTTCAAGAGCCTTGCCTTTGGAGTTTGAAGATGAGTCATAGGGACAGATACCATGCAACTTCACAGCACTGTGTGACAGAAAGCATTMATTGTTGCTGCTGTTGTCTCTCTTTAAAATATGTAATTTACAGAAAAGTATTCATGCAGCTTGCACTGGCTAGATGCTAAATATTGGTAACAGATGCCATAAGTGTTTAACATTGCTTTCATTTATTTTTGGCGCAGTCCATTTAGGATATTGTATTACAAGCATAGGGGATTCCCAGGAAAAGTGTTATGAAGGTAACTCCAATGCAATGTGGAAAATTTGAGAAGCATGTTCATGTTTCATGGATGTTTCTCTCTTCCCTTGAAGCAGTATAGATCTTAGTTCAGCTGCAGAAGCAAAAATTGAATACTATCTCAGCTCGAGTGTCAAAAGGAAAGTTACAAAAGCAAAGCTGATTTTGTTCTGGGGTGCGTGTGACTGCACTAGACCTGCACCATAATGCACCATCATTTTATCAAGGCTACCCAGTGTGAGGCAGTCAGAGCAGGGGGAGAATTCTCAGTTCCAAGGCAGGTTTGCAAGGTGTCACTTAAAGAATCAGWATATATTTTTACAGCATGGCATTTCAGAATGTGACATTTTATGACAGCAGGACTTAGCAAACAGTTCATCTGGTCTTTCTGGTAACTCTTCATCTGAAGTCATAACCTTGCATATAATTCTGTATTTGATTTTGGAGGCGGTAATGTTACAATGGATTTTTATGATCTGTCTAGTTAAAAAGTTAACATTTATCACATGGCATCTGAGACTTCAAGTAGAATATAGCAGGAATACATTTTGGGTTTTTTTTCAAGTAAGTGCCTTGAATGATTTCAGTGGAAGTTTTGTGTAAGACTACAAAATAAATCCCAAAAAATGTTTTTAAAGGTTAGTGGAATATTACCTTGCACAAGGATTGAAGGCTTTTATTAAAAATAAGCTGAGACCCTCTAAAGAACAATATTTGTACTCAAATTTAAACATATGTTTGAATTAAGTGACTTACAATAAAACATTTGTTTAAATAGTGTGTGTTGTGCATTCTAAATAAGGGCCTTGTTCTAAACTAGTAAAGCTTCTCTTTCCACCTGACTGCATAGTAGGAAAAGAGATATAAAGCAAAAGCATCTGCRGATGGGAGGAGGAAAATATATATATGAAGTGTTTTTACATTATTTTAGGTTTTAATAGTGCTTTAATTTCAATTGCAAAGTTTAAAAGCTGCAGGTAAGTGATAAACTATAGGAAAAACACTTTAAAATAAAACCAAACTAGCAGCAGCAGTTGGGAATATAAAAATAGTGTTAGCATTCTATTAGCTAAACAGTTTAGTGGCAATGCTAATGTTGTTGCTGCTTCAAAGCTGCAGCATTATTAGTGATTTAGAGGTTTCTGCTCAGAATTGAAACTCAAACATTTTTCTCCTGTATTGTTCATTTTGTTGCCCTCATTTTCACATTCAACACTCTAAATGGAAACATTGCTTTTATTAGATTTTGTTTTGCAACAGGGCTGTGATAATAAATTCCTTGAATTGAAGTATGTGTTCAATTTCACTGCGCATTATTTCAATATTCCCAACCATGATCAGGTTGCAGTTGTTTGACTGCTGCCTAATAGACAGTTTCCAAAAATCAACCAAGCCTGACCTTCCTTAAGTAACAAACAATAGGTAGCTTTGTGGACCTAGAGTGTATTGTTATCTAAATACAGCTGTATGACAGTAAACAGTTTTTCAGCTGTGCCCTCACTCTTGAGGATGATAAAGAGGCAGATTTCATTTTCTTTTCCCATTAAATGTACTGAGTTTTTAAGGTAACTTTACATTGGCATATCAGATCTGAATGGTTTTGTCCTCTTTATTTTCAGTCTTCTGTTTTGACCTGACTTTGTTTGCTTGGGGTTGTTTTTTGTTCAGTTTCCCTTCTTCAGTTTCCCTGAATCCTTTTCTTCAGGTAGTGAGAAGAGAGCACAGGGTTTAAGTTTCTCGATTGATTTGGGGAGTTTTATATTGACTCAAGGTTGTCAGGAGGTGTGGGTCTGGTCATGTAAGCTCAGTCACAAAACTCTCAACTAGTTCAGTGGTGGGTATTTGCTTTTCCCCCATTCATCCTGACATTGCTGCCTATATGCCAATGAGCAGAAGACTCAGGAGTCAAGGTCTGGGAGTAGATGAGCAGGCTGTGAGCACAAGGAGGAGGTGAGCAGCTCTGTGAGCTCCTCTCCATTAGCATCATGCTMAGACACTTGCTGAATAGGCTCTACCTCCATGATTGACATTTATTCAGCCAGTTAGTCAGACAAYCTTTGACATTTTATCTTAGGTTGGCATTATATTTGAAGCTTTATAATTTACACTATTCTGCACTTTTTGTTTCTCTGAGGCTGTAGATTTAAACAAACGAACAAATCCCGAAATAAAGAAGTAAGGTTAAAGTACAGCATTGTGGTACATAAGGATTAAGTGTATTTCATTAGAAGTTATATTTGTTGTCTTGTTCTATTATATACTCKACCCTATTTAGTAGGTCATCATTCATGTTGGAAAGACAAGGAGTGGTTGGGAGGCAAGTATATAATAATTATAAATGCAATAAAACAAATGTTTGAAAAGTTAAAATGTTAGAAATCTATCCCTTTCTGATATTAGCAGTTGCTTCTGTAGTAGGATTTCATGTTTGCTTTAAATTGTTTGTTTATATGTCTAAATAATCCTAAAGAAAAAAAAAAAAGAAATTATACCTGGCTGCTGCTCTTAAAACTCATGCTCAAAAGGCAAATGTCCAATGTCTTTGAAGTCTATTCTAGAGCTTGCTAGGCTGCTTTAGTTGCTGAGGATAGATTTTATTTTATTTTTTAAATAGTTGCCTCATTAAAAGCTCATTAAGTGAACAATTTTACTGCCATACCCCTGAGAGTCATGAATTGGAACTGCGTTAGGTAGTATGTGACTTCAGTTTCTTAATGAAGAATCAGATATGAATGTTTGTGTGTTAACATTTGTTAGTTTGGCTGAGAAGAAATTAAAGAAAGAGATAGAATCAATCTGGAGATTTAGTTATACTATTGTCTGGAACTAGAAAATGAGACCAGTGGTGGTGTTAACWTTGCAGTTTCCTTGGGAGATGCAAAAACTGGTGCTGTTTGTCTCCTGTAGATCAAGAATCCTACAAACAGCCAAATGAGAAWGTTTTCTCCCTTGCCAGCTGACTGAAGTAACTGGATTTGAGTTAATGCTTGACTAATCTCATTAGAGCTGTTTACTCCTCTTTTTCAGGATTTCTGAGATCTCACTGGAAGTTGCTGAAGGCGGCCCCGTGTCTGGGATGGCTCCTCAGGCTCACCTGATAGAGCAGTGTGACTGCCCCTTGGGTTATTCCGGCCTCTCCTGTGAGGTACAGTACTAACCTGACTCCCAGGAAAAGTCTTTGTGCCTTCTCTGGTCCATTCCTTGGCAAGGTGTGAAAAGTAATTGAGTGTGAATTAATTTAACTGGCAACAACTCTCCCTTAATKTAATTACTTCTTTAGTATCACAGGTGTTTCTCTCATAGGGAATTTCAACCCTTTTATTGCCATAGGCAAACATGCCACTGGAGCCACGGTAATGACTCAAATACTTAGAATACAGGAAAGTGAGCTTTGCTGGGACAGCATCACTGAGGCTGAATTGTGTGACTGATGCAAACAGATCAAGCCTTTTTGAACAAATAAGAGTAAAATACTGTTGTAATAGTAAAATTMTAGCTCACTGAACACCAAGACAAAAGTGTTTGTCAACTAAGTGAGGAAGGTGCTCCTTATACATGCACTGTATTTATTTTTTTACTTATGAAAATTGCATATTTCAAAAGTACCTAAGTGTTCTAGAGAATCAGCTGAGTTGTGTGTAAAATGGATTTCATGATRGGTACCAGAGAAAAATGTTAAGACATAATACCTTGCAGTATAGAAGTTAATATTTTTGACTGACTTTGCTCTTGATGATGAGCCAATCTTTCTGTGTGCTAAACACCATGTTTTCATTTTTAATCAGCGCTAGCAATTCTAAATTCACTGGTTGCAGTTGCTAAACRGAGGTAGCAGGGAACAACACCTTAAGTGTTCTGCAAATGCCTCAGACATCCTAAGTGGGATCTGGTAAGGATTTCCCCAAAACTAGCAATGGAAGAAAAATTGAAGTATGTAAATGAAGGGGAAGATGCCTTGTTATCTGTGAGAACTCTGCTCCCTTTGGATGTTATACATGATTGTGTTATGCAGCAAATGACTTAACAGGAGCACTAAGTTCATAGCAAATGTGTGCAAGGAAGCGAATGAAGTAATTTCTTTGCACATTATTCCAATAAGAGAATACACCTGAATTTGTGTAAATACATAAGAAATTAATGGACTCCAACATTTGCTTAGAAGTACAGTTTTTGGTTTTTTTTAATTAGTGTAGCAAATTGAATTTTTGAAGAAAAATATGTGATAATGTAATTAGAACTTTATTTTAATTCACACCCACCAGGGGCTGAATAAATGTCTCAATTGCAACCTGCATACTTCATTCTTAATTGTGTGATCTTCACATGCTCATAACTTAGTTTATTTTTAATGTGCTCACTGAAGGTTATGGTATGTTCTGTCAAGTTTTATTTAATTTTAGCAGGAAAAAACATCTGACACCCTGGTATTTTTAAAGCAGATGCTAACAGGGTGTATATATCTGTTTCATGCTTTATCCATATAATAGCATTGTGAAGTAGTAGGCTGCAAAAGCAGTGGTAAGAATTTTCCTAATGGCTGCTTCTGAAAAACTTCAAAACTGGCAAATAAAAATATAGTCTATTTTATCTTTTGTCTGTGTCTTATTTAATCTCAGAAATCCTTCAATCAAAATAGGTGATAAGAGTGTCAATGGCATATCAGAAAAAAAMCCCAGACATCAATCTTGCTTGAGAATGTACTATATATTTATAATTTGATTCTGGAGTTGCTCAGAACATGTAAAGCTGTGTTTTGCACCTTGCTTGGACGAGTCCACTTGTGGGGATAGAGAGGGAGAGGAAGAAAAGGATATTTTAGTACGAAACAGAATTACTTTCATTTGAGGTTATTTATGTAGGTTAGAATTCTTCACAAACCATGAAAAAGAAAATAGACTGTTTCCATGCTTCAGGGAACTTAGTGTTGTCTAAGTCAAAATAAGAGGGGAAAAGCAGAAATGAGTCAAGATTAATTTCTTTGTGATTCTAAAGAAAATAATTGTGTTTATGCTTTTTCCGTAACCTACTGTCCTGAAGGTTTTGGCAATGATTATAAAACTGTCAGAGTGGTGATGTATGAATAAATCWAGCATGTCAGCTAGTACTTCACTGAAGAATCCTGCTTGTGGTCACAAAAATTACTTACTCCAGATTCTCTTCTGTTTTATTTTGCATCCATTTTATTCCTGTGTGAAAAGTGGACTATTCCTGTTCTTTCCAAAAAGCAGGAAAGTGTGGTCAACAGTAGGGAATGACCTCATCAGAGAGCTTCACAGGCTCCTGGCACCACTAGGTGGTGGGATTTATACGTGGGACAAGTGACTTCTCTGTAGGCACTTWGCCCTAATGGTCTCAGCTGTCAAAATGTTCCTGTTTGTGTTTTTGTGCTGCCATAGCTGTGTGCTTTCTGAGAGCTGTGTAAGGGCTTCCACAGAATTGTGTAATAAGCCCGAAATAAAGATCAAGTGTTTGATTTTGCATGTGTCAGCTTTGCTGGCAATTTTTGAGTTATTCTCAGAACTTTATTGCCGAGCTGCATTGGAGAAGACTTAGTGATGGATAAACTTGGTTTGGAGCTGATAGTTTCAAGACATGGAAAACCTTTAACATTTTGAATTCTGTACTTTTATGGTCTTTAAATTATATAGYTATAAATAATGCAGCCATGCAGCCATTTTCTTGCTTATTACTTGGCTTTTGCTTGTTATCCATCAGGTAGTCTGTAGGTAGATACTAGCTTGTCGAACCTGAAAAAACATACCAGGGATAAAGGAAACAGAATCATCATGTTTGCTCTCCACAGTCCACGCAAAAAAACATTATTTTGAAAACAAACTCTTTTCTTAAGTAATGGAAGGAATGATGCTTGATGCACAGTGAGAAGAGAAAGGTGTTCTGCATGTGAATGAAAGATCTCTCAAGCTGTAGTATAAAAGCCTGATGCCAGTGGAGTGCTCCAGGGATTTTTTCAGCCATGTTTCCAATTAGAGCTGGCTCTTGTTATCTGTAAAGTACTGTATATTGTTTGTAACACAGCTGGAAGCCTGTCAGGTTCTTTTCACAAGTTGTGAAAACTGGTGATTGGAAAGATGAGCTTGCAGTGCACCCCRTACACAGTCCACTCTGTAATGATCTGTTTTCTTCTGCATCTTTCTTTTCTGCAGTCATGCTCTCCAGGATTTTACAGGCTTCCATCTCCACCTGCGGGAAGGACACCTGCTCAGACCTTAGGCACCTGTGTTATGTGTCAGTGTCATGGACACAGCACTATGTGTGACTCTGAAACATCAGTTTGTCAGGTATTACACTTCTAAACTTATGCACCAGATTATCTTAATGTAAAATTCCTAAGTTTTGCTACTAATATAAAAAAAAGAGAATGATATTTTAATACAATTTTGCCTTAAGTGTTAAGTTCAGGGAGAGTCATAAAAGCAAACTTTTGAAGTTTTCAGTCCTGATTCTCTAGAGTTCAGATTATGCAGTACTTTTTCATCCCTGAATTACTATTTGAGTAAAAAGAAAAACTAATCATCTTCAAAACAAAGAAGCAATGTACCATGTGTCATACAGTAGACACAAATATGCTCRTACAAGCAGTGATACACATGACCTGATACAGAAAGACTGAATTTTAATTATTTCTCCTCCAGTGGCTGGAACAAAGGAGGGAGGAAAGGATGAATGGGATGTGAGGTTCTGTAGGATACATCTGGGTAGCTACAAGACCTGTATTCTCTCTTCTTTTAAGCCCATATATTACTCAGCAGGCATTTGATAGATGCTTAAAGCAAGCATCCCCACTGAGAATCATATCAGGGAGAGAGAAATTATGTATTGAAGTAACTTTGAATCCCTAAGGCTGCGAACAAAATGCTGTCTTCTTTCTTGTAATTACCAAATACAGCTTTCATTCTGTCTTTTTCCTTGCAGAACTGTCAGCACAATACTGCTGGTCAGCACTGTGAGAGGTGTGCACCGGGATTTTACGGCGTTGTCCAAGGCTCTCCGGATGACTGTCAGCCTTGTGCTTGTCCCCTGCCCATTTCTAGTAACAAGTAAGTGAGCAAACCCRTGGTGCAGAATTGCCTTTGCAGCAAGCCAGAGCTTTGTTCTGGGCTCCCTCTGTCCTTTTTCAGGTGTCTACAGAATTGCCTCATGAAAGCTACACTAAAATTTTCTTATCTACTTTGGCTAATTGATCTTCCTTTAAAAGTTAGAAATTGCTCCCTTGCTAATTTGTGATGAATAAATTAATAAGTGCTAGAAAATGCAATACTCAAGATAATGAGTGTGTGTTATAAAGGTATTCTCATAATTGAGGCTAGAGCAGAACTCAAGTACAATGTAGCCACAAGGGAGCTGCAAAAAGTCCTATGCTCATATATTATGTTGGTATAAATGTGTTACAGTGCCTTTCTTGCTCCACTATGGAATTTATTGATTCCTTATTTAATGTTACATGAGTTTTAGGCAATTTGTGAAAGATAGAATAATTTAAAAGCAATATAGTTATTGCAGCATAAATTTTATTGGTTGCTTTATGCTAATGGGCCTTTCCACGATGCCTCTGCATGTGTTCCCAACAGATGATACTTTAGCACTTGAGTCTTGTTTGTTGTTTTGCTGAGAAGCTCCTAATGATATTTGGCATCATACTGTAGTAATGCTCTGAACAGGTTTGTGTTTCCTGATTGTTCTTTTGAAAAGCTGGAAATATTCCATAAAACCATTTTTCTGTGCTTCGTCTGGCCTTTAGGATGGTTTAGTGAGGATTTCAGTCAGTGTAGCTGAATTTGGGGGTTTTCTTTTTCTTCTTGCTTCTTCACTTTATCATTTGGGATTCATCTTGAGTTTATTTTGAAGGAGGAAAGTCCTTTCTCAAACATTACTAGATACAAACATCATGATCTTTCATCCACAGAAAGACTTTTTAAGAATACTTCCAAATCTCAGGTATTTAAAGAAATATCCTTTTTATCAGAAAATTATAATGCTGTCTTAACTGCCAGTTTTTCAGAGCTTTACCCGTTTCATGACCCGTTTCAAGTCATCTGCTATGACTTGATTATGTGTTCTGTCTCTTAGTATCAAAAAAGGACATTCAAGTCACAAAGAACAAGATCAACCAAGCTTCTCAGCTTTGCAAATCAGCAAATATATTGAAAAAAAAACCTTTTATGTTATTAACTGGCAGTATGAAGAGCTGAAAATATTCCATCTGGTTTTTGTTTGTTTTTTGTTTTTTGTTTTTTTTTTTCTGGGGCTTAGGGACTTTTGGTTGCCCAGAAATACACATATCAGATCAGAAAATGAGCAGGGGTCTTGACCTGGGTGTTTATGGCACCATGCTGCAAGAATTTAGAGAATATTCTCCACATTGTGCTCCCAAGATCATTTCAATATCTTATCAAAAAGCTAATATAAACTCAGGAAATGGGTGTTGCTGAAGTGCTGTTCAGGTGAGAAATGTGTGGACTGTGGGTAGTATGTGTATCACAGAGTCATGGAATAGTTTGGCTTGCAAGGGACCTTAAAGATCATCAGACTCCAACCCTCCTGCCAGAGGCAGGAACATCTTCCACTAGACCAGGTTGCTCAAAGCCCCATCCAACCTGGCCACAAATGCTTAAAGGGACTGGGACATCTACTACTTCACTGGCCAGCCTTTCCCAGTGTCTCACCATCCTCTGAGTAAAGCACTTCCGTCTAACATCTAATCCACATCTCCCCTCTTTTAGTTTAAAACCATTCCCTGGTGTCTTATCTCCATCTTTTCTTAAAAGCTCCCTGTAGGTGTCCTAGGTGCACACTCAAATTGCTGAGCTGYCTGAGGGAGGGCAAGCAAAGTGCCCATACCTCGTGCAGTCATGCAGCCTGCAGGGCTGTGGGTGTTGTCACAGCCTTTTGTGTCATGCTCACATTAAAGTGATCATGAGACTCTCTTGTTTCATAAACCCTCATGGGAGATACGAGAATAACACCTAGTCTGAATTTAATAAATGCACTTAATTATGAGATAGTCATCCAACTTCTTAGTGCTGTTGAGAAAGGAGTCAGACCTGCCTGTGTACAAGCACAGAAGTGCTTGTGTTTTATAGAGCTTTGCTCAGATGTCTCTAGGTGTCATGGAAGAGATTTCCATTTTTGTTCGCTGCAGCCATCAACAACTTTGGTAGCTGTATATAGTAAATACATGGTCAGATGACTCTGCCTCTCACTCATGTTAAACCTGAAGGAAAACACCACTGGAGAGAGGGCAGGGAAAGAGATGTTTCAAATGTTTGTGTAAGTCTATCTGTGCATTTCCATTTTCCAGTGCTGATGGAGGATGCCCAAACAATTGGTTTAGACTAAATGCCTACCTTCTAGAGTGGCATAGATCCATTCCACAAAGCTGCAGTGTTAGGTGAAAATGAGAGTGTCAGACCTTAGATTTGCATCYTGTGCAGATCAGTTAAAGCTCTTCAAGATGCCATTAAAGAAAAAGTTTACCTGCAGCTATTGTACGGTAGTCAAGTAATCATCATCTGCGTTAAATGCAGATACTAATGAGCTATCTTATTAGYTTTCTGTGTCATGACTCGCATGATAGTATTTTGAATGGTATAATGCAATTATTTTTATTTATGAAATCGTATAAAACTCCACTAAAGTTTTAAATACTGTGTTTACACTGCTGTACAATCAGCAGTCAGCTTCTAACATGATGAGGTGGGGAAGAAAAAAAAAGAACAGAGAGAATGAATTGTTCCTAGCATGGATCTATTTTTATGGAGTTGAAAATGTGTTGGATAATGAGTTTGTGAGTAGATCAATTTGTTTGCRTTTTTTTGCAAAGGCATAATTTTATATACTCATTCAAGCAGTATTGATTTAATGCATTATAAGCAAGTTAGATGAGGATGCTGAGTGTACTGTACTAAAAAGGAGGCATGGGCTCACCATGAGCCCCCTCYGTGCTTTTCTCGTTCTTCTTCCACAAAAAGCTGAAAGTGTTTTACAGTTTTGCACCATCTTAACATTTGGTTCTGTTTTTTCCTCTACCTACCTTTTTTGCTTGTGTTACCTGCCTGTGCAGGTGTGTGATATCCTAACATTTCAACTAAATACTGCTTTGCACAGCGCCCATAGGTACACACTACAATCAGTAGTAAAGTGACTTAGTAAAGATAATCTAGTGTCTTCAATGAAACACCTCTCCCTGATCATGAAGGAGGCAGGTTTTAGGGATTTTTTCTCCATAGACTGGTGCTTTTTCTTCGATACATCATTGAGATCATCTGATGCTGYCTTTTTGGAAGATTCTGCAGAGCTATGACTTGGGTTCCTTTCCCCCTCTTTATGTCTTAACTTGAGTAAACTCTTYGTGGCTTATCTCCTTTAATTCAAAATAAAATTAAATTGATCTGGAAAGGTTGGATGTTCATTAGCTTGGTTTCTAAATCTTTTGTTTCACATGCTACCCAGTGCTTCCTTTTCTTTTCCACTGTGAATGACAGCACCAKTCAATCACACAGGCTACAGCATGGRCATTGGTCACTCCATCCCTTTGGATACAGCCCTTAGAGCCTTTGTCCAAACTGCAGGTATCACRGCAAGGCATTTGCAAAAATTGTTATAGAAAGGAGGGACCTCTCCCTTGCCATTTCATGTAAATGCCATTTACATTAAGAGCRGAACTTCTTGGGCCCTTCTGTACTGCTGATTGAAGTGATGCAACAGAGTAGAAAAAAAACATTCTTTATTTGCTTTTGTTTTAGTTTTAGCCCTACTTGTGTTGCTGAAGGACCTGGTGATTACCGGTGTACTGCYTGCCCACCTGGATATGAAGGCCAGTACTGTGAAAGGTAGGGTGAATAGAAAGAACAGAAAGAGGGACAATGAAATGAGGAAAAAGCATGAAGGAGATGAATGTTTTCCCACATTACAAGTGTGTACTTACTACTGTTTAAATACATGCCTTTGGATAATTTATTTCTTTTTTATATGCAGTTAAAATTCAGSCAACATAAACAGTTTTTACATACAACACTGTACATTTATAATCGATGWAATTTATATCACAGTTTTTGTCCTAGTCTTACTTTCTGATGCGTGAGGGCGTATTTTCCTCCAGGGCTCAGAAGTTAAATGGAAAAATCCTAATTTATCTAAAATTAGCTGCCATGCTAATAGTGTATCTTGATGTCATTTGTACCCTTTGTTTTAGTTGTGTTCTCATGGGCATTGGCTGTGAAAGACAGTTAYATACAAACATTTTAATGCTGAATTGTGAGTTAATAACCTAAACAGCCTCTCTTGTCCCATCCATCACAACACTGAGGGATTAAGATAATCAAAATTGGAAAATATCCACCAGGATCTTTCATGTCTGACACAAAACACAGGTGGCTAGGTCTATAGGCCAAACAATGATGGTGGAWTTTTTTTGTTGTGGTATAATACAAGTTTAACTGAAAGGTGTTAAGGAAGTGGAATCACTTTCACATACTCCCTCCATCCAGACTGTTCTGTGTCCTGATTTAGAAGTCAGTTTGTTGGACAGTTGCAGTATTTCTCTCTTGGTCATGAAGAAAAAAAGTTGTTTTTTTTTTTTTAAATGGTTCATGAATATTCATATAAATGACATTTATAATACTCCCAAGTATTCTTTGTGCACTACATCTCAGCTGTACAAATCCTGTTTTGTTTTTGCAATGTCTAGATGTTCTTCTGGCTACACGGGAAACCCACAGATCCCAGGAGGGTCCTGCCAGCCATGTGAGTGTGATCCMTATGGTTCCCTGCCTGTCCCCTGTGACCCTGTCACTGGACAGTGCACCTGCAAGCCTGGATTCACGGGGTGGAAGTGTGCTGGCTGTGAACATCGGCATGCACGGGATGGCATGAAATGCATCTGTACGTATACTAACGGAATTGTGGATAACTTTTGATTGTTTGTCAAACCTTCTTGTGTAACAGTGAGTGGTGTGGGTTTCTTTGAAAATAATTGCCAGGTTTCTTACTACTTTGGCATCTGGTCCAGTTATTTTCACAAGCCTTGAAATGGTAAGAAAACTCTGAACAATTTTTAATCAATAATTTATCACTGAAAATTGACAACAAAACTTCAAAGGATTTCTTTTTGACTTTTTGGAGTCTGTAGTTTTGCTAAATGTTGTCGCTGCTATTGTGACAATATTCGGTCTTAGTGAACTTTTTAACTGTTGTCCTAAATGTTTAACCAGTAATTGCATACTATGAGGCACACACAAAATCTTTACTAAGGGTTACTTGATCATGTTGATTCAAGAACCATCTACTGGAATTTAAAAGACATAAGCAATGACAATACATCATATCCAGCAAATAACCTATTTTGTTTAAAATAGAAAACTAATAACTTAAATCACCCTTTTGTGTTTAYAGTACTAGTATCTTTGTCCTACCCTCAATTTTGACATGTACAAAGTGATTATCTTGTATTTTTGTTTGGAATCTTTTTTCATGAAATTGGATAGTGCTTGTTTTGAGCCACAATCTCATATCACGTAATGCTGTATGCTTATATCTTACAAAAAAAAAAAAGTAGCAAAGTCTTTCTAGAGCACWTGGTCAGCCCTGACTGAAGGAAGGCATCTTCCTCTTTTCCATCTCCTCCAGATGTGAATAGAYTAACTTTATTGTGATTTTCTTTTCCCCATCAATGCCATGGTTGTTAAATTTAAAGTAGAATATTAGTAGAATTCCAGTAAATCCACAGCATATAATATTTAATAATGTGTGCATATTTGAATTTATTGGCAAGGCACAGTGAACTGGTTTAAATGTTTTAACTTTAACTGGAGCTTTTTCATAGAGATTGGAGTGTCTATGTGAGAAACATGTAACATCCAGAAAAGTAGGTACCATCTACTTTTTTTTTTCATTTGCTTCTCTAAAGAATTCATTTCTTTTGTACTTCAATACCCAGAGGCATACAGGTCTCTAGTGTGAGAATCAAATGGTAAAGTAAAAACAAATTGCTAACATTTTAAAAGCAAATCGAAAAAATAAAATAGGAAGTGTTTAAAATGAAGATATCATATAAGTCAAGAATGGAATGCATGGCTTCTTTGAGTGGTTAAAGAGGAAGATATTAGGCACATAGGGTGAGGAACTACATGGGAAAGAATATTTTTTCACTCATCTTAATAGTTGTGAGCAGCTCTCAGTCAGTCACCCGGACTTAGCAGAACTAAGCTTCGAAGTCTGTTGAAATCAGTGCTTTTACATTAGTCCTGAATCCCAGGTAGAGATTATAGGTTACTGGGAATGTAGACATACCTGCTTCTACTTCTTTATTATTAACAATATGGCATTGATGCATTGATTAAAAGCTTAGTGTACTTAAGGAAGATAAACTTCTAATGTCCTAATGGGATGTAGTTTAGGACTTAATTCTGAACTTAGTATCTGAAGCGCTATTTTGAACAACAGCAAAGTGATTGCAAATAGAGTCAGTAGTCCTTTTGCTGAAATAACTACATTTTGAGTTCCATTTAGTGGCCTATGTGTCAAGGAGAATTGTAATTGTGAGTTAAGTCCGTAAGTGCTGCAGCTACAAAATTTTCAAATAAGAACTGTGTTTTCCAGAGTGGCATCTAAATGAAAATGACTTCGTTTTTCAGTATCCTGAATAGCTCTTACGTTATTGCCAGTATTACCCCATTTTTGCAATCTCAAGCATGACTTACTATGTTTTTTATTAGTCTTTTACCTTATCAGTATTCTGAAAATTCTTTTGGGTATCCAGGATGACAGAGTTTCATTGTACAAAACAGCCTAAGTGCGAGTTATCATTTATAATGGTTTTCCAATTTGTTAATCAGGCTATTTCATTGTGTGGATAATGAGGTTAAAAATCCTCTCTGTGAATGGAAAAAGCTGTTTGCAGGCAAATGAAATTTTCCACCTTTTTGCTTTGAAAGATGTTATTTGCTATTATCTCTGATTTAACTGCAACTTATTTGAATGCAGGTGTTGAAATATATCTGCGCTATCTTTAGTGACATTTTTCTTCTAACTAGGTAATCAGTTTCCACTATTAAAAGAGCCCTTCATGTGTGCATATGCACGTTTAATTTGACCACTACAAGTGAGGGATCAAATAAGACTTATTTTCTTTAGTCATAAAAATTAGAACCACCTATAGGAACAGAAGAGAGGTTCTTTAAATCTCCCCTATCACAGGAAATAGTGTTTTACTGTTGATACCGTATCAATAACAACTGAGTCATAAATTGCAAAAATTGCAGTTAAATATTTCAGTAGACACTTTATATGCCTTTTAGCTCTTACTATATGATCTTCCTCTTGTTTAAAAGTTCCTCAAAATGCTATTACTCCAAATCTGCCTTAGGTAATGCAGTGCAATACCCCTGACATGGTAGAAAATAAACCAGATCAARCACCTGCCCACCTGTGGTGGACACAGGGCTTTGGCAAAGGGCGTGTGGCAAGCATAGATTTGGTGGGAATTTGGCCATGGTTTACATTGTCTAGTGTGTCAAAGCTTCRGAATGCAGCTCTTGGTAGGGATTCATTGCTGCAGCCCCTCATGTGCTTTGATATTCCTTGTCCTGTCAAAGAACCATTAGAAACAAGGTTCTTGCCCCACTTTGGGGCAACTTTGGAGCTTTCCTTCCTTAYGCTCAGAATACTGTTCCAATCTGAGTTTCATGCAGCTGAGAATTTGGTTCTGTATACAATGTATTTTTACTTTCATGTATCAACCAACTTCAATATACTCAGTAAATTCTCTTCTGGCAAACTTCAGTTGTAACAAAACCTTTAAAAACAGCGATACTCTCAATGTACAGAAAACTAGCGTCAAGAGCAGAATCCTGCTTGCATGGAATACCTAAAATGAGCTGAATGCATGTACCTACTTTTGCTCATTTGCAGTTCCTTTTCAACTACTGCAATTGCATTGTACCTGTCAGAATTGTGAAGAAYCCCTAGATGGGTGGTAAAGTGGTCTAACTTAAAGAAAATACAAGCAAATACAGAAAATACAGTCACCCATGTTTGAAAAAGTGTATTTTAAAATAGTATAAGACATAGTGTGTTTAAGCTCTCCTGTTAGTATGRTATAGTTAATGTTTAAGAAAGAGAAATTTTATTTTGAATGTTTAACAAAGAATAACTTTGAGAATAATGATTTTTTTTGCAAATTCTGTAAAAGGTCACCACAGAGTATGACCTGAAAAACCAAACAGWGTATATTTAAATCAGATTAGAGAGGTATTTTAGCCAAAATATGCATTCTTYCTTAAATATAACATTTTGATTTTCACATAGCCCATTTTCAGTGAAAAGGTTGGGGGGAGAAGCAAAGAAGCATGCATGTTCACTAAATTGATCTATTTCTGATGTAGTTGAAAATCTGTTTTACCAGGTTCTTACTGGTTTTTTTTTTTATAATGTGTCATTTTTAGTTGCTTAGTGCATGTCACTTTTCAGTGCTGTGTTATAACAGTTATATTTTAGTGAGCTACAGGTAAAATAGAAAGGGAATATATATATTTTTAAAGCTGCTGTTCAAAGGGGAAGATTTCACTTAATGCTAAATAACAATGATAAGATTATTACGGGTGCATGGCACAGGCATAATCCCATCCCCATTATATTCTTAGAACAGAACAATGTTTTTTTTTTTTTGTCTAGGATACCATCAGGGAATGAAAAGTTATATCMAAAAAGTAGATTTTTAAAAAAATAAATAATATGAGAGTATTGTCTACTACACATCATAAAAATTCTATTTCTTTTTTATTAGTATGGCTAGTRGCTGGATTTTTTCCCCAGCTAAAGTAACCATCCGGGTTGTCTTTTACAGATATTCATAACACTCTGTTGATGAATACTTTCTTATAAATTTTGTAAATTCACTTTCTCTTCTYTTTTGAAAAGGTCAGTAGCCAATTTAAAAAACAGTGTGATGATTGCAAATTAATTGTAATAATGCTGCCAGCATCTTTGTATACTGTCAAGTATGACAAAAGTTCTCCTGAATCTTCTCTCAGATTTTGAACCAAGCCTGTGGCAAATGTGCATTTTCTTAGAACTAGTAATCCTCTTGTGTGTTTTTTGTTACGCCTTGTGACGTTCCACTTCAGTTGCAGAGTTTGTAGTACATAAAATGAGGAAACTTAGATTGCAATGTTATTGGAACAATGACTGTGCTCACTACTGTGCCGTATTTACGGAACAAAACGATCCTGGTGAGAACTTCAAGGCTTTATTGTTGTCTGGCTCTATATATTATATGGCAAGTCAGATCTCACCTTCTGAATGATTTCAGGGTATCTGGCATAACCACATGGAGACTTCAAAAAAAAGTCCTCAATATTATGAGCTTTGTTTTAACACAAACTACAAAACTTTTCCTTGAATGTATGCTCCTGTCACAAATGTTGCTTGGGGTCRAGCAAAAGCCTAAATGTAAAGCAGTTGATGTGACTGAACAGGAACCAACCATGACACAAGGASATCAAGCAGATATTTCATTGTTAGGAGTGTTTTCTTCACTCAGTCCTGTGGGGGCAAAAAAAAGGACCCTTAGCCTTGCTGCAGCCAACAAATTTTCATCTTTATGAATATAAATATTGGTAGAAGAAGAAAATTATAGAATTATAAGAAAATTATATAATGAGATTCTTTTGATACCAGGTCTTGGGCACTTGAGAGTGATGCTTGCAATGAGAGGGTTTTTTCCCAGCTGACAATCAGTCCTAGACCAAGAAAAACAAGGGAGCTCCCAGCCACTAGTCATGGCAGAATCAGTGTTTTCCCTTTAAAAGAGTGAGTAGCTCCACGATCTCAGCCCTTCCAAATTCAGAATTAGGCAGAGATGCTGTCTCTGTCAGAGACAGATCTTGTAGAATCTGTGGAACAAAGCCTCTCCCAGATCCTACACAATGTTTAATTCAGCAGGAGCTGGGAGTTTCTCATTGCAAACTTTTACAGAGTGAGCTGGAAGATCCCATGTGTAACACCACATCTATGAAGCCTTGAATGAGCTTCTGCAGCATTCTGAGTTTGGTTGTGTGTCCTTGTGTCTCAGCTGTAAGGATTAAATTTGCTTCCTTGTTGGACAACTGCTTCTCAGGCTGCATGGGCTCAGTTAGGACATCTCTGCTTGGCCTAGAAGCTGATAAGCTATCACTTGTTCTTCCTTGTTATGATACATGAGCTCCTGCTTAGTTTAGACCCAAACTCCTCTCTTTCACCCAACTCAAGCAGTCTTTAAACTCAGCTGCTACTGGTATGTATTTGAACCAGCAGATGAGGATTTCTAGATAGTAGAAATCAGAAATAAACCTGATTAGGTGTTTTAGACCCTGATCTGGATGTGAATTTGCCCAGATTTTGGAGACTCATTGATTTTGTAAGCTGAAACAGCAGCAGTGGCAAGGAAGCTAAAGCTTTCAGCCCTCTACTGGGGTTTTGTTTTGGAGGGCATAGGAAGGCTATTTTGTTATTTGGTGTGAGACTAGTGCCAAAATGGGAAAAATTATGTAATAGCCAACAGATCAATGAGGTAGAAGTACTTCAGGGCTTTATTGTGAATTGACAGGAAGCTGAGAATGAAGAGTCACTGATTATCATGGGATACCTCCTTGTATCAGAGATGCATGGCTGCCTTTGGACCAAAAATTACCTAGTCATAACACAGTCCTCCAAATCTTCACAGAAATGAATGTATTAAAGCAAAATTGTGTCAGATAATCACTCAGTTGGAGGAACACATTGTGACTCAGACATATTTCTTTTATTGTACATTATCTCTCTTTGTAAGATGGAATAAATGTTTAGAGGTCTGTAAACTTAAAAGAATTTCTTTTGGCATGCATACTTTGGACATCTCACAAGAGGTAAGTCAGAATCCTCAGAGACTTAGTGTGCATGGAAAAGTGTGATGAAAATGGAAAATACAGTAATTTGCATTAATTGCTTGTTGAACTATTGTAATATTGATTGCATGATTTGCCTCTTACATGCTTGCACTTCTGTAATGATCTGAATTTAGTGCTGCATTTGTTAATATTARACACAAATTTATCCTGACAGCTTTATAGATAGACACAGAAGTATTGTATTGCAAAATATAATCAYGCTCTTGAAATATTTCCCATAGCTACAGTATGTTACAGACTGCATGCTGGAGTAGCTTAGTCCTGTCTCATCTACTCAGCTGTGGTCTCATTTGATGCAGTTCCTCTTTTCAACCTGATTATTGTGCAAGAAGTATTAATTTGTACGGAATTCTCACTTATCAATTGCTTACTCATTGGGAATACTTCATCTCTTCATGGGCAGTTCATTTTTTTCCTATTCATGTGAATTGAATTTATCTTTAACACGTAAAAATTTTTTAGAAATTTATTACCAACCACCAGGAAAATCTTGAAGGTGAATAGATTTCACTTATTTCATAAGTGAAGTAATATATCAGAAAAAACAAACACATCAAAAACCAAACTATGAAGGGCAACTCTTTTCAGGCCCAAGGTCACTTATTTTCATCCTGCAAAATGCTTATCAGGTCTCCTTATCATCTTGATCAGCTACAGAACAGGTGTTTGTTACATGAAACATAGTTTGCTGTAAAACTTACTTTTTCTTTAATTTTCTCAGACTGCTAAAGGCGAGCACACAGATGGCAAGAACTGGGATGGTAATAAGTTGGGGGGAAGGTTAAACTTGATGTAGAAGMATAAATCAGCATCTATCATGCCCACAGTTATTGACTGCAATTCCAGTGCAGTTCGGTTTATGTAACAAAATGCTGTGAAATAGGAGGAAGAAGTCTGCAAATGGAAGCAATGAAAATGCAAAAAGAATCTTAAAAYAACAGTAGTATCTAGCTTTCTGCACCCACTTCTTACTACACTAATCCAGCATCTACCTTGTCTCCTTTTCAATCATCACTTGAGTTTCATGGTGTATTGAAATGGTTTTCTTTTTTTCTCCTCTGTATTTGACTCTACTCTTTGTCTTTGCTATATTGAACAGTCAGCAAAATAAAAAACATATTTAGGTAACTGTAAAAACTTTAATGAGCAGAAAAGATTTAATCTACATGAAGAATAGATTTTGGGGAAAAAAGAAGTAATTCTCTTTTGAAAACTACTTCCCCTTTTCTACAAAAATGTACACTTTGCTTAGTGGGAGGTTTTTTAGCTATTAAATTGCCTAGCGTTGCTGAAATGAATAATTACATACTTGTAAAACTTTAGGTACAACTCTCCATGTCTCTTAACATCACTAGTGAATTCATTGTTTCACAGTTTGCTTCATCTCCTGAGATGTTTGGATTTGCCAGTCCTGTGTAGAGTCTTTATGCAGGGAAACTGAAAGGTATTCCCACAACTCAGTTCTAAAGGATAAAGAATTCTCCTGTCTGCTGCATAAATGATGCAAGATGAGAATTTCTTGTGATAGTTAATCGAAAGCAAAGGGGAGAAAAATGCAAACTCCTTTTGATATGTGCAGCACACAACAATATTTTTCATCCTGAAGGATATTTGTAAGGAAAGAAGCATACATGAAAAGCTTAAAAGCTGGTTACTGAAATATGGTAGGGAAAAGCATTTTTTTAAGAAAACTGTAAGTATTTTTACCTGGCTGCATTCAACTGTCTGCATTACAGGTTTAGTATGCTTGACCATGCTGTTATATGGAGATTTCTTTAGATTTTTTTTTTTTGCATTCAAGTCCATAATTATAGTGTGTTTCTTACAGCACTCATTAGATTTTCCAAATTGCCCCTCCGCTTTTCTCAAACTTGATCCAAATTGCCTGTCCAATTTGATATTTTATATTGGGTAGTCCATAATCAACAGCATTGATTATTTCCTCTTTTTGTGAGGTAAGCCTATCAATTTTGATCTTTGTCTTTTATATTAAACTGTCCCAATTGCTAAGTCCTAAGCAATCGCAACTTTCCTATTCCCTTGTTGTTGCTTCCATTTTCTCTCACACTACACTTTCAAGGTAATATATGTTAGGTAATATATGAGGAAACCAGTGTTACCTCCCACAGGTATGTGTGCCATACAATTTCTGAATCAAACATATGTCTCAAATGTTTAGCAAGAAGAAATGAGCTTTGTTGTTCTTCCCGCAGCTTGTGATGATGAATGCACAGGACTCCTTCTCAATGACCTGGATCGGCTAAACCAGATGATCCTGAGTGTGAACCTCAGTGGTCCACTGCCTGCTCCTTATAAAATGTTACAAGGCTTTGAGAACACAACACAGGAATTAAAGGTATGTTGGCAGTATTCATATACCTAAATAACAGAGCTGTACTTGAATCTGTTCAAACATACAGCTCTGAGTAGGTCCAGGGAAGAAGGAAAATGCAATATTTAATTATTTCAGGCTTGCTTTGGTTGATAAATAAGTATTACAGTTCTTAATCTTTGCTTACTTTGATAACTAAACCTTGCAGCAGTAATTTCTGAACAYATGTGCAAGGAGTTATACTTCAGGYGTAGAAAAGCAATGTTGCATACAAATAAAATGGTTTTCATGCTGATGGTCTATAAAGTGGTTATGTATTTTATATACTGTATGTTCCCTACCATACTTACAAGTTATGTAAAGTTGTCAAGATTCCTGAAAAAAGTCTGTTGGATGAGTGTGACAAGAGTCAGTGACAAAAGGGATTGCATATTATAATGAAATGTCTGATGCTTCTTCTCTTCAATATTTGGAAGCACCGACATCCATTACATACCRATTTTTCACTCTCCCATCTCTTTCCCAACAGCATTTGCTTTCACCTCAGCGAGCACCAGAGAGATTTCTTCAGCTAGCACGAGAAAATCTGGATACCCTGGTGACAGAAATGGATGAGCTACTGACAAGGGTATGTCTGTGATCACATTGAGGTCTATGGGTTTGGTTAAGGCTGCATAATGACAGAAATCTTCTGAGTATGAATTAAACATGAATGAATAGATGAATTGTAAGATGCTTCTCAATCTCAGTGTTTGAAATGGCAGCAACTCCTCTAACAGTCTCTTTCTGTGGRCCAATTTATTGACATATATTTTCTGCAATACTTCCTAATAAGGTAAGAAAGCTTTTTCATGTCCGTAGAGATCACCCAAGAATGAGCTTATCTGGAAAAGTTGACACTAAAGAGGTGTGTGAGTTTAGTTCAATATATGTATTCTAGACTTCATTTATGAGGATAGTTAAAGTCTTCTGGATTCCAATAAATGTGCTATGTACTCTTTTTAWTACAAAAGTTTTACTTCGATACTGACCTCATTTTGGTCAGTAAAGACAATGTCTAAGAAAATAATATAAATTGTGCCACCTAGTGGCGCCAAAAATAGGAAATAAACCAGCCTCAGTATAACTAAAGCTGTCCAAACTACATTGATGTGAAGTACTACCAGAAGTCATGCTTGTGAGTAGAAAGAACCAGATAAGAAAGTTGTGGAGTGTTGTACTCATCCATATGTACCTCAGAAAATCACATAAACTCCATGCAGTTTTTGCATCATGTCTCTGAATTGTACATGGCTTAGAGAACTAAAATTCTCAGAGAAACTGTTTTCTTTGTGTGGATTTTATTCAATTTTGAAATGGGTAGTGGGTACGAAAGCATCTGTGTTTGCATATGTAGGAACCCATATGCGTGTACAYACACAAGCATGTATCTGTACATAGCCTGATTGTGGGAAAGCTTGCTTTTCCACTTCTGCTTGATCTTTTATTTTTCTGCAAAAAGCAACTGTGGTAGTTTAAAGTCTAGCTGGAATTTTAACACATGTCAGCTCTACAAGCAGGGGAGATTATATTTCTTCTATTAAGATTTGTCAATCTTAGGCTAAGACAAGTTTTTTCAACTTCTAATATTGCTCTTTTTAGTATCCTTTTCCAATTGCCCCCATGGAGATGACCTAAAATAATGCAAATTCTGACCTTCTGTAGACTAYTCTTGGAAGGAAAAACATATCGAAAGTGTAATCTAAGGGGAGTTATTGTAGTGGCCACATTATCACCACTCTTTTTCTGCAGTTTTTCATCGTTGTGATGTCCAAGTGGCCTTATGATTTCCAGTTGTCCTTACAGAGTTGTTTGGGRTGGGCTTTCTTTTAATTTGGGGACTGGCAGCAGGTGACAGGTCCTACCWTTCTCTTTCTGTGTTTGTAAATAAGAATAATGTTCCAAAAAGAAGCATAAGTCCTGATACAGTGTTCATGTCATTTCCAAAAGAAGATGCAGGTGAYTACTACATAATGGCTGGCATTTAGAGTGCATAGTACTAGCGCAGATACCAAAGTTTTTCCCTGTATCTGATTTGCAGGCTCACTATATTTTCAAAGTGTAACCATTACTGATGAAAAAAAAGGCTGGTGAGGATTGGTGAGGAGTCTATTTCTGTGAAAAAAAAAATWCTAACCATTTTAAGATAAAGTGTAGAAGATTTTTATTTAGTGATTTATTTAATCACTACAAAACCTTTGGGGATTTTGCTTCCCTGTGGTCTCTTTTCAGCCAATGATCTCTTGATTCAGTGCAGCACTCCTTTCCCTTTCTTCACATTATTCTGTGCTTCAATTACTTTGCTATGTAAAACATCCTYATGTCTTCCTTACATTAATAACTTTCACATATTTGCATGCACATTCCCACACTTAGAATCAGAGGAAGGCCTGAGATCTTCTATTCCTCTCAGTTCACTGCATTTCATCAAAACCCCCACTTCCCTTCTAATTAGAGGTACCTTCAGAGCCTTCAAGAAAGACAGGGATCAGAATCACTCATCTTGACTGAAAACATTTACCTTTCTCCTAGAGTACTGAATTTGTCAAACTTGAACATTTCTGGAAATAGTAGCAGAGGCCACTTAGTTTGCAATAGCTGGAATCATTTGGAGGGAGAGCGAAGAACTTCCATCTAGGCAGTGACATCTGTGTTTACACATCCTTCTGTGGTCTGAAGCTCACTAGCTGGAGAAATTCCTGTAGGACACCCTCTAGACAGTATCTAGAGGAGTTCCTTAAGGCTTATTTAAGTCCTCAGACTAAATAAACATAGAAACAAAAACAAAACCAAACAAAAATGTGTGTGCATAGTTGTTAGTAGTTTATAGTTTAAATTGTCTACTCGAGACTGGGACAAGGCCTTCCATGGAACCTCCATCACTAAGTATGAGCATGTTCACTGATCTTACATACTTTCTTTACTGGATTTCTCCTTTATGCCAAAAAGTCTTATTTGTGTCCAGACTTCYTGAAGATTCATTCCAAACCCTTGCTCTCTGTGCAGTCTACCTGACCCTTATTGTTCCCACAGGAAGAGTTTGTTGGGCATGTTGAAAATCTTAGAATATGCTGAAAACTGACCATATAGAAATGGTGACCTGTAGTAAATTGAATATGTAGAAAATTAGTAGGACCTTATTAACAAATGAAAACATTTAATTAGTCATGAAATGGCCASCTACAGTATGAAGGATGTTTGCCATTTGATTTGGTTTACAGAGTTAAAGCTTGACCACATAATGAAGCAAAAGCCTATTTTTCAGCAAAGCAGATTCTGTTAAAATGCAGAAAGCCTTCAGTGGACCTGAATGGGATTTAAGTACTAAAGAGAACTGTCACTGAAAGGAAATGAAAATTGTTCAGTGACAGATTAATTTTCACAAAAATGTAGCACGTGCTATTCRGTCATAAATAGAGAGGTTAAAGTGGTCAACTTGAATTAGCATGAATGTGGAAAAAGTAATCAAAACTAAGAAAGGTACATGTCGTTATAGAACACCATTTGTAGCAGAGGACTTAGAAATATTACAGAATATAATAAAACTAAATGTGAATATTCCAAGCAAATAAAACTCAAATAATTAAAGCCTGCTTGTGGAGGGTTTGACAATAAATAATAAGGTATTCTCAATTACATGAAGAATTAAATGACATCAGAAACGCCAAGCAGGGTTAGAGCAGTGGTCCATCAAGACCGTTTGTAATTTTTGCCTTTTTTCCATCCCAGTTGCCTCTTACAGCTCACTGTAACAATATTTTACTATATCCAGCCAGATAAAAAGCGTTTTTAAATCTCAGGGGAAGTAATCAATAATATGATTAAAGCTGTATAAAGTGTGAAAAGAYATGTTCTACTGATAGAGGAATGGAATAGAACAAACTCCCCCCAGCCTGTATGGGTTCTTAATTCTTCCTGTATGATTCTATTTACCTGAACCATTTTCATATAAATTACTTTCAGTGTAAATTACTTTCGGTGTAACTACTCTGAAGTAGCCCAAAACTGTATGTGGTATGATAATGCCAGGAATTTCATTTCAGAAACCCATCTGTCCTAAAGTATCTCAAGGGCTTCCACCTAGAATCTAATCAGGCAAAAATAAATGCATTTAAGTGCTACTATTTCTCTTTGACTGTTACTGRAAAGGGTGGGGTTTTTTGGTAAATGAGAAACAATTTGCTCAATTTAAGTCAGGGAAAACCTAAGCTCATTTTAAATTATTGACCTTTTAGCCATTTCACAGAGACTGGGAAGTTCATAATGCCATATTTGGAGATACTTTTTGGGAATGTAATCCCTAAAGAAAAAAGCTAGGATTTTATTTGATTGGTTTGTGTTTTTTTTCTTTTTTTGCTTTACAGTACAGATCAACAAGCTTTGTGTCTTGAAATGTTCAGCTTCTTCCTTATAAAAAAGGGTCCATTTTGTACACAGGGACCTCAAGAGCTAAGTGGAAYGTACTAAGATGATTTCTTTCCTCGGCATGTTTTTCAGGCCTGCAGCAGATGTCTGTCTTCCTGCTTCTGCTGTGATTCAATACAATTATAAAACAGTTAGTAACACAAAGCTAAGATTTTACTGAGCACCCCAATATGTTATAAATGAACAACTTCAAGCATTAGAGCTGAAAAAACCTACTTTTTTTTCTCTCTCTCTTTCTTGGTCCAATTAATGTATTGATTTAGCGTTCTTCTTGCTTGTTGGCATGAGCTCTCTCTCTTTGAGAACTCCTCCAGGGAAGAAGCAAAGAGGTCATGATACCTGCTGCACTTTGTCAATCGAAAAGTACACAGTTGTGAAACTATGGAAAGTATTCCCTGAAGAATCTATTAAAAGGTTCCAAACAACATTTCTTTAAGCAAAGATATGTATTAGTCGGTTGATAATTATTTCATCCTGTCTCCATTGGTGTGCTGCTGCACTCATGTAGGGTTTCTAAGAACCTAAAATAAAGCCTTCCAATTTCCATTTAAAGGAAAAGGTAATAAAATTTAATTGTGTGCTTGAAGAGAGCATTTCATTTCCCATGCATCTGATCAATAATTCATTGATTGCCTCTGGCCTGAGGAAAGTTTTGTACATAGACTCAACCAGTAGGAATATAACATAGTGCAGCCTTGTCCTGTTCATTAATTATATTTTTCCTCAATTTGTATCACCAGGCTACTAAGGTGACAGCAGATGGTGAGCAGACCAGGCAGGATGCCGAGAGGACTAATGACAGAGCRAAATCTCTTGGACAGTTTGTCAAAGGCATTCTTCAAGCTGCTGAAGGTATTGGAAAAACAAAAATACTTGAGTTGTTTCTCAAGAAGACTGGAGGATTATMGGGGAAGAGGGTCTGAGGGACAGTGAGGTGCTTTAAATGTTGAGTGAAGAAAAGACAGCAAACTGTCTTAAGATTTTTTCAAATCTGYGTATGCAGTTTGTATAAACATTCAGTGTATTGCTAATTATGAACAAAGAGTATCAGAAAAATAAGCATGTTTCTTCAGGATTTTTGCAGTTATCTGACAAGCTGTTAGGACGAAATAACAAACAGGGCTTAGCTTTTGTTTATTTTCAAAGCAGTTAAAAATACCTATTGGTAAAGCTTAATGTAATTTTAGCACTTGGTATATTAACACTTCATCTTAATTCTCAACTTTACTTCCAAAATGCATTACTTCTTGCAGTTAATGAACATCTGCTGCTTGGAATTTGCAAGTGACTCCTAACCCTACCTATGCATGGAGCTAAGCCAGGTCTGTCTCTGCCACAGACTGATTCACTGCACTTACACTGCAGTAAATACTTGTGRGAAAAACTATTGTAGATGGCCTTAAGAAGCAAGATCTATATATTGCATACAGCTATTAAATAGTGGCTGAAAATATGAAAATAATTAGCAAATATAGGCAGGTTTTTTGCGTGAAAAATACTTGTCAGTTCTTTCCTCCTCCAAATTTTCACTACAGTACCAATTTTAGTGGCTATTCTTCTAAAGACGCATTTCATTGAAAGGGAAAGTTTCTATTTCTGTCCAAGTGCTATAAAATACACTTTGTATTGCCTTTTGTGTAGCACATCCCTGTACATGCTTTGGAGGTGAACTGAACAGCAGTTTARGGTATCTTTAAGACTTGTAACTTTGACAAGAAAAAAATRTGGGAAAAGCAACAAGAAAAAGTGAGCAAGTTTTTGAAATTTTTTTTAAACAGAACAACAGGTTTCTCATACTTTAGGATGAATTTGGGATGATGAGCAAAACCAATTCTTTGACTCTACAAAGTTTATGCCCAGTGTTTGTAACCCAAATAAAATTTCCCTAAACAGGTTTAGTAGTGGGAAATACACAGTTAGAAAACTGAGGGAGTGAAATAAATGTATGTAGTATCTTAGAAATAGACAATCAATGTGTTTGCTTAGTGACCAAGTTAGCATTTTAAGAATACATAAATACAAATACAAGAGCATGGGGTTGAGACATACCTTCTAGGTTAAGGCATCCACTCCCCTCTTATCAAAAACTTTCCTAATCTTCAAAGTAGTTTCCACAAATACACACAATCTGGATAGRAGGTATTTTCAGCAGTCTTCGTAATTACAATCATTCACATTTCTAGCAAAAAATATYCATGTATAGTTTATCATCATGGGTTCATTTGCAAACCTTGTTCTTTGGTACGAATAGATTTTCTTTTCCTCTCCCTAATACTTCTCCTCCCACCACCAACTGTTTGCAGAGAGGAATCATGATCCACTTTGGCCCTTTTTTTTCTACACTGAATCACAAAAAAGCATTTTCTCTCAAATCTCCTACTACCTTTCATGTAATTTCCTTTCCTCTGTTGAAAACTGTGATTWACCTGTGTTTCCTGACCACAGGCAAAAAAGCATGAAATGAGGTTTCTTCAGTGTCTTGCTCTTCAGAAAGAGTAAAACTTACCTGTATCAGCTCTCCTAATAGTGTCMCAATAACTTTTTTTTTACAGCTGGGTGCCATTGGTGATTCATAACACAGCTACATTCTTCCCATTCATAGCTTTTATCTAACTGACAAAACTCCTCATTGAAAGCGAGACGTTTGTGGTGATTTGTTCTAATGATCATACTCTGACCACTTCTACTGAACTAACTGCTGACTTTCASAACATCTGAGTATCTGTAACTAATTTTCCTTCTCAGCTACAGAATTTCCCTGCTTTGCACTTCCTAGCATTTGCCTATATCAGTGCACCCAAACCTTTTACCACCACCGGACTCTGATATTTGCAATACACCAAGATGCAAAACAAAACATGGTTAGGAGAAGAGAAGGCTAAAACTAGGTATGATTTTTTTCTGAACCTAAGAAAAGCTTAGATAACATATTCATTTTCTCTTTTAAGGTAAATATTCAGGGAGGTTACTCATTGTTTTTTTTTATTCCAGAATTTTTTAAAAAAGTTAATATAGACCTATTCCTGGCCTGAGGTAACTTAGTAAAAATACATAATAGAAATATAAAAATAAAATACATATAGAAGTGATCCACAATCCATTTGAGCAAAGTCTAGTCTTCCTTAGTACCTTAGTACCCCCCACATAGGCATTCATGATTAAAGATACAAATCTCTGTTCTCACCAGCTAATCAAAGACATCATTTGATTAGAATTTTCTTCTAAATTTGCTCAAAACCTATGTGATGTGTAGATAAAATAGTAATTTATTTGAAGTTTGAAAGAATTTTTTTTTAATTTCTTTAATTTAAGATTTAATTTTAAATATTCAGAAGTATCCATGTGACCAGGAGCAGTTCCATTTTGGACAAATCAGTTACTCAGGAGCTCTGTTGAAGGCAGCAGTACTTTTCAAAATTGAAAGTGGAACTGATTGTCATAAATTACCTGGTTGCTTCTGAAAGTGTGTATTCTAATATGCTGTGGTATGCTAAGACAGAAAGACTTCAGTCAGTCCTTCTTATATTCCACCTTTCATATTTTCTTTTCCATTTCTGGATGCTGACTTCTAAACACATGAGTGAGTTTAGACATCTGTGGGTGTCTTTCACTCCTCTTCTGCTTCATTTTCTAAAATTTCACAATTGTTGATTCTTCCTAGTACTGTTAAGTCTGAATGCTAAAAATGACATATTTTGAKATTCTSCAAAAGTAATTTAAGTCTAATTTTYGTTGCTTGTACTGCCTGCTCCTTAATTCAACAAGCAATATAGTAAACTATCTTCTGCTTGTTTTGAAGGTTCAGTGCAAATTCTAAAGTGAACTATAATAAAAAGTTTGATGAAACATATATTACTTTCTCATTTGTTACTGATCATTGGATTAACTGTCCTTTATATTTCACAGSAGAAATAACCAATGCAAGTTGTGTTCCACTTGCTGATAGCATTGATGGGCAGATGCTTAAAGCATCTCTATTGTTTTTAATTACTAACTCCTTACATAAGTATGCTTTGGTCCCCTGCAGCTGCAAATGAAGATGCTATAAAACTGAATGAGATACTCAGAACTCAAGACGAGACTTTGGAGAAGAGTCTTCCAGAACTGCAGAGTGAGGCTGAAGGAATGATCATAGAGATGAGAAACAGAGASCTCAATATGCAAGAAAAAATAGCTCAAGATGAATTAAAGTGAGTAGAGAGACCCCAGTCTTCAGCCTCTTAATGACAGTATCTGACTTTTGTACATATAATTTTCGTGTTTGCAGATCAGGTTTTCTCACTGAGGTTTACCGAAATGTGAAAGAAAGTAAAGTCTAATACTTCATATTTGTTAATGTAGCATTTGCACTTTTGGAAATGCTTCCATATGTGGAAATCCCTAGGAAATTACTTTTTTGCTCCACAGGTRCCAGCAACATTTCTAATTGAATTCTAATTGTTCTGGCTTTAGCTTCTGCTTCAGGCGTGATGTATGGCTTTTGTACTAAAAGTCTCATCTGGATGCTTGGGGTTTTGTTCTGGAAAATTAGTTGGTCTAATAAAAACATTATCTGTGTGCAAAGTTTATTCARTAGTGTAGGCATTCAAAAAATTGTATTTTGCCGTGTTTAGAATAAGTGCAGATCAGAATATCCCATCTCTGTGGCATAGTTCAGCAGCCCASAGTTTAGTTATTTAGTTATCTGTAAATGTATGTATATCTATAATTATACTGGCAGCTGTTTTTAAAGCATTTTGCCAAATCCTGAAAACTTATCTGATCCAGGAAAATGCTTGTCTTGAAGTTAGAGTTGTGGTAGTCTGTAACTTCTGTGTAAGATGAGGCATATTTCTAGAGCTAGGCTTTGCTTAGCTCTTCACCAGTGTAAACAACTAGGAGGGAGTCCAGCTGAGCAGCGACATGGTCCACTGAGCTTGTGATGGATCAGAAAACTGTCTGGGATAGAGTTAGTCTGGCCTGAAGATGTCACTTATCAGGTGCGTGAATAMTTTAAGGAGATATAAATAGAATATAAGATTAGCTAACAATTCCAAGCAGTATAGAATCAGATTTGCACTGCCTAYCTTAGGCTTTATAAACCAAATCATTTTCTGGAAATTCTGCCACTRCAGTATTTCTTCCCATAACTCTGATACCTTTGCTTTCTGTTCTCTTGAGAAAGAATATATTGCAAACTTATTTWTGAGCAATGTTTTATTGCTTTTTCATCTGATTCCACTGAGCYTCTTCTACGCATTCTGTACTCACACACAGAAATAAACCAGGAAAAAGTAGGGATGAGAAAAATTTAGCCAGACCTTTGAAAGTGCTGCCTGGAAATTTAGGACAGGCTGGAGAAGGACCTTTCAAACAAGGTGCTATTAGTCCTCAAATGCTACAGCCAACATAAAACTGCCAGACTACGGTGAAATAATTTCCTACTCTAGCCCAACAGCTAGAGTAGAAGATGCAGTAGGCCTGTTTTGAGAGAAAGAACTTTTCTCCTTCTTCCATTCTTCCTAAAATRTAYGAAGTGWGTRTTTAAATTTCTTGATAAAGGAATAYATTTTATACTAAGAGATACATGAATATATTCATTTATTTCAATCAAAGTTGTATGGTTTATCTTAAGGATAGGGTTATGTCTTTACCTCAGGCAGTCATTGAAATCCAAGGAATTTTGGCAGTGAACTCAACAGAAGGAAAACTAGTCACTGTGGATTACAGGGTGCRAAAGAAAGGACCCTAGATGTTGTTTTGTGAAACTGTCTCTTAAAGAAAATGTTACAAAACTATTAAAATAATGTGGTAAGATAGTGGATTCTTCCTCTGCAAGGAAGAAGGATGAAGAAAAATTAATCATTCTTTGAAGACATGCGTGTGTGTGAATCTCTGTACTCATGTATTCTCTACAGACCCATTTAKAATTTCTTTTGAATAAAATAACGCTCTTGCAAGCCTCATGATCAGTTTGAGGTAGYTAATCATGCTTATTCTTAGCTGAGAAATCTTTTATCAGAATTATATTTTGTTTTTAGAATTTTGTCCAAGGACAGAATGACAAGAGTCAGTGGATTCTCTCCTGTTTTGAGTGAATTCTCAAAACTTAAATGAAGAAGACAAATGAAGTTTTGCTTTCATAGATGGCAAAGCTTCTCTTACATAGGCAGTTTTTTTCTCTTATTTTCCTTCAAACTTTTCAAATCCAGATTGTAATCTGATTGCCTTAGTGTACTGAAATGGCACATTAGTCAATAATTTCTCTCTGAAAGTGAAATATATAGAGAAATACACCAGTTGCTTTCTGAACTGCTGTGATTTTCATATTTACGAAATATATCTTTCACTATTTTATAATATTTCTACATGTTTTCTCAGATGCCAGTGAGTTGCTATCAAGGGATGCTGTGAGCCAGAATTCTATCTTTCTGTTYAGTATTTTGAGTAGCTTTATTTTTGTGTGACTTGTTCTCCCACAAATTTGTCTGATGGCTTTTGAGGCTCTGTGAACTTATCCAGTCTCCTGAGAGAATGAATTGCATAACTCAGCAATTCAAAAGTGCAGTATTTGAAGATATAACTCCTGTGTTATGACACTGCTTCCTGATATCTTCATTTTTGTGTTTGGAGAGACATTGGACCGCTGATCACCTTATCCATGCTATTTATGATCCTATAATCCTTAATTCTTCTCCTGATAGGCCAGTTCTAACATATTTAGACTCGAATATGCAGTTGGTGGGTTTTAATCACTTTGTCATCAGTATCTAAACTCTCAAGTTTGTTCTCTTGCACTCATTTTGAGGCTCCAGACCATCTCGTATTCCAGGTGTTAAGCCACATCTCTGATTGCTTCTTCTAAAACTTCAACCATTTTGTAGAAGTTTTGTTCATTTTCTAGGATAGTATCCAGTGAAAGTAGTGCAGTTTAAATGTACCAGAGAGTATTTCAAGAAATGTGGCGCAGTCCAGTCACACAGAAATTCTGAAGCAAGGGATTACATGGAACAGATTGCTTCACACTTCKTTAGAGAGAGCATTGGGAAAAATGCACAACAGATCAATACGAAAGTGTTATCTTTAGAGCACCGAGAGTTTTGAGGTAGACTAGTGGATGGATAAGTTGTTTGAACTATGCTGTGAGGCAAGGGAATAAAAAGGAAATCCATCTGGTTTGTACTGTTCCTCCGYACTGCAGAGTCGTAAGGGTGTCAAAATTTGCCAGAAGTGTAAGACAGGAGCTTCTTATAGAAGAATAATGGAGGAGGTATGAGAGGGAAATCCTGAATTTCTTTCTACACTTGTGTGACAGGGTGTCAATATTGGGATTTAGTTTTTGATTAAATATTTTGTCCTCAGAAGTTGCAAAAATTATGAATAATTCTTTTCAACAGAACCAAAGTCAGAACTGATGGGGAAAAAAACCCCAATCCATCTCAGAAAATCCCAAGGCTAAGATAACAATTTGACTTTCCTTGGCTCCMCTTCAAACCCTTCATCTAAATTATGTCGAGTGTCAACATATCTTTTCCTCCTGTCCYAWATCTTTTTGGTGTGCATTTATTTAWGTGTTTATTTTTACAGCATTCCTAATGGAACYGACTATAGGCAGGCCAAACCGCAGCACTTTTCAGAAAAGTTCTTGTTTTCCACACTTTGGCRTAATGAAACAGGAAGAAAAACTTAATCTGTCCTAGGTGGAAGCSTGATAAATTTCTTCTGTAGTTATTATCTATCCTACACATTCCTGTTTACTTAGGATTTCTCTTATCTCTAAAGCATCATTTTGAAAGTGCCTGAAGTGCCTCTTTTTTTCCCTGTCCTTGACAAATCATTGGATTGACATGGTGGAGTTGCCTTGTGTGAAGCTGATTCCAGGCAGACAGTTGACAATTCTCCAGTCCCTTAAAACGGGGGTCAGCAAAATCAGTTAAAAATATTCCAGAATTTATTTTACATAAGCAGAACTTTTGACTACTGGAAGTCATAAATCCAAGGGTCTAGGTTTGTTTTTTTTTTTTTTTTATTTCACCGGAAAGCCTTTATGATTTTTGACTGTTTAGTCAAAAGCAGTTGTCTGCTTCAAGACAGCTTCAAACTGGGGCTGTCTACAAATTCTCCTCTTTTCAAGGTAGAAAACCATTTTGTGTCACATGTTAAATTAATGTGAGTGAAGGAAATCTTTTAGACAAGTTGAAATGTTTCAGAAAACCTCACTTTGCTAGTCATATCTCAAGAATGGAAATTTACAAAAAAAATGGGAAAAAAAGTCTTCAGTTTAAAAAARGTCTTCATTTGAATATTTTCTGCTTCATAAATAGGACCTTAGTGGAATTGAAAAACCTCTTTTAATAAAAGGGCTTGAAAACAACTGTTTCACTTTATTCAACATATATCATATCATCTTGAAAATTACTTTGAGACTTAACTGAATTTTATTTTCTTTGAGATTTAATTTTTCTATTTYATTTGCATGTTATTGAGACTATTCAGATTATTTGATGTAGGCAATGTGAACACAATGTCTTCATGGGTGGCAATGTGTTGCAGGAATGCAGAAGATCTTTTGGACAAGGTGAAGAAATTATTTGGTGAGCTCGGTGAGAAAAATGAAGATCTAAAAAATGAAGTCCGGGACAAGCTGGCAGATTACCACAGCAAAATTGATGATGCTCGAGATCTGCTAAGAGAAGCTGCAAGTAAAATTTGGGAGGCTGATCGTTTATCTGCAGTCAACCAAAATAATATGACCATGCTAGAGGTGAGTGCTGACAAGTTTTATCCTYGATTACTTGGATTCTGATTAAAGATTGAACCTTTGCATGGTTAAATATTGAAACACAAATATAAGCAAAACAAAAGTATTATTAAAATATAACTATATCTGATGTAATTTAAAAGGAAYATGTTCCTCAGGATGAGGAAATGCAGTGACTTTTAAAAGTAGAGTTACTCCCCAGCTTTATTGAAATAATACCATCTGCTTTGTGGAAGATACATTGGATTTATTATTCTGAGGGAAATTAAATTCATCCCACTATAAATAGTCATGTAAAATTCAAATMGTGTGCTCAATATTTAAATAGGAGTTCAGTTAAAATCTTTGCTGTCATATATTTGCTTCTAGAAAACTTACATTTTCATCTCCCAATCCAACCCCTGGGAAGAAGACTGAGGGGGTATGTGGATATTACAGAGTAATAAATCAAACTCTATCCTCTGTAGTTAGTAGCTGTTATAAATTATTTCACKCATAGAAGAGGGGTCTGCTTGTGATTTAATTTAAATTGCAGAGACTTAAAGAGCATATTATACTGTACATTARCATGGATTTAACCAAGACATAAAGAGCAGAGTCAACCTGATGAAGATAAATGTTCAACTCTATCTCGGTGAGCTTTCACCTCAAGTGCAATGTGAGGTTAGAGTTCCGAGACCTCCATTCTCAGCAGAGATTTCTCARCTTGATTGAATTAAGGAAATACAGTGATTTGGCAAATTTAGGTGATCTCTGTTCTGTGCATTTTCTTCTCARAGGTGGATGGATAAAGGTTGGAGAAATTACTTACTGTCTAAGTTTATAAAATATTCTCTGCATTGCTGTAGCAGAGTGCCTTCCCAGCTGTCCTGCCCACATGGCTGCCATGGCCTCCTATCAAATTGATCTGTGATACTCGGTGGATCTTGTACATAAAATTGCCAATTCTTTATTCAGAAGTGCATCCTCACCACACAATATACAGTATTTTTACTAGTTGRAAAAGCAAGAATCCCTAGGTTACTCCAAACCTTTTATTTTGCATTCAGCAGTTAATGAAATACCAGTGGATGGGAGTAGGAAAGCAGCAGATTATTTTTATAATTTTTTCCTTCATAGTCGGAGGTGATTTACGAAATATGGAACTTACACATCTGCGTGATGATTAGGATTTATAACTTTCTGATTTATTTTGCAATAGTRCTTCAGCCAATTCTCTGTTAGAGAGCAGCAAAATCTCTGCCATGTGGGAGGGCAATACAAAGCTGGGGATAGGAGAACAAAGGAAAGATACCTCACATGTGCTTTAYTGTTGTCACTGTCTGGGCTCTGAGAGCTCAGGGAATTCCAGACAGGGGCATTGTGGCATGGTGACAAAATGCAGTCTTATTCTGAGATGCTGGCATTTGAACTGTTCTAGTAAACAATTCACCCTTTTCTTTCTGTGAACTCATCCCATAGAAAAGGAAGCAAGCTGTAGAAGATGGCAGACAAGATGTGGAGAAGACCCTTCAGGAAGGGAATGATATCCTTGATGAAGCCCATAAACTTGCAAATGACATCAGCCTAGCTGTAGAGGTGAGTATTTTATCATCCTTWCCTGAGAATTAGTACACCAAAGCATCATTATGGAAGCAAAGTAGGTAATTAAAGTAACACCTAATTTTTCATTGTGTTTTTCAATGCTGTAATATTTGACTTGGWATAAATATTTTTTCAGTTGCTGTATGACAGAAAAAATAGTCTGTTATATAAAATTTAATAACTTGGAGTTTTAAGTGAGTCATTGGATTACATATGAGGTAGGTCATAATGTTTCATGGACTCTGCCATTTATAAATATGGTATTCTGATTGTGGTACTGACTTTATCCTGAGAATTACAGATGCAGCAGACCCATTAATCTCACTACGACTCTGTAATCTAGATGTATCTGCACAAAAACTCTGTGTGAATATCAGAAGGTAACTTCAGAAATAATTTGTTGCCTGTGGCCACAATTTAAAGTTTAGATAGATCAGAGAGAGGAGAAGATTGCACTCTCACTTTACATAATATTTCTGAAAATTCTCCCTTAAAAGTTTTATCAGCAGAATTTGAGATCAGTGCCTTAACTATCAAAAAAAACCCCAAAAAAACCACATTTCTTGAAGTATCATTGGTTTTGGAGGTATTTCCAGCATTCAGTGAAGCTTGTTGTAATGAATGGGAAAATGCTCTTTGGAAGATGGGAAATTAAAACCATTGAGATGGCTTATTGGAACAGGAATGGCAGGTCTTCAAAAACTTTGGTTCTTACTAAGATGCTTTAATAAGCAAAAATACATTGCAATCACTCAAAGGGTCCTGAAAGATGAAACTTCTGCCATTTATTAGTTATYATTTTGGAGCTCAGCAACAATATCATATAACTGTGCATTCATCTACATTTAGGAAATAAATCCAGATCTGCATTTATAGGCTTTTAAACTGTGCAGTTCCTTAATTGTAAAWTAAAAGCTTCTAATAAGCTCAAGAGAGGGAAGTAGCTCTTGGAATATTGTTTATCTCCTCTCTACTTTCCAGTCCAGCCATTCCTGTTAATCTTTCTGTGTTAATTCCTGAAGTTTTGATGCGTGAGTAAGTTGAAATAATAGCTTACCAGAAAAGAAAAAAAAGACATTGTATATATGCAGGGCTACAAAATGATTGCATTCAGCAATTTAAAGGCTTTTCTTTTTTCATTTTCAGTATGTAGAAGGTGTTGCAGATAAGATACAGCCAATGTCTGATCAGCTGAAAGATAAAACAGATGACTTATCACAAGAAATTCGTGACAGGATGCTTCCAGAAAAGGTGTTGCAAGCTGAGARCCATGCAGGCCAGCTGAATGAATCATCTGCAGTGCTGGATGGGTAAGGCAGGCACTCTCTGGTAATGTTAAAATCATGAAGCAGGTTTGCAAAATTGCTTCACAGAACTTGAAGGGCATTCTTTCACTTCAATCAGTCACTGGGGGTGTACAAATAACCAGTGATCTGTACAGGTATGCAGCTATTGAGCTGGTCGATTTGTGTATCTCTTGTAAATGGTTTCATATGTTTGGTGTTTCTTACAGGCTGCATGGACAGCAAACAGTGCCCTCAGATGCTCTCATAGCACTTAACTTATCAAATGCATACTACTATATCGTGAAAAAAAATGAAAATTCTTAAAGAGCTCACTGCATGTTTTCATGTTAAAAAGTAGTATTTTCCTTTTTAAGATGACCATTTTGGTAAGAGACTATTATTGTGATGCTAAATTATTTGTTGTCAGAAATTCCCTAAAGTAATGGACAGTAATTCCTCTACTGGTTTCAAAACACTCTCCCAAAACCAGCAGRTGTCCTGGACCAAAATGCTTAAACCTAAGTACAGAAACTTTAGTTTCTGTTTACCACTATCACATTCCTAAATATAAGTGAGAATTGCAGTGAGTGAGAATATAAGTGAGACTGCAGCCCTTTCAGAAGAGTGATACTTTATAACTCATAATGAAAATAGTTTTCTGGAAAGAATATAAAACAAGGGTTTGTTGGTTTTGTTGGAATTTTTGGGTAGAAAGAGAGAGGTGTCTTTTGTTTTATCGCATTCTATGCATTTAAGAGAGCAAGCCATDAATAGTAACTGTAATTTGCAATAGTAATAGTCAGAAATAGATCGTGGGTATTCTGCSTGTTGGATCGGTCCCCAGCATAACTTCAGAGTTCCAGTATTTTCTAGAAGCACTGCATGAAAAAAAAAAARAKWKWTTTTTTTTWWAAATATCAAAAGYATGCTACKTTTWTTCTCRTTYACACTTTATTCAGTAAAATCAACATAGGCATTGGTARCAATGACTACTGAGATAGTTGTCTTCAAGTTCATTCTGTAGGTGCAGTAATTCTTTTTAGACAATGYTTGAATACATCATACAGAGAGAGTKCAAGAAAAGTTGTGTCCCCAGCCTGCTGACTAGAAATTCCCCTAGGAAGGAGGTTAGCTGAGCTCTGTTCCTGAACCAGCAAATATTAACTGTTTAGAATTATCTTTTAATCTATTTACAGCATTCAGTACTGCTTATGTTTTTTATTTTGGTCAGTGAAATTAGCATTTAGGATTTGGACTGTGAGATCTTCAAAACTACAAAACTTCAAAATTCTGTGTTTGGCAGGCAGACCAAGAGATTCTACTTTRGAACATGTCTCTGATGATCCTTCATGTTCCTACAGTGCAGATTTCATTGAATTTGCCTGGTTCAGCACATAGCCTTGAAACCCACTTTATTAATATGTTACTTGTATTAGAGCAGTAAGCACARTGCTGTCTTTTCTCAGTGTCTGATCTATTTTTATCTCACAGGACCTCCTCTTTTAGAGAACAYTATTCTTTATATCTTTCTCCACAGATAAAATGTGAGTTCCATTAAACACGTGATGTCAGATCTCTTGAAATCTCAAGTGTAGCACTGCTCTCTAAAGAAACACCATAGAAAAAGCCTTAGAAATACAGGCCATTGGRTTTGAAAAAGTAGAATACTCTGTTCTGCTGAGCTCTGAAAGCAGGTTTAATGGTGTGTTTACTTTTCCCATTCCAACAGAATCCTTATTGAAGCCAAAAACCTCTCTTTCAATGCCACACGTGCTTTCAATGCTTACACTAACATCAAAGATAACATAGATGAAGCTGAAAGAGTTGCCAAGGAAGCCAAGGCTCTCGCAAACGAAGCCATGCAAGAGGTAAGGWAAATGAGTAGATTGAGAAGAAGGTTTATATTTTCTATGGAACATGTGACACCTTATCTCAGATCCATGTTTTGCCATCGTAGGACTTCAAGTGCAGACCTTTGCCATCAAGCATTCTCATGTTGTGATCAGAAAGCTATGCCTCTCTCAGAGCTACATGTGCCTTCAGACAACATCCCTATTTGTTCCTAACTCACGTTCTTTACTTTTCTTTCCCATTTTATTTACTGTCCTTCCTCCCTCTGTTTTCCACCTTTTGGCCTCTGCATATGGCTCCAGCCAACAACTTGGAGTCAGGAGTGTAGGCCATTTGATATTCARTAATGCTATTTTAGACGTGTGCAATACATTCATTAAAGATAAAGAACTCTGTACCTTAATTAACTCTTCAACCTAGTTCCATGAAAATGCTTGGAGGCACTTCCCTGCACATCAGATGAACTGCATGCACCTGGCCAGAATTCTAGAAATGGAGAATTGTAGGAGGGGAGTGGAAAGTTTTATTCACTTTGTGAACTTTACCATAGTTTTTGCAGAGAAATTTTATTCTCACTAGGAGGTAGTACATGCATATTTTCAGAGAAAATTGAGAGAACTTTTAAAAATAGGGTTGTAAGGTAACACCAGCTCTCCAGCCTGAGTCATAATGAGGATCTCAGCTCCTCAATGCGTATATACTGTGAGCAGAAAACATTCTGAGCATAGCCAAAAGTATCTTTTATGTCAAATATCAAAGGAGTTAATGGCTCATTTGTAGGAGTTGTTCAGAGAGTAACAGACATGCACTTCACAGGCACTCAGAAACGTGGGGCAATGAGAGTATAATATGAGATTGCCAGAACCTATATTTGATATAGAAACATATAGATGAACAGAAACAACGTAGTTACAGCACTTGTACTGTATGAATAAAGGCAGTTTGCAGAAAGCTACTTTAGTCGAATGGATTATGATAATAGCAAAATCAATCACATGCTGTAAAGGTCTGTATTTATCAGAGGGATAAARGGACCTGGCCACTGCACAAAAAATTTAATATTTTTAGGCTCTTTACATTTTCAGTGTTTTTTCAAATAACATGAATTACTATATTTCTCTTTTGGTGAAAAAAATTCACCTCACACATTAGTATCTGCTAGTTGTCTGTAAATAGTTCTTTGTTTCACCAGAATGCCTAATTACACTGCAAAAGTAAATAAGGTCCTGGCCCTTTTTTTTTTGGTTTTTTTTTTTCTCATTAGAATGTAATACATACTGTCTTTTTCTCCTTTGATGACTTGGAGTGAGTGAGACAGGCAGCTGTTTGAAAAGGGAAAAAGCTGATTGAAAAGGGAAAAAAACTACACATAGAGCAGTAAAGAAACAAAGCTGGCAATTACAGGATGGAGACAAAAGTGTATATATCACTGGGTGATTATAGTGTAGAGAGAAAGGGGATAGATAATTTAAGAGATGGAGGTCAAGATGGGCAATATGATGCAAATAGGAGCAAGAGAGTAGCAAGGAAAGAGATGAAAAAATTAAGGTGATGTTTTCAGCATCTCCATTGCATGTATTCATTAGAGGGAGCTTGGTTTTTTACGAGCAGTATATGTGAAATGGGGATCTAGTTGATGAGGAAGAAAATTGAGGCAGCTGATGCCTTTTAAATGTAATTGACTTGATATAGAGGTCATCAGTGGTTTACTGTCAAACTGCTGCAGAGCAATAGATTTAGCTGTTATTTTTTAAATGATCATGTGAGGATTTTGAGCCAGGTTTTAAAAATATGTCAGTTGTGAACTACAGCCATCATTTTGCTATTCTATTTCCTTGTTTTTATTTACAGACTGTTGAATGTTTGCTCATCCTAGGTGAAAAGTTTAACTGGTAACCAGGTAAATCAGGGTCCCACTTTCTAGAGGTCCCAAGGAGCTTTTAGCTGAGCTTCAGCACAAGACCAGCAATGTACCCTCGGTCAGGGCTGTCTGGAGCACAATGGTTCAGTCTCCTAGAAGGCATCATGTGTGAATTTAAGCCCCCTCAGACTGATAAGTCCCTGGAAACTGTGTCCCCAACTGTCTGAGAAGTTGACCTGGGGACCCTGTGTAGAAGACGGAGTTCATGTTTTTCCCCTCCTTTTGAAAGATGGAGCCATGCTCTCTTTTTTATGAGGTTTTGTGGATGCCTGTCTTCTGTAAGAGATTCTGAGCTCCAGCTGCTGGCAGATAATGAAGACAAGTGCTGTAGCTCACATGCACCCCTGATCCTCACCTTTCCCATTCACCAGCTATAATGTTGGGGCAGGGGGATGAAGGTTTCCCAACAGCAACAAGATTGTGTATGAGCCAGAGTCTGAGGGACAAGTTTTCATTTCAGGTTCTGTCCTGTACATCACTGGATCAAATTATTTGCCAGAACCTTAGTGATATCTCAGAGGTTTTTAGGTTTTTGGTTTGTAATGGGAAAAAAACCCTTTGTTTTCAAATTAAGCTAATGTTGCTAAAAGCATGAGTGAAAATATGTTTAAAATCCATCGTGATTATCAGAAGCCTGATAAATGACTGGGAAAAAATGTATTAAAAATATGACAGAAAAATTCCTCCTGAGCTTTTTATGATGGATTTGCTCTCCCCTTTGAAACCAAAATAAATTCATCACAAATGAGAAATCTTTAGCATTCAGGCAGTTTCAGCATTCCATTACTTAGCCAAGGCAGTAACTGACTAGAAAGGAGTCACATTAACAGATTCTGTTCACATCTCACAGATAAGAACCATGCTTTTACAGTATATCTTGAAAAAGTCTGATTATTCTTAGGCTTTTTAGAGAGGACTTACCGGACCTGGAAGCACAGGGGACACATTGAATGTTTAGAGTCCTGCTTCCTTCTTTGATTTTGACTTTCTTTGTAAGTAAACCCCAGCAGTTGTGTTGGGTGTCTGGATTTCCTTGGGTTGGAATGTCTTAGACATCCTTGTGAGGATGTCCTGAGGTGCAAATCACTCATAACATTTTTGGTATCTATCTCCCAGACTGGTAGAAATGAGAGTAACCCTAACTCTTGCATAGGGGAAAACTTCACAACCTAAATGCATGTAAAAAGAAAATAATTTAAGAATAAGGCATAACTATTTTTCACTGATCTACATTAACACTTATGCCTATAAAACCTTGTCCCTGTATAAGTTTGTGATCCTCAAAAATTGCCCCAGTGCATTTATGCCTCTAAACCATGATTGAGACAGCACTGTTTGGATACATAAAATGGTGCCACTTCTGCCATGAGATGCAGCAGGGATTCAAACTGCRCAGAGTTTGCATGGGGAAGGTAGAGGCCATGAGGAAAGGCACAGGGAGATGAAGGTGCCATCCACAGGTTTTGGACACTCTGGAAGAGGCAGAATTAGAACAAATTAGATTCCAGAGACCCTGCAATTTTCAAATTTATTTTGAGTCACAATTTTTTTATCTTTTTTTTTTTTGTTTTCCTTTTTTATTCTTTTTTATTCTTTTTTCCTTTTACAGTATTTGTTTTTTTTTTTTCCTTTTTTATTTTTTTTTATTCTTTTTTCCTTTTACAGTATTTGTCCCAAGTTAGAAAATAACATCAAAGAGTCTTGGCTGTAAATTCTGCTAAATCATAAAGTGATTCACCATAATCCAAGCTTACCACAAGCATACAAACTCACCTTACACAAAATCATAAAATGTTTGTTTTAATTACTGACCGCTTCATAAATTGATATCTCATGAACCACAAGAGGAGCTAATAAAAAAGGACATTTTCTATCAGATGTCTTGATTAATACTCATTTAGAATTGTTTTTTAAAAATATAAAAGAAACCTTTTAATCAATACAAGTTTGTTTATCTCTGAAAGGGCTTTTCTAGTATTTACATCRTGCTGAAATCTGTTTCTGACTAATTGTCAGCACATGCCCAATTACTGTCCTTGATTTGATTAATTTCTTGGTTTTGCATTGTAAATCTGACCTTCTAATTTCATTTTATTGACTCTAAGCTGCTTCAAGAGCCAGTCAGCCATGCTTAGTCTTAAAATAATAACAATAATAATAACAACAATTTTTATTTTGAAGTCCATGGTCACAGAGTGATCATACCCTGGGTACTATTGCTAGTGGGAAAACAAATTTTAAAGTATTATCTGATTTGACAGGTGCATCTGCCACAAAATCTGGCCAAACATTTTTCCTTCAGGATCCATCTTTTGCTTCACTTCATAGTTTTTTTTTTAATTTTTTTTTTCCTTTTTTTTTGTATTTTTCTGTTGCCTGTGCTACTTGTTGTTATGTGGTAGAGAAAATCTACAAGGAACTAATTTTGTTCATCTTTTGAATATGTATGTTTCTACTGTTGTTGAAAGGAGTGTGTACACAGCTTAATATTTCAGGTGAACTTGGAAAATGGCAGTCATGTGTGCCTTAGTTCTTAAAATCCCATTAAAACTTACATTTACATCCCATTTGAACACAGGAATCTTTAATCGCTATATCCTTGTGACATGGCAACATATACCAAGACATATCTCAGAACAAAAAGCTTGGTTCTGAATTTTAAAAGTTTCCAAAGCATTCTTTAAGATTGTTAAAAGGAAAAGAAATGGCAAGTTCATGATACGTTTTTTACAGTGTCATTGAAAAACATCAGAGCTTCAGTAGTATGTGAATCGTCACCTCTGGGCTTGYTCATTATATAAATAATGAATAGCAATAATAATTGTGTCATTTAATTGACACACAGTTAATTTTTGAGTATATGTATCTGCCCTGGAAAATGAAAAGTAGCTGCTTCTTAATTACATACTACTTACAAGGCTATGACCCATGACTAATATAGAATGTTATCTGGCTGTCAGGAGTATTCTCAAAGAAATGTATTCACTRTGATGTGTGACCTGAGTTCAGTTTTACAAACTGAACAGTAAGTGGTTCAGAACCTGGAGCATTTCCTACCGACTGAAAACGCTAATCTAATTTAGAAAAATCATTCCATCTATTGATCAGCCTCTGCACTGAAGGTAGGGATGGATGTCTTTCAGAARAAAGATCTTTAAGTAGCATGATATGATGAAGGATGGTTACTTAGTAATAAAACTCTGTCAGAATAACTGCAGTTTGCCTTTCTTGTAAAACTCTATTTTTTATTTCTTTACTCACCTAGCAATTGTAATTCTTTAATTTAACCACAAATGAATCTCAGTTGTCATTATTAGAGTCATCAGAGCCAATCTGGCCTCTAAAGTTTCTGTAGCTGCAGTTTGAGAGAAATACTGTACTGYATGGTGTTCTGTCCATAGCTGGAMGGATAAATGCACATTTTAARTTGAAATATRTTYTGTTTGTCTRTKKRKAKWKTTTYKCTYWKAG